ACAGGAATATGGAAACCTTCGAAAGTCAAGAAATGGGAAAATCAAAACATCGATTAATTGAAAAATCCAAAAATTGACAGTCTATAAATGTCAAATTTGAAAAATTGAAAAATCGAAAATTTGAAAAAACGACAATTGAAAAACAGAAAATCTAAAACCGGGAAGTGGAAAAATCGATTGATTAAGAAATCAAAACATTTGAAAAATTCGAAAACTTGAAAAACTGAAATATCGAAGAACTGAAATGAAATATTGAGAAATCGAAAAATCTAAAATTTTAAAAATTGAAAAATCGAAAAATATAAAATTTTAGAATCGCCAAAAATTGATGAATTGAAGAATCCAAAAATTGTAATACATAAATCCCAAAACAGAAATGTTGAAAAAGTGGAAAATCGAAACATCGAAAAAATGAATTATCGAAGAATTCAGAAATCGAGAAATCGAGAAATTTTCATCAAAAGATCGATACGTCGAGAAGTCAAAAAATCGAAAAATTGAAATATCGAAATAGCTAAAGATTGAAAAATGGAAAAATTCAAAATTGCAAAATTTAAACTTAAAAAACCCAATAAATCGAAAAAGTGAAAGATCGAAATAACACAAAATTGAAAAATAAATTCCGAAAAACTGAAAAATCGAAAAATGAGAAGGCAAAAAATCAAAAAACTAAGAAATCGGAACAAAAAAGTGAAAAATCTAAAATTGAAAAATTCGAAAAATTGAAAATTAGCAAAATCGGGAAATCAAAACATCAACGAAACGAAAAATCAAAAAAACTGAAAAATCAAAAAATGTAAGATTTAAAAAATCGCAAAAGTAAAAAAATTAAAAAAAGAGGAAGTCGAAGAATTTAAAAATTGAAATACATATTGAAAAATCCAGAAAACTTAAACATTAAAAATTTGAAAATCGAAATATTGAGAAATCGAAAAGTTGAAAAATTAAAAATTTCATTAATCGAGAAACTGATAAATCGAAAAATGGAAAAATTTAGAACCGCCAAAGATTGACGAATTAAAGAATCTAAAAATTTTAATACATAAATCCCAAAACAGAAACGTTGAAAAAGTGGAAAATCGAAACATCGAAAAAATGAATTATCGAAAAATTCAGAAATTGAGAAATCGAGAAATTTTCATCAAAAGATCGATACGTCGAGAAGTCAAAAAATCGAAAAATTGAAATATCGAAATAGCTAAAGATCGAAAAATGGAAAAATTCAAAATTGCAAAATTTAAACTTAAAAAACCCAATAAATCGAAAAAGTGAAAGATCGGAATATCACAAAATTGAAAAATAAATTCCGAAAAACTGAAAAATCGAAAAATGAGAAGGCAAAAAATCAAAAACTAAGAAATCGGAACAAAAAAGTGAAAAACCTAAAATTGAAAAATTCGAAAAATTGAAAATTAGCAAAATCGAGAAATCAAAACATCAACGAATCGAAAAATCAAAAAAACTGAAAAATCAAAAAATGTAAGATTTAAAAAATCGCAAAAGTAAAAAAATTAAAAAAAGAGGAAGTCGAAAAATTTAAAAATTGAAATACATATTGAAAAATCCAGAAAACTTAAACATTAAAAATTTGAAAATCGAAATATTGAGAAATCGAAAAGTTGAAAAATTAAAAATTTCATTAATCGAGAAACTAAGAAATCGAAAAATGGAAAAATTTAGAACCGCCAAAGATTGACGAATTGAAGAATCCAAAAATTTTAATATATAAATCCCAAAACTGAAACGTTGAAAAATTGGAAAAACGAAAAAACGAAAAAATGAATTATCGAAAAATTGAGAAATTGAGAAATCGAAATTAAAAAATTAATTCGGCAAAATTAAAAAATCGAAAAATCTAAAAATGAGAAGGCAAAAAATCAAAAAACTAGAAATCAAAACAACAAAAAAGTGAAAAATCTATAATTTAAAAATTCGAAAAATTGAAAAACTGAAAAATGGAAAAATGTAAGATTTAAAAGGACGCAAGATTTTGAAAAATCGAATAAGTAAAGAATTAAAAAAAACAAAATCTAAAAATCTAAAAATCGAAGCACATATTGAAAAAAAAAAACTTAAACATTGAAAATTTGAGAAATGGAAAGGTCGAAAAATTAAAAAATCGATTATCGAAAACTGAGAAATCGAGAAATCAAAATTGAAACATTGAGAAATGGAAGTCGCTAAAAAGCGAAAAATTGGAAAATTCAAAATTAAAAAATTTGAACTTTAAAAACCCATAATCCGAAAAAGTGAAAAATTAATTCCGAAAAATTGAAGAACCGGAAAATCTAAGAACGTGAAAGCGAAAAATTGAAGCTAAACCGTTAAATTGAAAATTGAAAAATTGGAATATCGAAAAACTGAAAAAGTTAATTCCCAAAACTTGAAAAATTAAAATATCAAAAAACTAAAAAATCTAAAATTTAAAAATCGAAAAATTGAAAAAACGACAATTGAAAAACAGAAAATCTAAAACCGGGAAGTCGAAAAATCGAAAGATTAAGCAATTGAAAAAGTAAAAAAATCGACACATCGAAAACTCCAGAAGCCAAAAATCGAAAAGTCGAAGAATCGAAATATTGAACAATCCCAAAACTGAAATATCGAAAAACTGAAAAATGAAAGAAAACCTGAAAAATGTAAAATCTGAAAAATCCAAAAACTGAGAACCTAAAAAGTCGAAAAATTGAGCAATCGAAAAATCCAAAAAGTGAAGTCGAAAAATCTAAACAAATTTTAACCGTATTTTTGGAAAATTTTTGAAAATTTTGTATTCACTTTTCGTATTTATTGAAACAAACATCGTAACGGCATTTTCCGATTTGTAACTGGCGGAAGATTATCTACAATTTGACATCAATTTGGGGTCGATGGAGCCAATTTTAACCATTTTTTCGAAAATTTTTGAAGAATCGAAAAACTAAAAAATTGAAAAATCGAAAAATTACAAATCGAAAAATTGAAAAATCGATAAACTAAAAGATCGGAAAAACTGAAAAATTAAAAAACTGAAGGAAGGAAAAATAGCAAAATCGAAAAAGAGCTGAAGAAATAAAAAATTGGAAAGAAGGAACAATGAAACGAATCGAAAAATTGGAAAACCCAAAAATTGTAAAATCGGCAAATTATGGAATCGTCGAAATTGTAAAGTCGAAAAACATAACACTGAAACATCAAAAAATTGAAAAAGTAAATGTCGAGAAATTGAAAAATTAACTTGAATAAATGAAAACGTTTTAAAATTCAATAATTAAAAAATGGGAAAATTCTAAAATCGCGAAATTGAAAAAGTGAAAATTTTTGAAATTATTGAATTTTTTTTTCTGATTTAAAGTGAAAACTAAAAAAAATGCGAATTAATAATTGAAGAAATGAAAAATTGAAAATTCGAGAAGTTGATAAGTCTAAAATTGAAACAACGAAAAATTAAAGAATCTAGTTGAAAAGCCGAAAAATTTCAAATCGAAAAGTTGAAATCTATTTTACAATTTTGCATTTTTTCCATTTTTTTTATGCGAAAAGTTTAAAAATCGAAAAATTAAAAAATCGGCAAAAATGAAAAAACCCAAAACTTGAAAAAATGAGAAATTGAAAAATCGAAAAATTGTAACTCGAAGGACTGAAGAAACGAAAAATTCAAACATTGAAAAACTAAAAATGGAGAAACTTAAAAATCGAAAAAAATAATTAATCCAAAAACTGGAAATATACGAAAATTGGAAAATCGAAAAATATAAAAAAAAAAATCTGAAATCGTAAAAATTTTTAAAAATTATATAATAATAATTTATTACATATTTCAATGAACACTAGAAAAATTGCAAATCAAAAATTGAAGAAACATAAAACTGAAAATTGCACAAACTGAAAAATCTAAAATCGAAACGAAAAAAGTGCAAATCGAAAAATTACAGAAATCAAAAATAAAAAAATCAAGATTAAAATTGAGAAACTTGAAAATCCAAAAATCAAAATATGGATTGTAAAATCTATTTTTCGACTTCACTTTTTTAGACTTTCTGTTTTTCAATTGTCATTTTGTCAAATTTTCTATTTTTTAGTTTTTCAAATTTGACTTTCATAAACTCAATTTTTCGATTTTTCAATTAATCGATGTTTTGATTTTCCCATTTCTTGACCTTCGAGTGTTTCGATTTTCCTGTTCTTCAGTTCTTTAATTTTTTGATTTTTCAATTTTTCGGTTTTTTAAGCGATGTTTCGATTTTCCTGTTCTTCAATTCTTTAATTTTTTGATTTTTCAGGTTTTTGAGTTTTCAATTTTTCGATTTTTTGTGGTTTCTATTTTTCGACTCCACTTTTTTGATTTTTCAATTTTTCAGTTTTTAGGTATTTCAGTTTTAGGAATTTCCAATATTTCAATTCTTCGGCTTTTCTATTTTTGACTTCTGGATTTTTCGATGTGTCTATCTTTTTACTTTTTCGATTTTTCAATTTTTGGGTTTTTAAATTTTAGATTTTTCAATCTTTTGATATTTTAATTTTTCAATATTTCTTTATCTTTCTATTTTTCGACTTCTTGGTTTTAGATGTTCGGTTTTTCAATTTTTCGATTTGTTAATTTTTCATTCCCGATTTATCGAAATTTGATTGTTCAGGTTTTCGATTTATTATTTTTTCAATTTTTTATTTTGGGCTATTTCGGTTTCTCAGTTTTTCCAGTTTTCGATTTTTCGATTATTAGATTTCTCGATTTTTCGAATTTTCGATTATTTTATTTATTTATTTTTTTTTTTCTCACTGTTAATATCATATAGTGTATCGAAAACAACCACAAAAATTGTCACTAAAAATATGTAAAATCATCTAAATATGTACTAAAAATATTCACTTAGTCGTTATAAAAACCGACCAAACCACTATTATAGTGAAACACGTTTTTTTATTGGCATCGACTATTTAAATTTGGCGCTTACCTTTGACGGTTGAGGACTCCAATGTCAATAAGGCTGGTTTTGCAAAATCAACCTATATGTCGCATCCACATTAATCTATGGCGTCAACTGTCAACGTGCTGTCAACGCAGTAGTTTCCGTGTAACGACAAGGGGCCCCAAAATGCGCGAATTGTAACACAATGGGGCAAGGCAAAAGTCAGTTCAGCGAAGAGGAGCTCCAAGACTACCAAGATCTCACCTACTTCACGAAAAAAGAAGTCCTATAGTGAGTGTTTACTTTCAAAATTGCCGTCCTAAAATTCCTTTGTAGTGCCCACCAAAAGTTCAAATTCTTAGCCCCCGAGAAAGTCGGACACAACAAAAATGCCAAACTGCCAATGTCGAAAATGCTCAATTACCCAGAGCTCAACGTAAACCCGTTCGGTGACCGCATTTGCAAAGTTTTCAGTTCTAGTCGCGATGGAGACTGCACGTTCGAGGATTTCCTAGACATGATGTCGGTTTTTAGCGAGAATTCCCCCAAGTCGGTGAAAGCCGAACACGCGTTTAGGATTTTTGGTAAGTTTTTATTGATTTTGACGGAAACTTAAGGGGGTTGTTGTAGATTTCGACGGCGACGACATGTTAGGCATGTCTGACTTAAAACAAGTCATTGAGCGGTTGATCGGGAAGGACAACCACTTAAGTGAGCAGGAAATGGAGCATTTGATCGAAAACGTTTTGGAAGAAGCGGATCTGGATGACGACCGAGCTCTCTCGTTTGCCGAATTTGAACACATTATTAATAGATCTTCAGATTTTATGAAGTAAGTATCAAGCGTGATTTTTTTTTTATGCATTCGTTGGTTTCAGTGCATTTCGGATGCGTCTTTAATTGATCTCAATCCATGACCAAGTTCGAATAATTCCACAAAGAGCCAAAGTAACCAATTTTATTTAGTGAAATGTACAAACTTACACTGTAATCTTTTTAATACATCACATTATGATTGTAAATATCCTGGGAGCTTCATTCGCATGAAAATCCAAGTCGTGAAAAACGACACCAAAACACAAATAAAACCGACTGCTGTGACCAACAGTCGGTTAAGTTTGGGGGTCAGAGGTGAGTGGATGTGGTCTAGCACTATGAAGCCTAAACCACCCATGGAAAATAGGAAGCTGGACGCCAACCCCTCCATTATGTATTGTCCGTTAACTCTATAAGGCATGAAGGCAACCTAAAAGCGACTGTTAGTGTGTACAAGACAGGAGTGGAGACTCACCGGTCTCGAATGACCGTGTTCGTCTGTGGTGGACCCCACGCTAGGGGGCTCCACGATGACGTCATAAATTATACCTGGAACGAAATAGTGAGCCAGAGTTAGCGAAACCGGGGCACTTACCCCCCGTAACCAGAAAATACGACCCCAGAACTATGGCAAACATCGTCGTAGCGGAGGGTTGGTGCAGCCACGAGGGTCTCTTTATTTTCATATTTGGCACCTCCAATATACAAAACGGGAGTGTGAACAACTGCTCCATTCTTAAAACTAATTTTGTACTCAATTTTTACACTAAACGAAAACTTGTTCACGTTGACAAGCCGGTGACAAGTTTGACAGATCGCGGTCGGTAAAGTCGCTCCCTGTACCCTTATCTCCCCCCAAAAAAAATCCACTTTTATCGCAAATCGTTTACCACGTAATTGTGCGCGGACCCGCGTTATCAGCGCTTAACTTCCGCCAACGAAATTCGTTATCACAATATTCATCAGTGCTCCCACTCCGCTTCAGCTGTCAACTCATACCAACCGCCAAAGTACACGTCAGTTTGTTTAACTCGCAAAGTTTATTCGTTTACTCGCGACTTTGCAGTGAAAACATGCGTTTAAAACACTTTTACCCAACTTCTATAAAATGAAGAATTCGTCACTATGCCTCCAGTGTGTTTTCATTTTCGCTTTGTCTAGGTGAGCTTGCGCCCCCTTGCGACCCCGTCTCACGCTCTGCCCCCAGGTTCCTAGTGCTGGCCGAGGATGCGTCCGCCGAGGACGCCCCGTCGGACGACGACGTGCCCGAGCTGGATAGTGCCGCGGGCGAAACAGTTCCCCTGGAACCTAGTGCGGACGTGAGCGGCTTCAGCGACAAAGTCGTCGAAAACGGGGATGTTTTCCAGCAAATGTTCGCCGAAGCCACGTCCCAGAATTCGGGGGTCGCCAACGAGTGAGTACTCAGTCATGTTCTTGGCACTTTGATGAGTAAACAGAATTTTGGAACGGGCTGATCATGTTGAGTTCAATGCAGTAGTGATTTTCTATTAAAAAATGTGGGTATTTTGAGGAAGCGTTACTTAATTGTTTTTTTGTGTGAGGTGGTGATTGATGGCGACCTTGTCACATTATGCAAGTTTTTTCTCGCGTGGGAGGCGAGTAATTAAGAGGAGACAATGCGCTTGTGGTGATTGTAAATGAGGAGTTTCTTGGGTCTAAAAATAGACCCCTAAATAATTCGAAAATTGTGCGTCAGTCCGTAGTAAACAACGTACGCTCGGACCCGTATTATCACTAACTATGAGTCTATTTATAGTTTAGTTTGAATGTTATCAACAGGAAGGGTAGCTAAGTTGTGATAAAAATTCAAAGGGTCAGAGGTTGTGCTAAATGTGGACTCAATACCCTATTGTCAATTTCGTCACTCAAATAGCACGGGTTCGATTTAGCGAAAGCCAATGACTCTTCCATTTCTCTCCATAAATAGGTTCAAAGACAGCACTAACGGGATCTCAACGTGTGGGCCAGAAATGCGGAGGACAACGATTTCAAACGATCTTGCAATCACAGTCAATTTTATTTTATCATCCAAGTTGCACAAAAATGATTATATGCAACGACAACAATGACAGGAACTGCATAACATCTCACGGTGAATGAATAGATTTTCTTTTGTTGGAGATGTGATGCAATGTTTAGCAAGTCGTTTTGTAAGTGTGTTAATTAAGTCGAATTCGTTGCTCAAACTGAACTACAAATCGTATTATTTTACGTAAAACTACAACATTCCAGTCTCTACAGAGATACTAAATTGATGATGAAATCCTTTGATTCATCGTAAAATTAATCTATATCGTAAACACTATTTACGCTGAAAAAAATCGCGAATTGCGTCATTATTGTCGAGGTTTATTTGCTGGTTTAATTTTTAAATCACGCCGGCGACTTATCAAGAACTTTTTTAAATGCTTTATCAGCAGCGCCCTTGAAAATGTAATTAGTGGCAAATTTTAATTTTCTTGCTTGGTGCGAAGGTGATAATATCGTCGTTGGGTTTGTGGGTTTTTATTATTTATTGGAGGACGTAGTTGTCATGGTCGAAGAAAATTAGTGCAGTGGATGCGGGCTCGAAATAACAAAGCCGTGTGTAATATAATGCGTTATTTGGGTGGAATGGGGAAGTGTCAAGGTCAAGGGTAGTGGGCGTGTGGGTTGGTTTTAATAATGGATTCGTTCAACCCGGTGGGCTATAAATGGAAGTCGGGCAAATATTTGGGTGCGAAGACATCAGGTGAGATCTCGACTAAGCGGTATTAAGTTGTTGTTTCACGATTAAAAGATTATGTGGTTTGTAAAGCGTGATAATGGTCACAGTGTTGTTATTTTTCTCCCAATGACTAAGATATTTTTTGTTCGATTCACGGGATTTTTAAAAATTTTATTTCTCTCGTTTGTGTCGCAATCTTAGGGAGTGGTTTTCAAAACACAATTATTTAGCAATTTCTGATGAAGATAAATGTAGTAATTGTGATATGTGCAACATAATCATAACTTACCGCATTTTTTAAGCTCAGATCAATTAGATAAGCGATTTCTGAGATTATCGATAACATTATTCTAGAACAACAAAAAAGAAAAAACTTGGAACACGTGCCGTAAATGAAAAAAAAATCATTATACACATAAAACTTGACAATCGGTCCAGTAGTTTCGGAAATTAAAATCGACACAGACTTAAGTGGGATTTATAAATTTGCTGTTGTTGAAGTTCCGGTTGCAGTTGCTGAAAATTGTCATTTATAAACTCTGTTGCCATTTATTTATTTATTTATTTATTTATTTATTTAAAGGGGTTGTAGAAGAAATGTCGACGATTTAAGTTGGTTCCTACAGAAATTTATCACTTTAGACATGTTTTAAGTTTCTTGTTGTCGAAATAAGTCTACACATATTAAGAAAAATAGGCAAAATGTCATCCCGCCCACCCACCCTATCTCTATTGTGATGATTTTTTTTTATTCGCCGTAAACCAAGAGGGTGGAGCTTAACTGCAAAATACTTATTTCTTTACAAGAAATTAAAAACATGTTTTTGAGTATCGTGTTGTTGAAAGAATACTATGTATTTTAAGAAAAAAATTAAAGCCAAAGATTAAGCCCTACCCATACCTGCCCTGATCGAAATAATAATGAAGTTTTCATTCGTTGGCAGACCTAGAGGCGGAGCCTAATTGCAAAAACCATATTTCCTTACAAAAATTTACCATTTTAAACATGTTTTAAATTTATAAGAATAAAAAAATCGTCACAATTGAGATGGGGTGGGTGGGCGGGGTTTATATTTTGTCTTTTCTTCTTAATGTACATAGTATTCTTTGAACAACACTATACTCAAAAAAATATTTTTAATTTCTTATAAAGAAATAAGTATTTTGCAGTTAAGCTTCGCCCTCTTGATTAACTTGGAAAAAAAAAATCATTACAATTGAGATGGGGCGGGTGGGCGGGCTTCGATTTATCCTTTTTGTTTTAATATGTGTAGACTTCTTTTTACAACATAAAACATGTTTAAAATGAAAAATTTGTCTAGGGAAATATGTATTTTGCAATTATAGGGCGGAGCCATTTTAACCATGTCCTAAGTTTCTTGTTGTGAAAAAATGGCTATGTATATTAAGAACAAAAAGCCAAAATATAAGCCCCACCCACCCTGTCTTAATTCTGATGATTTTTTTTATTCGTTGTTACTCAAGGAGGCAGATGCTTAACTGCAAAATCCTTATTTTTGTGTGGGAAATTAAAAACATGTTTTTGAGTATCGTGTTGTTCAAAGAATACTATGTAGTATTTTGCAGTTAAGCTCCGCCCCCTTTGTTCACGGCGAATGGAAAAATCATTACAGTTGAGATAGGGCGGGTGGGCGGGCTTACATTTTTCCTTTTTGTTTATTTGGATTTTGCTATTATAGGGCGGAGCCATTTTAACCATGTCCTAAGTTTCTTGTTGTGAAAAGATGCCTATGTATATTAAGAACAAAAAGGCAAAATATAAGCCCCGCCCACCCACCCGCCCTTAATTCTGATGTTTTTTTTTTATTCGTCGTTACTCAAGAAGGCGGATGCTTAACTGCAAAATCCTTATTATTGTATGAGAAATTAAAAACATGTTTTTGAATTTCGTGTTGTTCAAAGAAAACGATTTAGTATTTTGCAGTTAAGCTCCGCCCTCTTGGTTCACAGCGAATAAAAAAGAGATAGGGCGGGTGGGCGGGCTGACATTTTTTCTTTTAGCAAAAAACAAAGCTAAAGATTAGGCCCCACCCATAACCGCCCCGATCTCAACTCTCAATTGCGATGAATTTTTCATTCATTGTCAGATCGAGGGGCGGGGCTTAATTGCAACATCCATATTTGTCTACAAGAATTTACCATTTTAAAAATGTTGTAAGTTTGTTGTTCTGAAAAGACGACTATGTTGTTAAGAAAAAATACAAAATATAAGCCCCGCCCACCCACCCTATCTCGATTGTGATGATTTTTTTTTATTCGTTGTGAGCCAAGAGGGTAGTGGTTAACTGCAAAATTTTTTATTTGTCTACGAGAAATGAAAGACATGTTTTCGAGTATCGTGTTATTCAAAGAATACTATGTGTATTAAGAAAAAATTAAATCCAAACTTGCCCTGATCTAAATAGTAATGAAGTTTTCATTCGTTGACAGACGCAAGGGCGGAGCCTAATTGCAAAATCCAAATTTACTTAAAAAAAATACCATTTTAAACGTATTTTAAGTTTCTAAGAATAAAAAAATCATAACAAGTGGGATGGGGTGGGTGGGCGGGGTTATTATTTTGTCTTCCTTCATAATGTGCATGGTATTCTTTGAAATACACGATACTCAAGAACATGTTTTTAATTTATTGTAAAGAAATAAGTATTTTGTAGTTAAGCTCCGTCCCCTTAGTTCACGGCGAATAAAAAAATCATCACAATTGAGATAGGGCGGGTGGGCGGGGTTACATTCTTCCTTCTTGTTTTAATGTGTGTAGACTTCTTTTCACAACATGAAACTTAAAACATGTTTAAAATGGAAAATTTATATAAGGAAATAAGGATTTTGCAATTATAGGGCGGAGCCATTTTACACATGTCCTAAGTTTCTTGTTGTGAAAAGATGGCTATGTATATTAAGAACAAAAAGGCAAAATATAAGCCCCGCCCACCCACCCTGTCTTAATTCTGATAATTTTTTTTATTCGTCGTTACTCAAGAAGGCGGATGCTTAACTGCAAAACCCTTCTTTTTGTAAGAGAAATTAAAAACATGCTTTTGAGTATCATGCTGTTCAAATAATACTATGTAGTATTTTGCAGTTAAGCTCCGCTCACTTTGCCTTTAAGCAAAAACAAAGCCAAAGATTAGGCCCCTCCCATAACCGCCCCGATCTCAACTCTCAATTGCGATGAATTTTTCATTCGCTGGGAGATCGAAGGGCGGGGCTTAATTGCAACATCCATATTTGTCTACAAGAATTTACCATTTTAAAAATGTTGTAAGTTTGTTGTTCTGAAAAGACGACTACGTTATTAAGAAAAACGGTAAAATATAAACCCCGCCCACCCACCCTATCTCAATTGTGATGAATTTTTTTATTCGTCGTGAGCCAAGAGGGCAGTGGTTAACTGCAAAATTATTATTTGTCTAGGAGAAATTAAAAACATGTTTTTGAGTATCGTGTTATTCAAACAATACTGTATATTAAGAAAAGATTAAGCCCCACCCACACTTGCCCTGATCTAAATAGTAATGAAGTTTTCATTCGTTGGCAAACCTAGGGGCGGAGCCTAATTGCAAAATCCCTATTTCCTTACAAAAATTTACGTTTTAAGTTGCTAGAGATAAAAAAATTATCACAATTGAGGTGGGATGGGTGGACGGGGTTTATATTTTGCCTTTTTTTTTCTTATTATACATTGTATTCTTTGAATAACGCGATACTCAAATATGTTTTTAATTTCTTGTACAGAAATAAGTATTTTGCAGTTAAGCTCCACCCCCTTGGTTCACGACGACTAAAAAAAATCATCACAATTGAGATAGGGCGGGTGGGCGGGCTTACATTTTTCCTTTTTGTTTTAATGTGTGTAGACTTCTTTGCACAACATGAAACTTAAAACATGCTTAAAATGAAAAATTTGTCTAGGGAAATATGGATTTTGCAATTATATGGCGGAGCCATTTTAACCAAGTCCTAAGTTTCTTGTTGTGAAAAGATGGCTATGTGTATTAAGAACACAAAGACTAAATATAAGCCCCGCCCACCCGCCCTGTCTTAATTCTGATGATTTTTTTTATTCGTCGTTACTCAAGAAAGCGGATGCTTAACTCCAAAATCCTTATTTTTGTATGAGAAATTAAAAATATGTTTTTGACTATCGTGTTGTTCAAAGAATACTATGTATTTTAAGAAAAAAATTAAAGCCAAAGGTTAAGCCCCACCCATACCTGCCCTGATCGAAATAATAATGAAGTTTTCATTCGTTGGCAGACCTAGAGGCGGAACCTAATTGCAAAAACCATATTTCCTTACAAAAAACTACCATTTTAAACATGTTTTAAATTTATAAGAATAAAAAAATCGTCACAATTCAGATGGGGTGGGTGGGCGGGGTTCATATTTTGTCTTTTCTTTTTAATATACATAGTATTCTTTGAACAACACTATACTCAAAGAAATGTTTTTAATTTCTTATAAAGAAATAAGTTTTTTGCAGTTAAGCTTCGCCCTCTTCGTTCACAGCGAACAAAAAAAATCATCACAATAGAGATAGTGCGGGTGGGCGGGCTGACATTTTGTCTTTTTGTGTTAATATGTGTAGACTTATTTTCACAACATGAAACTTAAAACATGTTTAAAATGGAAAATTTGTATAAGGAAATATCGAAATATTTCCTTGCAAAAATGTACCACTAACCATGCTTTAAGTTTCTTGTTGTGAAAAGATGGCTATGTATATTAAGAAAAAAAAGGCAAAATATAAGCCCCGCCCACCCACACTATCTCAATTCTGATGATTTTTGTATTCGTCGTAAGCCAACCAGCTTAACCGGGTTTTACACTATCCAATTTATTGATGACCTTGAAGTGTTTTATACTATGTCGCTCCAGTATCAATTTATGGACAATGTGTACAGCATACCAACACTGTAATTAAAAAAAAATCTGCAGTTGGTAGAGGTAATTTCTCCACAAATGGTGACTGAGGCGGAGCTTAAGTTGTGCGACTTGTAGTTGGGCCAGCAGTGGCGTAACATCAATGTATTGAGAAGGGAAAATTTGTATAAGGAGATATTAATTTTGCTAGTAGGCTCCGCCCCATAATTGCAAAATCCATATTTCCTTACAAAAATTTACCATTGTAAACGTGTTTTCAGAATAAAAAAAATCTTCACAATTGAGGTGGGGTGGGCGGGCGGGGTTTATATTTTGTCTTTTTTTTTCTTAATGTACATAGTATTCTTTGAACAGGACGATACTCAAAAACATTTTTTTAATTTCTTGTAAAGAAATAAGTATTTTGCACAATCACAATAGAGATAGGGCGGGTGGGCGGGCTGAGATTTTGTCTTTTTGTGTTAATATGTGTAGACTTATTTTCACAATATGAAACTTAAAACATGTTTAAAATGGAAAATTTGTATAAGGAATTATCGAAATACTTCCTTGCAAAAATGTACCACTTTAACCATGCTTTAAGTTTCTTGTTGTGAAAAGATGGCTATGTATATTAAGAAAAAAAAAAGGCAAAATATAAACCCCGCTCACCCACCCTATCTCAATTCTGATGATTGTTTTATTCGTTGTCAGATCGAGGGGCGGAGCCTAATTGCAAAATCGATACTTTTTACAAAAATTTACCACTTTAAACATGTTTTGTTGTAAAAGGCAAAATATAAACCCCGCTCACCCACCCTATCTCAATTCTGATGATTGTTTTATTCGTTGTCAGATCGAGGGGCGGAGCCTAATTGCAAAATCGATACTTTTTACAAAAATCTACCACTTTAAACATGTTTTGTTGTAAAAGGCAAAATATAAACCCCGCTCACCCACCCTATCTCAATTCTGATGATTTTTTTATTCGTTGTCAGACCGAGGGGCGGAACCTAATTGCAAAATCGATACTTTGTACAAAAATTTACCATTTAAAACATGTTTTGTTGTAAAAAGAAGACTAGACATGATATGATTGTTTTTCAGATTTATTTTGTCAACACAAATTTTCGGACCTTGGGGTTTTTCTGTATTTTATCTAATTCAAAACTATTAAATGTTTGTTGTTAGCATTATCGCGAGCACAGCAAACAACCAATTTACAACAATTACGACTAAGTGATGTTTATCAGACCAATAAACAAATTGATTGATTTTATTTATCGTGTATTGACCAACATGCGTATAGAATTTTAGATTTTCGTGGGCCTTTTATTTCTCGATGTACTATTGTAATAGGGTCTACTCGACGTTTCATAGCTCCTAGAATTTGGGAAAGTAGGTCTTGAACGCATCAAGAATAAGATCAAATCTAATTTAATACTCCTACAAAGAAAACAATAAAGTTTGCTCTCTTAATTGAAGACGTGGGAGTCTCCCACTTGTAATTAATCTTTGTAACGGACATCAGAATTTAATCTAAATGGCCGCTATAACATTGCCACGTGTGTTTTTTCAACACAAATCGCGGTGTTGGTGGATCTTATCCGAAACCGAAAATGCGCAAATATTAACTTGATTAGCTTGTGTTTATGTAAAAAAGAAAACAAATTTAATTTTTAGTAACAATTTATATGTCGTTGCTTGATTTTGAAAGATTATATCTGCGTTAGTTATCTTTGCTGTAATCTGGACATTCCCGAGATATCAAGCATATTTTCCGAATTATTGTGAAATTATTTGTTTTTTTTTTTTAATCCGGAGATAAATCACGTCGCATAAACAAACGCCAGATGGCCAAGGAGTAGAGCAAGTTTTTGATAGCAACTTTTCCTTAAACTAATGTCGTCTAGGTCAACGAAAAAAATTTTTATGTAGTTAAAAAAAAAATGTTTTCGCGGTTTCTTTATCAGTTTTTATAAAAACGACAGTAATAAAAACATTCATTAGTTCAATGCAACGGTTTTTCTCTTATTTTTTATTGCTTGTTGAACCTCAATGTTTTTTATATTGTTCTAAGTTTAGAACCTCAATAGTTTTGTCCGCATTTTTCCCGTTTTATATTTTTTTAACTAGTAAGTGTTGTACTTTATGAATTTATTAGATTAACATTGAATATTACTTATTGTTTCGTCCTTCATTAAAGCAATTTACGTCGGAAATGTTATCACCACACAAAATTTCGTTTTAATTCACTTTGCAAAAACTGGTTGCCATTTTACAGTTCGTAGAACACGAAAATATAGGTCTCCAGTTAAATAAAATAAATGAGCAATGTGTTAGTAATTCTTTGGCGCCACAAAAAACCGCACTCGCACATCCGCCTCATCTCACATTCAATTCCCATTACTCATCGCCATCTGGCGCCTTTCCAACTCTAATTACTCCCCCCGTTCCAGCATAACCACCAGCGGTCCGCCCGTCGTCGTCACCCTCTCCGACGCCGCCACCGCCGAACTCCAACAAAGAGCCATACTTCCTAGTCAGAATGCCGAAGCCGTCGAAACCGGCCACCTCAACCAAACCAACCAAACCGACGTCGACTTCAAAGAAATCAACCAGACCCGGCCCGAGCAGCCCGACAAGCTCGACGTCCTCAAGGAGAACCTGACCGAGGAGATCCCGTCGTTCTCCGAGTGGGCGCAGAAGCAGCTCGAGGAGGCCGAAAAAAACAAAACCAACGCCTCCACGCAGCACCCGAACGCCAACGGCAAGCAGAAGCTGCGCTGGAAGAACTACGCGTCGCTGGACTGCGGCGCCAAGGTGGTGGCGTCCAACCCCGAGGCGGTGAGCCCCAGCGCCATCCTGTCGCCGTCGAGGGACGAGTACAAGCTCAACACGTGCACGAGCAGAATCTGGTTCGTGGTGGAGCTATGCGAAGCGATCCAGGCTAAGAAAATCGATCTAGCGAACTTCGAGTTGTTCTCGTCGTCGCCGAAGGACTTCGTGGTGTCGGTGAGCGACAGGTTTCCGAGCCGGGATTGGTCGAACGTGGGGCAGTTCACGGCGAAGGACGAGCGGGATATACAGAGCTTCGATTTGAGTCCGCACTTGTTCGGGAAGTATATCAAGGTCGAGGTGAAGAGTCACTACGGGTCGGAGCACTACTGCCCGATTTCGCTTTTTCGGGTGTACGGGACGTCCGAGTTCGAAGTGCTGCAGAAGGAGGACCCGGTGCACGCGGATAGGATGGAGGAGGACGACGACGACGATGACGAATCCCTCGATTCCGACAACGACGCGTCCAAGAATTTGTTCAGTTCGGCGACGGATGCAGTCATCTCCATAGTGAAAAAAGCCGCGGAAGTCCTGGGGAACAAGGGGAATCACAGCAACCAGACGGAGCCGTCGAACCACACCAAGCAAGTCGTGCCTTTAATCAAAGTGTGCACGTCGCCTAGTCACCTGGTGGTCTGCGTCAACTGCTCGGACACCCTCTTCGGACAGATCTACGAACTGCTTAGTTGTCATGACTCGGAGATCGCGACCTTGGCGCACTCCCCCTTGATCCGGAAAGCGCTAACCCAAACCCTTATTTGCGCCCCCTTCGGGTTCAACTTCTCCAAACCTGGTCCCTCACGTCCATCCTATATTGCCGCGTTATTCCCCGACCGCTACATCGGCGCCATGTGCAATATGGCCGCCATTTTCCAAAGCAAGGTCGTACTTAACGTGAGCAACCACTACACGAACGCCACCCAAGTGACTGATGATAAACTCGTGAACATCGAAACGTCGGAATTGAACGTGGTGGCGGTGGAACCGGCGCGCGACGAGGTGACGGACGCGCTCAACCTAGACCTGACGGAAGCGGTGAAGTCGACGTGTTCGACGGACGTCACGTACGCCGGGCAGATCAAACCGACGAAGACGCTAACACCGGATTTGGACCTGGGGGGCCACACGGAAGTGGTCGAGGCAGACGGGCAACCAACGAACCCCGAACCACCCAAAGTCAACACAAGCGAGAAAATCGAGGTGGTGGAAACCGAAGACAAAGTCGAAGTGGAGACCGTCACCGAAAGCGTGGAGTTAGACGAGCAGCTGGAGCACTTCATGGAGTTCAACGGAGACAGTCAACACGTGCAGACAACCGCGAGCACGACGCCCCAAGCGCAGAAGGAATCAGTATTTTTGCGCTTGTCCAACAGGATTAAGGTGAGTTGACCCAAATCCGAGCTTCTGGAATAACCCATTTTTCCAGGCACTCGAGCGCAACATGTCCCTCTCCGGCCAGTACCTCGAGGAACTCAGCAAACGCTACAAGAAGCAAGTGGAAGAAATCCAGAAGCTCCTGGACAAAACCATCGCCAGCATAAGCGAAGAAAGCAAGAAAAAGGACGAGCGTAACAAGCAGCTCGAAGAGCGTCTGGCGGCCCTCACCGCCAGCGTGGACGCCCTCATCGCCGAGAAGAAAAGCTGGTCCTCGACCGTCTACTGCGTCATAGTCTCCTCTCTAGTCACCCTATTCTTAGTCACCTTCTGCGCGAAAATCCCCGACCCCATCGCCCCCAAGCGCCCCGAAATGAAGCGCCGGAAATCCATCGACGTGGTGCACCAGCCGCCGCACAAGAAGAAGCGCCGCCCCAGCGACCAAGCCCTCAAGATCGTGCGCTCCTCCATGGAGGCCAGCGAGAGCCTGAAGAAGAAGAAGCGCAAGCAGCAGGCGCTGAAGCGCAGCAACTCCATCAGCACGCTGACCGAGGAGAAGACGGCCGCGGTGTGGACGCGGCAGGAGTCGGCGCCGGCGGCCGTGTGCGTGGACTGGGTGGAGGGCAAGCACCTGGAGGAGGTGCCGTTCGTGCTGGAGGAGAGCGAGCACTCGTCGTTGGAGCCGCTGGCGCTCGCCGAAGGTGGGAAAATTACGGCGCCGAATTTCGTCAAGACGGCTTTGAGTTCCAGGGCGGTGCGGGTGAACGGGGACGCGTTCAAGGCGGCGCGCAAGTCGGCGAGCGTCGACGAGACGAGTCGAAGGAAGGTCTCGGCGAATGGGAGCGTGGGCGGGGAGGGGGGCACGCCGAAGGAGAAGCGCCGGGGGCTGCGGCGGATCTTCAGGAAGGTGTTCTGATGGAGGAGGGATTGTAAGACTGACTACTTTTAAGGTTTGATTGAGGCTGAAATTTCTCATTGAGGTGTACTTCGTGTGCTAGGTTTTATTTACTGTATAACGTGTGGTTAATTTATGCAAATATTAATATATTTTGACTATTTATTGTTCGTTTGTTCCGTGCTGAGGTGAAGAGAAATTCCTTTTAGAGGCCTGTGATAAAATTATTTTTTAAAAGTAGTGTGTTAATATTTGTACATTTTACTTTGCGATGCCTGTTAATAGAGGTCTACGAGATCAGTCTGCGTTTTTGTTCTGACCGGTGCCTTTGCCTAGAGAATGCATACTTATTTTTGTAGAGGTATGTGTATGTGGTTTTCGTTCTTAAGTAGAGGACCGACTTAAGTCGGTTGCTTATAACGCGGACCGCAGACTAAACGCTTGCTATGAAATTACGCTGAAACGACTGGTTTAATTACTTAAAATAGTACGCTGTGATCTGAAAAAGAATTCTTATTTAATAAACTTTACTGTAATATGTTTAGTTTTATTATTACCACTGTACCCATGCGTGAGTAATTTTGCATAATCAGTGTGCTTGCAAACGAATGAATTATTCATTGGTCGTTTTAAAACGCGATTAAACGTGCTACCGAAAATATCCTTGAACGTAATGAGCAATTATTTTCAATCCATAAATTTCATTTTGCATCCAATTATGATAAGCAATGGCTGCGCAAGTAATCGGTGTCGTTGTGTTACATATTTAATGCTGTAGATAGTAGGCCATGAAAAACGTATAGCCGACTAAGATCCAGCGCGCACTGTTTTGATTACAGTAGTATACAGGATGTCTGGAAAAAATAGCGGTTTTCAAAAACTGTCAAAAAAATACTAAATGAAACTCTCATCAAGATAAAAAAGGACGAACACAAGTACGGATAAATTTTTGTCGATTTTTTTAATTTCTTCAAATAACCCAGAAAAACGAAAATATTTTTTTCAAAAATTTTACAAAAAAAAGTAAAATTTGTTCTATTGAAAAGAAAAAATAGTAAACTTTTCATAAAATTACCTTTAATAAAATATTAGTAAAAGGAAGACGGTTTGCAAAATATTTCGAAAAAATTAAAATGGGTTGTTTTATCTATCCAATGAAACGAAAAAAAAAAACGGAATAATAAGTTTCAAGTTTTCTAAAAAAAAAATGGTAAAAGGGCGTAGATTCAAAAGAAAACAGACTAGCCCAAGCAGAAATATTCAAAGACAGCAAATCTGAGGTCATTTTTGCTTTTTTTGGAAATAACAGAGGTGAACTAAAAACGAATTTTCAAAAAATGCTAAATGAGACTCTGTTCAAGAGAAAAACGTGTACACATGTGGATAATTTGTTGTTATTTGTGGTCATTTTTGTTATTTTTCAAAAATTTTCCAAAGAAAAAAATGTTTGCCATATTTAAAGGGGTTGTAGAAGAAGAGTTGAGGATTTAAGTTGTTTACTACAAAAAAGTACAATTTTAGACATGTTTTAAGTTTCTTGTTATCGAAATAAGTCTACAAATAATAAGAAATAAAGGCACAATGGAGCCCCGCCCACCCACCCTGTCTCAATTGTAATGATTTTTCTTATTCATCGTGAGCCAAGAAGGCAGAGCGTAACTGCAAAATCCTTGTTTGTTAAGGAGAAATTAAAAACATGTCTTTGAGTATGCTGTTCAAAGAATACTAAGTATATTAAGAAAAAAATAAAGCCAAAAATTATGCCCCACCCATACCCGCCCCGATCTCAATTCTCAATTGTGACGAATTTTTCATTCGTTGTCAGATCAAGGGGCGGGACTTAATTGCAAAATCCATATTTGTCTACAAGAATCTACCATAATAAAAAAAATCATCACAATTGAGATGGGGTGGGTGGGCGGGGTTTATATTTTGCCTTTTTTTCTTAATATACATTGCATTCTTTGAAGAACACGATACTCAAAAACATGTTTTTAATTCCTTGTACCGAAATAAATATTTTGCAATTAAGCTCCGCCCTCTTGGTTCTCGCCGAATAAAAAAATCATCACAATTAAGAATGGGCGGGTGGGCGGGCTTATATTTTGCCTTTTTTTCTAAATATACGCAGCCATCTTATCACAACAAAAATTAAAACATATCACAACGTATATTAAGAAAATATAAGCCCCACCCACCCGCCCTATCTCAATCGTGATTACATGATAAGTTCTTGTAGAGAAATAAAAATTTTGCAGTTAAGCTCCGCCCTCTTGACTCACGACGAATAAAAAAATCATCACAATTGCGATAGGGTGGGTGGGCGGTCTTACATTTTGCCTATTTGTTTGTAATAGGACATCGATTCAAAAGAAAAAAAAAAGACTAGCGTAAGGAGAAATATTCACAGACAGCGAATCAGAGGTGATATTTGTTTTTTTTTTGGAAATCACGGAGATGAACTAAAAAATAATTTTCAAAAACTGTCAAAAAAATACTAAATTAAACTCTAATCAAGAGAAAAAAGAACGCAAGTACAGATAAAATTTTGTCGATTGTGGTCGTTTTTTTAATCTCTTCAAATAACCCAGAAAAACGAAAATTTTTTTTCAAAAATTTTACAAAAAAAGTAAAATTAGTTCTATTGAAAAGAAAAAATAATAAACTTTTCATAAAATTACGTTAATAAAATATTAGTAAAAGGAAGATGGTTTGCAAAATATTTCGAAAAAATTAAAATGGGTTGTTTTATCTATCCAATTAAACGAAAAAAAAACGGAATAATTTCAAGTTTTCTAAAAAAAAAAAAAGGTAAAAGGGTGTAGATTCAAAAGAAAAAAGACTAGCCCAAGCAGAAATATTCGAAGACAGCAAATCTGAGGTCATTTTTGCTTTTTTTGGAAATAACAGAAGTGAACTAAAAACGAATTTTCAAAAACTGTCAAAAAATGCTAAATGAGACTCTGTTCAAGAGAAAAACTTTGTTATTTGTGGTCATTTTTGTTAATCTCTTCAAATAATCCGGAAAACCAAAAATATATTTTTCAAAAATTTTCCAAAGAAAAAAAATTTGCCGTATGTAAAAGGGTTGTAGAAGAAGAGTTGAGGATTTAAGTTGTTTACTACAAAAATGTTGTTTTTTTATATTTTGCCCTTTTTTCTAAATATACATGGCCATCCTTTCATAACAAAAATTTAAAACATGACTACGTATATTAAGAAAAAAGGCAAAATATAAGCCCCACCCACCCGCCCTATCTCAGTAGTGATGATTTTTTTTTCCGTCTTTAGTCATGGGGTGGAGCTTATTTGCAAAATCCTTGTTTTCCTACGAAAAACTGCAATGTACAACGTGTCGTTGAGTAATCGTGTTGTTGAAAGTACACTATAAGTATGTATTAAGTAAAAAAGAAAGCCAAAAGATAAGCTCCACCCATCCGTCTCAATGTTAATTTGGCTGTAATTTGTAATATACATAGTATTTTTTGAACAACACGATGCTCAAAACATGTCTTGCATGGTAGTTTCTTGTACAAAAATCAGGATTTTGCAATTAAGCTACGCCCTCCTAGCTCACGACGAATAAAAAAGATCATCACAATTGAAACAGGGTGGGTGGGTGGGGCTTATATTTTGCCTTTTTTTCTAAATATACGTAGCCATCTTTTCACAACAAAAATTTAAAACAGATGATTACGTATATTAAGAAAAAAGGCATGTCTGCCCCGCCCACCCACCCTATCTCAATCGTGATAAATTTTTTTCCCCGCCTTTAGTCGTGGGGCGTAGCTTAATTGCAAAATCCTTGTTTTCCTACGAAAAATTGCAATGTGCAACATGGTCTTGAGTAATCGTGTTATTCAAAGTATACTATATGTATTAAGTAAAAAAGATAAGCTCCACCCATTCGTCTCGATCTCAATCTGGCTTTAATTTGTAATATACATAGTATTTTTTGAATAACACGATGCTCAAAAAATGTCTTGCATGGTAGTTTCTTGGAGAAAAATTAAAATTTTGCTATTAAGCTCCGCCCTCTTGGCTTACGATGAATAAAAAAAATCGTCACAATTGAGACAGGGCGGGTGGGTGGGGCTTATATTTTTAGCCTTTTTTTCTGAATATACGTAGTCGTCTTTTCATAGTAAAAATTTAAAACAGACGACTACGTATATTAAGAAAAAAAGGCATGTCTGCCCCGCCCACCCACCCTATCTCAATCGTGATGATTTTTTTTCCCCGCCTTTAGTCGTGGGGCGGAGCTTAATTGCAAAATCCTTGTTTTCCTAGGGAAAATTTCAATGTGCAACATGTTCTTGAGTAATTGTGTTGTTCAAAATACACTATATGTATTAAGTAAAAAAGAAAGCCAAAAAATAAGCTCCACCCATCCGTCTCGATCTCAATCTGGCTTTAATTTGTAATATACATAGTATTTTTTGAAAAACACGATGCCCAAAAAAAGATTTTACATGGTAGTTTCTTGTAGTAAAAATAAGGATTTTGCCATTAAGCTCCGCCCTCTTGACCCACGACGAATAAAAAAAATCGTCACAATTGAGACAGGGTGGGTGGGTGGGGCTTATATTTTGCCCTTTTTTCTTAATATACGTAGCCATCTTTTCACAACAAAAACTTAAAACAGATGGCTACGTATATTAAGAAAAAAAGGCATAATATCAGCCCCGCCCACCCACCCTCAATCGTGATGATTTTTTTACCCCTCGTAAGTCGCGAGGACGGAGCTTAATTGCAAAATTCTTGTTTTTCTATGAGAAATTGCTATGTGAAACATGTCATTTGCGAAAATCAGTCTTAACAGGTACTAGCCCCGCCCACCCACGCCCTCTTTTCTTACAGGGCATTTCTTTTGCCAAAATCAGTCTTATTGTAGCAGATACTAGCTCCGCCCACCCACCCTCTCTTTTCTTATAAGGTATGTCAACTGCCAAAATCAGTACTACCCCCGTAAGTACTCATGCATTAGATTCGTGCAGTGTTGCCAATTTTACTTTTTCTCTTTTTTTTTAGTAATCTACATCATAAAGAACTTTTTTATCATTTTTTATTACATAACGTACTGACGAGTTAATCCGTCATTTTCCAGACACCCGGTATAGTCAATCAAAGGTTCGCCGCGCTCCCTAAAGTCTTTAAAGTCCAATTTTACAGGAATCTGTAACACCTTAATTATCACCAAAACGGTTTTGACAGTTACTTGTCAATGCCACCATTGTCAATTTCGAACTTATTAAACTTTTTTAAGTAGAAAGGTACTCAAATTAGGAGTATATTGAAGTGGTTGGTTAAAATTTCAACAATAAAATTCAGCGGTGCCAGACGTCAGTTGGCCATGGAAAAACCAATACGAGCGCCATCGTGCGGACAGTTCGTGAAACAAAATCACGAATGTCAACACTGTCACTTTCTCTTTGAAATAAATAAATAAATAAATACCCACTTTATCATAAAATATTTAAATTATTCAAAAACTCCTCGACGTGTACATTACCATCACTACCCAACTGATTTCTCTTAAAAAAAGCATTAATGTCACTCGAACTCTCGCCGAACCGTTTCTTCACGTCACCAAAATCCACCTTCTCACCACCACAAACCAAAACTTCGTTAAGATCTTCAGCCAGTTTATACGAGACGACAGTTTTAAATTTCCTCCTCAATTTATCGACAATCGCGGGCCTCAAACTGCACTCACGAAGCACCAAGTTCAACACAAAAAACCCTAGAAAGTACCACAATTACAAAAAAAAATCCCCAAAAAGCGACAAGTACCTGAATCGGCGACCAATTTAGCGACATTATCGAGCACCTCCTCCTCCAGGAACTGCTGCGGAGGACAACTCATCCCAATACTGCTATCCTTGCTATCCACATCGAACAAAACCGCGTCCCAGCGCTCCCCCGCCGCCGCCATTTTCCCCAAAAACTCCACGCCATCTTGAATCACCACCTTCAACCGCTCGTTCTGCACCAACCCGAACCACTTCGTCGCCACTTCGAGCATCTCCGGGTCGATATCCACAGCCGTGATTCGCGTTTTCGGCAGAAACTTGTACAAGAAGGAGCACAACCCGCCGCCTCCCAGCCCCACCACCGCCACCGAGCTGGGTTGTCGTTTGCGTGTGGCTAAGTGCGCCGCCACGCTCATGTACACGTGATGGCGACACGTCAAGTGCGTCAAGTCCACGATCTCTTTCGCACTTTTCTTGGTTTTGATGGTTTTTAATTTGGCTTCTGATTGGATGACGAGCTGCGAACTTAAGTAGAACAGGCGCCGGAATTTGTTTGAGTCGATCTGCACATCTTCGACCACGTAGGGACCCGAGAAGTCGGATTTGCCTTCGACTTTAATCGACCGCGAGCCGACGTCGGAACCTAGGGACAAGTAGGGGATTTTTTTGTTTTTTAGCGAGGAGGGGGCGAGGTTGCAGACTGTTTCGTTCAACTCGGTTTGGACTTGCTCGAAAGTACCGAAGTTGTGGCCGCGGTGCATTGTCACGATTGCCAACCGGTTGGTTTTAGTGACTTTGGTTAGGTGTTGGCGACCGGACTTAGTGGAAAAGAGCCACTCCGCCTCCCTAAACAAAAAACGTTATTATTTTATTTTAAAATCGTAGTTATAAAAAAAACGCACCTGCCCTGGGGGACTATGAAGGCGGCGTACTGCGCATTGCTCGCCTCGGGCTTAATATCAACCACGTAGACCGTAAACCTGGGTTTAGAAATCTCCCCCTTGTACAAATCGAGCGAAATCTCGTCCTCTTGAATCGTCGTCCTTTTGATACTAGAACACACGAAAGCCGCTCGTTGCACGTTCGCGACGTGCACCATCACGTCCTCGGTGGTCTCAAACCGCTGCATTTTATCCCCAGTGCTAAAATTAACCTCCAAAATCCGCCTCGGTAGCGCCTTGAATTTTGTGCAAATCACCACAAACACAGGCATTGTGTTTTCCCCATTCTCGATCGCTTTGTTCTCGGCTTCGAAACAACGCACCACCCGGAACATCCAATTATTATTCGGAAAATAGTCCAACAAAGCTTGCAAAATGTGTTCCTGCAATAGGGTCACACAAATGTAACGACCCGCCAATTTTAGCACTCGTTGGACTTCAGTGAAGTATGTTTCGATTTTGGTGAGAGTCTCGGGGGTTGAGTCGGGCATTAAAGCGTCTAGAGTGCCTTTATCGACAACGACCGTGAAGCTTTCGTCGTTGAAAGACATGTCTAGAGCGTCCATTTGGAGGTATTTGAGGTTAGGGCGCTCTTTCTCGGTTTGGGATAGCATTTGGCGGATGACCACTTGCGAGATGTCGATGTTGGTGATTTTGCTTGAAAAGAGACACGTTAGGGGTGACAAGGGGGCTGTGTGAGTCTTACTGGTAACCAATGTCGTATAAGTCGCGTCCGAGGGTCGAATTTCCGCAACCCGTGACGAGAATGTCATCTTGTTCCTTGATATATTTGTGCAAGTGGGTTGAAAGCTCCGGATATTCACCGTACCTTCGAAAAAAAAAATTAATCGAAAGTGAGGTTAGGTTGTTGACGTACCATTCGAAGGCTTTAGCGCCCCGTTTCTTGAAAAAAGAGTCCCAGTATTCCTTCTGACTGAACTCTTTGTGAGATTTTGGTAGTAAATTCATTTTATTTCACTAAAGTGGTTTATTGTTTGTATACACGACACGAGGTTAAGTCGGGTCAACTGAACTACTCACCGCTCTCAGAATTAATAATCAATTTGAAACTAATAATACATTTTTCATATATAAAACAAAACAATTAGAAGCGAACACGTGCAACTAAAGTGATAAACAAATTACTAGAATTTTGTTGCGTAATTAAAACACGTGGGTAGACGCTATGCACGGTAGTTGCAACCGATTTGTCACTTGTCACTTGTCAATTTGCATTAAACCTACTTTTTGTAATAATAGATTTTAAAAATTGTTTGCTTTCGTTATCTGCTTGTATTTTTAAACTAAATCACTCGCTGTGATACAAAATTATAGATAATAGTCTTTAATACGTCTTGAGTGCGCCACGCATTCAGTGCATGACCTCTACGTCCTTCACCTGTCACCTCACACCACCACTCCAAAAATATTAGCCGGTATATTCGAGATAAATCATCTTTTGGCACCCGTATTCCGTCACAAGTGCATGTTTCCCAACTAGAGGTCATTCAGGGTGACAGCGTCATAGATACGTAAACTATTTCCATTCATTTGACCACCAGCAAGCCACTACTTCGTTACCATGGCTCTGAAACACACCGTCAAGCTTTTCGCCGTGAACAAAAACGGGTGCGCCGTCTTTACCCAAAGGGCGAAGTAAGTTTTCTTAAATTTTATTCCATAACCCCCCTAATAACTGATTTTTAGCTCGTGGTGGTCCCAAGTGGAGATGGGCCCTCCCGATGCCATTTTGGGTGTAACTGAAGCCTTCAAACGCGATACCAACCCCAGTAAGATAAATCTAGGAGTAGGCGCCTACAGAGACGACAACGGTAAACCATATCTCCTTCCAAGTGTACTCAAAGCCGATGAAAAATTGAGGGCACAGAAACTGGATAAGGAGTACGCCCCTATCGCTGGTAACCCCGAATTTTGCAAACTTGCGATTTCGTTGGCTCTTGGAGACAACTCAGAGGTTATAAGCAACGGTTTGAACGCCACTGTGCAGAGCATCTCCGGCACGGGCGCGCTGCGAGTGGGGGCTGCCTTCCTCAACAACTTCTTCCCAGGCAACAAGACTGTGTACTTACCCAAACCCACGTGGGGCAACCACACCCCCATTTTCAAGCACTCGGGGCTCAACGTGGGGGCCTACACGTTCTACGAGCCGCAGTCGTGCGGGTTCGACTTCCAGGGGGCCCTGAATGACATTTCCGTGAGTAAACCCTGAGTAAACCAAAAATTCTTCAGCTTTTTTGACACCAACTCAAACAAGTTGACGTTTAGTTTATTAGTTTTTGAATCAAGTAGGCAGTTTTGGTGTAATGTTGGTTGCATACTTATGGGGTATTAAAATTTTCTGTCATTTTTGATGTAGAAAATCCCCGAAAAATCCATCATTCTGCTCCACGCTTGCGCCCACAACCCCACCGGGGTCGACCCCTCCCCCGAGCAGTGGAAGGAGCTGTCCCAGGTGGTCAAAAAGCGCAACCTCTTCCCGTTCTTCGACATGGCGTATCAGGGCTTCGCCTCCGGGGACATCGACCGGGATGCTCAGGCCGTGCGCCTCTTCCTCAAGGACGGCCACAAGATGGTCTTGGCGCAGAGCTTCGCCAAAAACATGGGCTTGTATGGCGAGAGGGCGGGGGCTTTCTCTGTCATTGGTGACAGCAAGGACGAGGCTGACAGAGTCATGTCGCAAGTCAAGATTTTGATTCGTGCCATGTACTCGAACCCGCCAATCAACGGCGCCCGTATCGTAGCTACCATCCTGAGCGACCCCAGTCTGCGCGCTGATTGGCTCAAGGAGGTGAAGGGGATGGCTGACCGCATCATCGGGGTGCGCACGCAGCTGCGCGAAAACCTGAAGAAGGAAGGGTCGTCGAAGAACTGGCAGCACATCACCGACCAAATCGGGATGTTCTGCTACACGGGGATGACGCCCCCACAGGTAGGCGGAGTCGGAGGCGGGGCTAGACTGACGCTTGTGTTGTAGGTGGAGAAGCTGATCAAGGAGCATAGCGTGTACTTGACCAAAGACGGGAGGATTTCCATGGCGGGGGTGACGTCCAAGAACGTGGATTATCTAGCGCGTGCCATGCATCAAGTAACCAAATAAGGGGCGGAGCCAAGCGCATTTTATTAGCATTTACGAAGTATTATGCTTTAAGTATACAAAAAAACACTGTACATTTTACAAGTCAGATTTAATAAAATAGATATTTATAAAATACAACTTTAAATACAACTTGAACACAATCTTAATACGTTTGTCGCTCAATAAAATTTAAACTATACAAAATTCAGATTTTGCTTTCCGTCGTTGGCCACTCGATACTGTCGAAGTCTTTACAGTTCGAGAGTAGGTGATTTTTCACGATGCTCTGTAAGGCACACCTCATCGATTTTTCTTCGTTCAGTTCGGAAGACAGCGCTGATACGTTGTACTCTAAAATACTTAATTTACTTTGAAGGACTTGGACGGCGTCGATCAAATTTTTATTTGAATCTGTTTTCGACCAGTTCGTCACATCAACTGGAAAAGCAAGTCGATAAAAAGGATACTTGCTACCGATAGGAGTAAGAACACACACACCAGTTAAGTACTACGAGATTTGGTAAATATCATCACAGATCGTCAGAGTACATGAAGCTTCGATGGAGTCGGGACGATCGCACATTCTTGAGAAAAAAAGCAGTTTGGTTAGGGAGTGTGAAAAAAACATGCACAATGGGGAGAATGTGCGATCGGTAGTGTCACGTTTTACGAAAAATTCAAGGATTTAAATTGTTTTAAAGTGGGGTAAAGGTCGATGATGTTTTTAAGCAGTTGGATGCTATTATGCAATCATTATGCGATTTTTGGTTCAATATCCTGTAAACAAAATTATCGGGACGGTTTTTTCCGGTAATAATCCGTGCGTATCTGACAAATATTGCGGCAGATGTTTCCAAATAGTTACGTTTGTGCATTCTTAGAAAAATTTTGCAAGCTTTGTGGGACAAGCTTATGGAGTGTGAGAAATATCGATATCTACAGAGAAGTAAATATTAACATACGAGTATTACGTCAGTTGAACTACACGTGTCAACGTATATACAGGTGGAGATATTATCGTGATTTTTTATCGATTAATTTATTGATTTCCAAAATAATAAAAAAAATACGTAAATCGAATGTACCTAGTAACCCTGAGGAGCTGAACAATTGTCAAAATATCATTAGTCCAGTTCCAACTACATAAATAAAAAATTATCTTGTAATTCCTGTGAATTCAAAATAATGCCACTTTTTCTAATAATTATTTTGAATTCAAACAAGTATGTGTATTTTAGTCCTCGAGGAAGCTCTAATAAAGGAGCGAAACGTTGAGTTAAAGACAAACGCTTATTTCTCTGTCCTGGAGTCCACTTTTTCGACAATGATTAATATTTATAATTTTGAGAATTTCTAAAAATATATAAAGAGCGTAAAATAAGCACAAGAATCTTGAGTAACTGAATAAAATACACCAGTTTCATGTAATATCGTTCCAATTCCCCCTAATGCCAACGTAATTCCCGTAAATTCGAGATAATTCCATTTCTTGTAATCAATTTTTCAAATGCCAGAGTAATTTTCGAAATTCCCGCCACAAATCATTAAATACATAATTAATTTTAGTTTTATCTTTCTGAAAAAAGGTTATGAAATTTAAAAAATGTATCAAAAATTCCAACAAATTTCACAAAACTGCACAAAATTCCACTAATTACAATTAAATTCTTGAAATTCCAGTGTACCCAAAACAATTTTAAGAACTTCAGAAGTTCCATTCCATTAAATAAAGTAACTTTTTCGAAAAATATGCATTGACTGAAAAGTTGAAAAATTACCAAAATCTTTGTAACGAAGTTATTTTTGAAATTCCCAGAAAAATCACTAAATGCATAATTAACTTCAGTTTATCACTTTCGAAAAACATTGTGAAATTTAAAAAATGTCAGTAAATTAAAAACAAAAATTCCGTAAGTTCAAAAAATTCCACCAACTAAAAGTAAAACTTTGGAGTTCCAGTGTATCCAAAACAATTTTAAGAATTTCCAAAATTTCATTCCATTAAATACGGAAATTCTATCGAAAAATATAAAGGAATAACGTAGTGACCTTGAAAATTACCAAAATTTCATGTAATATAATTCCAATTCCGACTAATGTCAAAATAATTCCGCTAAATTCGAAATAATTCCACTTCCTCGTAACGAAGTTATTTTTGAAATTCAAAAATTCCTTTCCACCCAAAAAACTAAAATTCAAAAATGAGTACATTAAAAACAAAATTTCCCTAAGTTCAAAAAATTCCTCCAACTGGAACTGAATTTTTGAATTCCAGTGAATGCAAAACAGTTTTAAGAATTTCTAAAATTCCATTCCATTAAATACAGTAATAATTATCTCTAAGAATATAACGGAATTAATTTATTTTTATTCTAATTAACTCCGACTAATGCAAACATAATTTCAGTAAATTCCAAATAATTCCTTGTGATAAATTCTTCAAATTTCACAGTTATTCTCGAAATTCCCCTGAAAAATGATTAAATACATAATTGATTTTAGTTTTATAATTTTCAAAAAAATATCAAATTAAAAAAGTGTAGCAAAAATTCCAAAAAATTACACAAAAATATCAGCAAACTGTAAAAAATTCCGCCAATTACCATCAAAATTTCATAGAATATAATTCCAAATCCGACTAATGCCAAAATAATTCCGGTAAATTGGAGATAATTCAATTTCCCCGTAACAAATTCTTCAAATTCCAAAGTAATTCTTGAAATTCTCAACAAATTACTAAATGCATAATCAAGTTTAGTTTTACCATCTGCGAAAACCATAATCAAATTAAAAAATGTATTAAAAACATTCAGTAAATTAAAATAAAAAATTCCGTACGTTCAAAAAATTTACCAACTAGAACTGAATTTTTGGAATTCCAGTGAATGCAAAACAATTTTAAGAATTTCTAAAGTCCCTTCCCATTAAATAAAGAAATAATTCTGTCTAAGAATATAACGGAATTACGTAATAATTGATCCTGAGGAGCTGAAAAACTACCAAAATTTCATGAAATATCATTCTAATTAACTCCGACTAATGCAAACATAATTTCGGTAAATTCCAAATAATTCCTTGTCATAATTTCTTCAAATTTCACAGTTATTCTCGAAATTCCCCTGAAAAATGATTAAATACATAATTGATTTTAGTTTTATAATTTTCAAAAAAATATCAAATTAAAAAAGTGTAGCAAAAATTCCAGAAAATTACACAAAAATATCACCAAACTAAAAAATTCCGCCAATTACCATCAAAATTTCATAGAATATAACTCCAAATCCGACTAATGCCAAAATAATTCCAGTAAATTCGAGATAATTCAATTTCCCCGTAACAAATTCTTCAAATTCCAAAGTAATTCTTGAAATTCTCAACAAATTACTAAATGCATAATCAATTTTAGTTTTACCATCTGCGAAAACCATAATCAAATTTAAAAATGTATTAAAAATATTCAGTAAATTAAAATCAAAAATTCCGCACGTTCAAAAAATTTATCAACTAAAACTGAATTTTTGGAATTCCAGTGAATGCAAAACAGTTTTAAGAATTTCTAAAATTCCATTCCAGTAAATACAGAAATCTTGTCTAAAAATATAATGGAATTACGTGGTGACTTAGAAGAGCTGAAAATTTACAGAATTTCATGCAATACGGATAATTCCAATTCCGACTAATGCCAAAAAAATAATTCCGGTAAATTCGAGATAATTCCACTTTCTCGTAACGGATTCTCTAAATAGTTTCACCATTTTCGAGAAATTCAAGTTTAGTTGTACTCTTTTCGAAAAACCTAATGAAATTTAAAAATGTATTTAAAAAAAAACGTAAATTGATAAAAAAAAAATCCGTAAGTTTAAAAAATTCCACCAACTAAAACTAAATTCTTAAAAATCCAGTGTAACTAAAACAGTTTTAGGAATTTCGAAAATTCCATTCCAGTAAATAAGGTAATTCTATGGAAGAATAAACGGATTTTCGTAGTAAATGATTTTGAAGGGCATAAAAATTACCAAAATTTCAGGCAATATACATAATTCCAATTCTCACAAATTCCACAATAATTCCGGTAAATTCTAGACAATTCCACTTCTTCGCAACGAATTCTTCAAATTCCACAGCAATTCTTGAAATTCCGAAAAAATCACTAAATGCATAATCAAGTTTAGTTGTACTCTTTTCGAAAAACCTAATGAAATTTAAAAATGTATTTAAAAAAAAACGTAAATTGATAAAAAAAAATCCGTAAGTTTAAAAAATTCCACCAACTAAAACTAAATTCTTAAAAATCCAGTGTAACTAAAACAGTTTTAGGAATTTCGAAAATTCCATTCCAGTAAATAAGGTAATTCTATGGAAGAATAAACGGATTTTCGTAGTAAATGACTTTGAAGTGCTGAAAAATTACCAAAATTTCATGCAATATATATAATTCAAATTCTGACAAATTCCACACTAATTCCGGTAAATTCTAGACAATTCTACCTCCTCGCAACGAATTCTTTAAATTCCACAGCAATTCTTGAAATTCCGAAAAAATCACTAAATGCATAATCAAGTTTAGTTTTACCATTTTCGAAAAACCTAGTGGAATTTAAAAAAGCATTTAAAAAAAATGTATATTAATAAAAAAAATCCGTAAATTTAAAAAATTCCACCAACTAAAATTAAATTTTTAAAACTCCAGTGTAACTAAAACAGTTTTAGGAATTTCGAAAATTCCATTCCAGTAAATAAGGTAATTCTACGGAAGAATAAACGGAATTTCGTAGTAAATGACTATGAAGGGCTGAAAAATTATCAAAATTTCATGCAATATACATAATTCCAATTCTGACAAATTCCAAAATAATTCCGGTAAATTCGAGACAATTCTACTTCCTCGCAACGAATTCTTCAAATTCCACAGCAATTCTTGAAATTCCGAAAAATCACTAAATGCATAATCAAGTTTAGTTTTACCATTTTCAAAAAACCTAATGAAATTTAAAAATGTATTTAATAAAAACGTAAATTAATAAAAAAAAATCCGTAAGTTTAAAAAATACCACCAACTAAAATTAAATTTTTAAAAATCCAGGGTAACTAAAATAGTTTTAGGAATTTCGAAAATTCCATTCCAGTAAATAAGGTAATTCTATGGAAGAATAAACGGATTTTCGTAGTAAATGACTTTGAAGGGCTGAAAAATTACCAAAATTTCATACAACATACATACACAATTCCAATTCTGGCAAATTCCACAATAATTCCGGTAAATTCTAGACAATTCGATTTCCTCGCAACAAATTCTTGAAATTCCACAGCAATTCTTGAAATTTCGAAAAAATAACTAAATGCATAATCAAGTTTAATTTTACCATTTTCGAAAAAACTAATGAAATTTAAAAATGTATTAAAAAACCGTAAATTAATAAAAAAAATCCGTAAGTTCAAAAAATTCCAACTAAAACTAAATTCTTAAAAATCCAGTGTATATAAAACAGTTCCAGGAATTTCGAAAATTCCATTCCATTAAATAAATTAATTCTGTCAAAAATATCATTTCATATAATATCAATTTACTTATACTAATATCTGGTACTTCAAGTGACCTGTGAAAGTCACAAATGCTGCAAATTTGCCACTTCTTTGTAATGGTAGATATATTTTTGGAGCTTTGTCTTTGACTCAAACTTTCAAACTGATGGTAATCTGACAAGACGAAAAATCTGTCAAAGACAAATGTTCAAAAATCCATGGCTGTCTTTGATCGTGTTTTTTATTCCTCTCTAGTTAGTTACACACTCCGAAAGAGGCGGAACAAATCAGTGCCGACTTGGATATGTCATTTGTCAAAGTAATTCCCTCGAATTTTGGGAGATTCCAACAATTACTAATTAATTCCTGTTAATTCCGGCGAATTCGTGACAATTCTCTACCTTATAAAAACCCCAGCATCCAACTGTAAAAAAATCCACTCTCATCAAACCCCACCCCCACTTCCCTCCTCCATCGACCGTCTGCCAAGTGCGCCACCACCAAACTCTACTCTAAGTGCTGCGTCTTGCGCAGCTGTCGCACAACGAACGAGCCACAGCACCAGGTGGAAGCCCTCGGCGCGTGCGGCCTGTAGTTGCGCGGCTGGAGGACTTGCGCCACCGCCGACGAGGACCGGCTGAGGTCGATGCTGGACCTGTGCGAACGTGCCAGTTTATCATGCATTCGTACGTTACCGCCGGTCAGTAAGTCCGCTGCGAAGAGCCGAACCGCCCACCACCAGAGATGGAACAGAGATAGAAGTTAAGAAGGGGAGAGACAGATAGCGAGAGGACGGGGACGGTGCCGGAGCGGCACTCACCTGAGTTGACGGTGTTGCGGGGCTTCACCGTGCAGAAGTACGCCTCGATCACGTCGAGGATGAGCCCGTCCTCCTTGTAGCTGAGGCGGGGGCCGGGCCGGCTGTACGGCACGGGGCTGAAGGCGAGGCAGGGGCGCAGCGGCGGCGACGGGCGCAGGTTGGTGGCCGACCAGCCGCGGCCGTGGGGCGGCGGCGGCGGCGGGCTAGTGGCGCCGCTGGAGCGGCTGCTCGGGGGCGTCGCGGACCCGCCCGCCACCAGAGGAGACGTCTGCAAGAAAAGACAAACATTTACAATCCGAGTCAAACTACTGATACTGTGGTAATTAATACTTTGGTCTTGGTAGCGTTTTTGAAGCGAAAAGAATGCGGGTTTCTGTAGCTGAGTGACTATGCTTCAATGATTTCCTTGTTTATTAGTGATTTTTTTTTTAATTTGAATAGTTTCCAAAATAAAAATAAAGTCAGTTTCTAGGACAAATTATAAATTTTAATTATAATTTTATTTTTTACAACATTATAATTTTTTTTAGGATTAGAATTTTTCATTATTTAGAGGATTTTATTTTAAATTTTTGTTGAAATATTGGTTTTAATTTTATGTTGGATTCTTAAACTACAATGCGTAAGTTTCAGTGATTTTTTTTTTAATAAAATGTGATAATTTCAAAAATGTGATAAAAGGACAAAAAAAAAAACAACCAAAAAAGACTACAAAAAAGGGGACTAAAATTGTAGAGTGACAGAAAAAAGCAAAAAAGCAACAAAAAAGAACTAGAAAACAAGACAAATAAAGCGAGGAAAAAGACAAATAAAAGCCATTACAAAAACGGCAAAAAAGGAGTCAAAGAACGACCAAAGAAAAGCCAAAAAAGCTCAAAAAGAGACAAATAAATTGACAAAACCACAAAAAAAGGGACCAAGATTATAAAAAAAATTACGACAAATTGCGCTTCCAAAAAAGGGACCAAAATAGGCGACACAAAATTTACAAAAAAAAAACTTATCAAAAAAAAAAAAAACGCCAAAGAAAAAACGCAATAAAAAACAAAACGAAAGTCTTTAAACAATCTGGGCGACCAAAAAGACAAGTAAAAGCGAGAAAAAAGGCCATAAAAAAACGAAAAAAGAATCCAACAAAAAAGGCTCCCAAACAATTGACAAAAACAAAAAATGAACCAAAAACTTACAAAAAGACCACAAAAGTGAAAAAAAAGACGATAAAAAACACATTAAAAAAATTCCAAAAAATGGTTAAAATTGGTTCAATCGACCGAAAATTGGTGTCAAATTATAGATCATCTTCGCCCAGTTACAAATCCGAAATCGCCGTCCCGACATTTGTTCCAATAAAACCAAAAAGTGAATACAAAATTTTCAAAAATTTTCCAAAAAATCGTTAAAATTGGTTCAATCGATGTAAAATTAGTGTCAAATTGTAGATGATATTCCGCCAGTTGCAAATCCGAAATCGCCGTTCCGATATTTGTTCCAATAAACGCGAAAAGTGAATTCAAAATTTTCAAAAATTTTCCAGAAATATGGTTAAAATTGGTTCAATCGACCGAAAATTGGCGTCAAATTGTAGATAATCTTCCGCCATTTACAAATCCAAAATCGCCATCCCGAAGTCTGGTTCAATAAACGCGAAAAATAAATTCAAAGTTTTCAAAAATTTTCCAAAAAAAGCTTGAAATTTGTTCAATCAAGCGAAAATTGGTGTGAAATTGTAGATAATCTTCGGCCAGTAACAAATCCGAAGTTGCCGTCTCAATATTTGTTCCAATAAACGCAAAAAGTGAATTCAAAATTTTCAAAAATTTTCAAAAAAAATGGTTAAAATACGTTCAATCGAGGGAAAATTAGTGTCAAATTGTGGCTAATTTTCCGCCAGTTAATCTCAAATTGCCGTCCCGATATTTGTTCCAACAAAAACAAACGCAAAAAGTGAATTCAAAATTTTCAAAAATTTTCCAAAAAAATGGTTAAAATACGTTAAATCGAGGGAACATTGGTGTCTAATTGTGGCTAATTTTCCGCCGGTTACAAATCTCAAATTGCCGTCCCGATATTTGTTCCAATAAAGGCGAAAAATAAATTCAAAATTTTCACAAATTTTCCAAAAAATAGCTTGAAATTTGTTCAATCAAGCGAAAATTGGTGTGAAATTGTAGATAATCTTCGGCCAGTAACAAATCCGAAGTTGCCGTCTCAATATTTGTTCCAATAAACGCAAAAAGTGAATTCAAAATTTTCAAAAATTTTCAAAAAAAATGGTTAAAATACGTTCAATCGAGGGAAAATTAGTGTCAAATTGTGGCTAATTTTCCGCCAGTTACAAATCTCAAATTGCCGTCCCGATATTTGTTCCAACAAACGCAAAAAGTGAATTCAAAATTTTCAAAAATTTTCCAAAAAAATGGTTAAAATACGTTAAATCGAGGGAACATTGGTGTCAAATTGTGGCTAATTTTCCGCCAGTTACAAATCTCAAATTGCCGTCCCGATATTTGTTCCAATAAAGGCGAAAAATAAATTCAAAATTTTCACAAATTTTCCAAAAAAAAGCTTGAAATTTGTTCAATCAAGCGAAAATTGGTGTCAAATTGTAGATCATCTTCGGCCAGTCACCAATCCGAAATTGCTGTCTCGATATTTATTGCAAAAAAACGCGAAAAATTAATTCAAAAATTTAAAAAGTTAAAAAAAAAATGGTTGAAATTTGCTCAATCGACTGAAAATTGGTTTCAAATTGTAGATAATCTTTCGATAGTGACAAATCCCAAATCGCCAACTCGGTATTTGTTCGAATAAACGCGAAAAATTAATTCAAAAATTTCAAAAATTTTCCAAAAAAAATGGTTGAAATAGGTTCAATCGGCCGAAAATTGGTCTCAACGGGTAGACAATTTTCCGCCAGTTACTAGTCCCAAATCGCCGTCTCGATATTTGTTCCAATAAACGCGAAAGCGAATTCAAAATTTCCAAAAATTTTCCAAAAAAATGGCTAAAATTTGTTCAATCGACCGAAAATTGGTGTCAAATTCTAGGTGATCTTCGACCAGTTATAAAACCGAAATCACCGTCCCGATATTGGTTCCAATAAACGCGAAAAGTGAATTCAAAATTTTCAAAAATTTTCCAAAAAAATTATTAAAATACGTTCAATGGAGGGAAAATGAGTGTGTCAAATTGTGGCTAATTTTTCGCCAGTTACAAATCTCAAATTGCCGTTCCGATATTTATAGCAATAAACGGGAAAAGCGAATTCAACATTTCCAAAAATAAAAAAAAAATGTTAAAATTTGTTCAATCGACCGAAAATTGGTGTCAAATTATAGATAATCTTCCGCCAGTTACAAATCCGAAATCGCCATCCCGAAATCTGTTCCAATAAACGCGAAAAATTAATTCAAAATTTTCAAAAATTTTCCAAAAAAAAGCTTTAAATTTGTTCAATCAAGCGAAAATTGCTGTGAAATTGTAGATAATCTTGGGCTAGTTACAAATCCGAAATCGCCGTCCCGATATTTGTTCCAATAAACGCGAAAAATAAATTCAAAATTTTCACAAATTTTCCAAAAAGAAGCTTGAAATTTGTTCAATCAAGCGAAAATTGGTGTCAAATTGTAGATAATATTTCGCTAGTTACAAATCCAGAATTTCCGTCTCGATATTTGCTCCAATAAACGCGAGAAGTGAATTCAAAATTTTCAAAAATTTTCCAGAAAAATAGTTAAAATAGGTTCAATGGAGCGAAAATTGATGTCAAATTGTAGATAATCTTCCGCCAGTTACAAATCCGAAATTGCCGTCCCGATATATGTTGCAATAACCAAGAAAAGTGAATCCAAAATTTTCCAAAAAAATGCTTGAAATTTGTTCAATCGACCGAAAATTGGTGTCAAATTGCAGATAATCTTCCGCTAGTTACAAATCCGAAATCGCCATCCCGATATTTGTTCCAATAAATGCGAAAAGTGAATTCAAAATTTTCAAAAATTTTCCAGAAAAATAGTTAAAATAGGTTCAATGGACCGAAAATTGGTATCAAGTTGTAGATAATCTTCTGCCAGTTACAAATCCGAAATCGTCGTCCCGATATTTGTTGCAATAACCAAGAAAAGTGAATTCAAAATTTTCAAAAATTTTCCAAAAAAATGGCTACAATGACACAACAGGCCGTCAAAAAATTACAAAAAATTCACAAAAATCGTCGGTTTTATAGTAGTTTGGAAAGCAATTATTTGTAAAGGAGTTTTTTTATTTTTTTTTTCCAAAAATCTACAGAGAACTAATAAATCGAAGTTTATTATCGATTAATTGTGGTTTGTGTATTATCAACACGAATTCAGTATTTTCGGGATTATCTGTCCAATAAAAGCGGCTTTATGGCGATTGTTACGAAGAAATCTAGCTCCAACACTGTATGAAAAATACAGGGGTGTATTGTTTAGCTTTTATGAAGTTCCTGGAATAAAAATGAACCGTCCCACGCGATGAATCCTTTATTTACACAATCGAAAAAACAACGACCAGTCGAAAACAAACCAATAATAACTCAGCTGAACCACCTTCTTTTCATCCAGTATTCCAATTTAACGATATTTACCGTTACGTTTCAGTCGCACCGACTCCATGATTTTAGTAACACAACTACCTTCACCAAACAAACACTAAATTTTTCAAGTCGCCAGAATAAACTCCCTCGCTTAATCCGCCTTGTCTGACGATCGATAAACTGTTTAAAATGTTCGTGTATATTTTCCGACTCCGTTTAAAATAATATACACATAGTTAACACACTCCACATGCTCCTTAACCTTGATGGTTAGTCGAAATCTTAAAAGTGAGCGCAACAGTATAAAAAATGGCCGCCGCTTTAATCCTGCTTCTGCTCATTCTCAAACACGTTTTCCGCCCAGGTGAAGCTTTGGACTGCTACGTTACCAAATTTACCACTCTGGCAGCTTTCAACGTAACCGCGGAACCGACCATCAGAGACTGTAGAGCTTACAAAGAGGACGAAATGATGAGGAAAGATATCAAGTTGCCGTGGTACTACTGGCAGAATAGTCTTCGTTGCTACACCGTAGGAATCAGAGCTAAAGCAAGTGAAACCAGAACAACCCAAAACTATTTTTTTTTTTAATAAATATAATAATAAATTACTTAGTTTCCAGATTTAAACGAAACGAAAAATTTAGACATCCGATTGTGCTCCTTCAAAGAAGACTGCGACGACATTTCTGAAAAAATGAACCTCGAAATGGTGCAGTCGGCCGTTTTGGGGGTCGTGAGGTGCAGCGAGTGCAAGAGCAATTTATGCAACGGCAAGATCACCAACGATCTGGTCAAAGTTAAGGCTGATATTAGCGCCTATAGACGCAATTTGTACATAGGCGCTGGCGGCTGTGGAGTCGTCGGGGTGATAGGGGCCTTAACTCGTTGTCTGTTTTGCAGAAAATCGAAAAACCCAATCATAGTCAACGTATAGTTGTCTGTCATGATGTAAAACTAACTAATAAAAATAAAAATTATCAAGTGTATTATTTTGACGGTTAGATGTCACCCTACCAACTCGCCTACTTTATTACTCAGCTATTAAGGGGACTCGCTAGACGGTGTATAACATTTTTTTGGTTTTTTTGTATGAAAAAATGATATTAATATAGATGTGTCATACATTAAACTGCAGCTTTTTTCATATTCTAGGGCGCAGAGACCAGTTCAATAAACTAAAAAAATATGGCTGAGAAATATCGTAAAAAAGCACCATTTTATGTTTTCTTTTCAAGTTTTTTGAGTCATAACCACCATAAAATCGCTTGAAAATTCGCACATGGATAAAACATCACTTTTTACAGAGCGCAGAATCATTAAATGTTTGTTAGTGGTACAATTTGTACAAATTAGTGCAAAATATGTCGAATAATTTTAACAGGAATATTAGAGGAAAATTAATGATCTATTGGTTAGCAGAGTTTTTAACCGAAACTAACAGTTATTGAAAAAAATGGGTATCAATTCGACAGAATTTGAGCAGTTAGTTCAGTACTTTGCCGATAGGAGCGCCACTAAAATTTACGGAAGCGACTTTCAGGTAAAACCCTTATCGCCTGCTTTACCATAAGCTGATTGTTAGAGTTCTCGGCTGATTTTTCTAATTTATGGCAAGGAACTCAGTTTTATAACAAGCCGCCAGGACCGGCCGTAGTAATCTATCGTTAAGGAAATTAACTTTTACGCAATGAGGTACTATCATAAAACCGAATTAAAACTGGGGAACTATAATATTTTTACTCCACTCAGGATCCTGAATTCAATACACATGATTACTAAAAATTCATTGTAATATTATTGTTAATATATGTTTTGCTTTCTTAATTAATAAAACTAATAAACATATTTATAATAATAATAAAAAATATATAAAATACAGCTTTTGTTTAACACGTATAAGTAGATAAGTGTATTTACTACTTATCCCAGAAAGGAGGTGTTTTAAAAAAGCCCTACGCCCAGTAACTTCTCCCTTCATTGTTTAATCGAAAAAAGTGCTCGTATATGTTTTCATTTGCCGAGAGATCATTTTCAAAATATATTTATAATAAAAATATGCAAGTCTTGGTGATGAAAAATGTACTCCTAATAAATTATTAAAGTACATAAAAAAAAGAAACAAATTTTATTTATTTTAAAAAAATCTCTCGCAAAGGCAGGTTCCTCTTTCTTCTTGAATCAATTATTTCGGGCAATAATGCGCCAAAGCAAAATCTGCCAAGTTTATCTGCCATCTTTTTACATATATTTCTTCGTCTTTATAAATTTTTTCTATATTTATTCCATTGGGTGTCCATACAACAAAATAAACTTGTGAAATACCCGTAACAAGCAGTTGTCCCTGGACTTGAAAGTACTAATCATGATTTCTTTTTTAGTTTCAAGTATCTGTCTGTCAATGTACAAAATTTGATTATTTTTTTTCTAACCGCTTCTTCGGGAGACAAATCTTGCGATTTTGAAGGGCATTTAATTTCGACTAATGCACTCCTATCCTCTAGAACTCTGTCTGGACTAGCAGCCAAGTAAAGAAATTGTTTTGAAATAAAGACACACCGTTCAGTTTTTATATTTTTATTTATTTCAAAACACTTGACAGCTTTTTCCTCACTTTGCTGTCCATAGTATGTATAACTGTTACCTCTAAATGTACTGTACAACAGAGACTCCACAGTTTTAGCTATTGCTATAGTCGGTCCAAGTTTGTAAATACGTCCAAAATTTGAAGCCGTAACCCTAATTTCTCTTTCTTTTGCCCAAATGTGCCTGTTGCCTAGTGTCTATTTAAATTTGGTCTAAATTCAAAGATAATTTTCTCAAAAAAACCTCTTTGGCTGTCACAAATGTTTCTACATCCATGACAGGATTTTCTAAAAAATATTTAAACTATAATCGCAGTCGGGACCAGCATACGTAAATTTTTTTACGACATATTTTTTTACGAATACTTTCCTAAGACGAGCTTGTTTTATAGACGAACAATATTTTTTTGTTATTACACCAGGACCGTTTTAATCACAATATATTTACTTATCCCCTCTAAAAAATTGATGACGTCACCTCAAAATTTTGCTGAATAAATCCTATCTAAATTGTATAAAATATGATGAGTCTCTTCTTGTGATTTATCATTCCATTCATGTTTTTTGGATTTGCATATACAGGATGACCCCAAAAATTAATGAACGCGTAAATTTATTTTATTGATTTAATCAGGAACTGCAGAACCCAATGCTTTGAAATTTTGCAAATGTTTTAAGGTTATAAAGCGCACAATAAATTTTTAGTCCAAATATATTTGCTTATCCGCTCCAAAAAATTGATGACGTCAGCTCAAAAGTTTGCCGTATAATCCTATTTAAAATTTACAAAATATGATGAGTCTCTTCTTGTAATTTATCATTCCATTCATATTTTTTGGATATGCATATACAGGGTGACTCAAAAAATTTAATGAATGCGAAAATTTCTTTTATTGATTTAATCAGGAACTACAAAACCGAATGCTTTGAAATCTAATGTGAAAAAAAAAACATAATAGGTTTGTAGTCGTCACGTTTCCGATAGCGAGGGAAGTACTGTCTAAACTCTTTAGACTAATTTTTTTGATTTTCCCATTTTTCCATTTCTCAATTTTTCAATGTTTCAGTTTGGGTTTTTTTTCACTGTTTCGATTCTTTAATTGTCCTTCCATTTTTAGGTTTTTCAATATTTCAGCTTTGGAATTTTGCAATATTTCGTTTCTTCAATTTTTCAAATTTTTGACATTGTGTTTTCTCGGTTTTTAAATTTTTCGATGTTCTAATTTTTCAATTTTTAAAGTTTTAGGTTTTTAGATTTCTCACTATCTCGACTTTTCGATTTTTCAGTTCCATGATTTTTCAATTTGTCGAAATTGTAAATTTTAGATTTTTTGGTCTCGATCATTCAATTTTCTGAGTTTTCAGGCTTAGATTTTTTTTGTTGCTCAATTCTTGGATTTTAAAAATTTTTGTTTTTTAAATTTTCCTATTTATCAACTTACTGGGATTTCAATGTTTTGATTTTTTGATTGTTCAATTTCTCGATTTTTTGAATTTTAGTTTTTGACACGATTTTTTTTTCAAAAATTTTCAGTTTTTTAATTTATTAACTTCACGATATTTCACTTTTACGATTTTTAAATTTTTTTATTTTTCAGTTTTCAATTTTTGACGTTTCTAAATTTTTTGATTAACTGATTTTTTGATTTTCTCATTTCTCTATTTCTTGATTTTTCAATTCTTTCTTCAATTGGGATTTTTCAATTTTTCGATTTCTGGATTTTTCAATGTTTCAGTTTTGTATTTTTTCACTTTTTCGATTTTTCAATTTTCCTTCCATTTTTCAGTTCTGCGATTTTGCAATCTTTCGGTTCTTCAATTTTTCCATTTTTTGATGTTTCGATTTCTCGGTTTTTCAATTTTTCGATAGGTATTTTAATTTTTCAATTTTTAAGTTCTAGATTTTCCGTTAATTTTTTTTGTTTTCCTTGATGTTTTGATTTCTCGATTATTCGATTTTTCAAGTTCTCGGTTTAGATTTTTTGGTTTTCCAATTCTTCGATTTTTAATTGTTTAATTTTTAGATTGTTCAATTTCTCGATTTATAGATTTTTCAATTTTTCGGTTTACCGATTTTTTTCATTTAAAATGTTTCAATTTTTCAATTTTGGTGTAATTTGAAAACGGTATTAATAATTCATTTAGGGGAATAAACTAATAGACGGGCTTGATAAGCCTTGTTTGCTCTACAGTGTCTAAATTGTGTTTGAATAATATGTATAATAATTATCTCGAATATTAAAATTAATTTCAATGTTTTGATTTTTTGATTGTTCAATTTCTCGATTTTTTGAATTTTTAGTTTTTGATACGATTTTTTTTTTCAAAAATTTTCGGTTTTTCAATTTATTAACTTCACGATATTTCAGTTTTACGATTTAATTTTTATTTTTCAGTTTTTAATTTTTGACGTTTCTAAATTTTTCGATTTTTCAATTTTTCGATTAACTGATTTTTTGATTTTCCCATTTCTCTATTTCTTGATTTTTCAATTCTTTCTTCAATTGTGATTTTTCAATTTTACGATTTCTGGATTTTTCAATGTTTCAGTTTTGGATTTTTTCACTTTTCCGATTCTTCAATTTTCTTTCCATTTTTCAGTTTTTCAAGATTTCAGTTTTGAATTTTTTCACTTTTTCGATTTTTCAATTTTCCTTCCATTTTTCAGTTTTTCAGTATTTCAGTTCTGAGATTTTGAAATGTTTCGGTTCTTTAATTTTTCCATTTTTTGATAAAAATCGGGGAGTTGAAAAATTGAGGTGACGGAAAATTGAAAAAGGGCACAATGAAAAATCGAAAATGTAAAAAATGGAAAAATGAGAAATTGTAATATTGAAAAATTGGAAAATTTGGAAATCGACAAATTGTAAAATTATAAAATCAAAAATAAAAAAACGAAAAAGTGCATAATAAAAACTTGAAAAATGTACAAAAACGAAAAACTGTATAATACAAAACTTAAAAAATGTACAAAGTGAAAATCAAACTTGAAAATTTGAAGAAAAATTGCTAAAAACCTCAAAATTTTAAAAATTTAAAATTATAAAATCGAAACAACAAAAAATAAAAGAAAAAAAAAGGAAAATTGTGATATAAAATCGAAAAAGTGAAAATTAAAAAATGGGGAAAATGAAAAATAAAAATCGGAAATAAAAAATTGGAAAAGGGAAAAATTAAAAATTGAGAAACTGAAAAATCGAAAAACGAAAATCTGTAATACTGAAAAATTGTCAATTTTTCGATTAACTGATTTTTTGATTTTCCCATTTCTCTATTTCTTGATTTTTCAATTCTTTCTTCAATTGTGATTTTTCAATTTTACGATTTCTGGATTTTTCAGTGTTTCAGTTTTGGATTTTTTCACTTCCGATTTTTCAATTTTCTTTCCATTTTTCAGTTTTTCAAGATTTCAGTTTTGAATTTTTTCAATTTTCCTTCCATTTTTCAGTTTTTCAGTATTTCAGTTCTGAGATTTTGCGATGTTTCGGTTCTTCAATTTTTCCATTTTTTGATGTTTCGATTTCTCGGTTTTTCAATTTTTCGATAGGTATTTTAATTTTTCAATTTTTAAGTTCTAGATGTTCCGTTAATTTTTTGTTTTCGTTGATGTTTCGATTTTTAAATTGTTTAATTTTTAGATTGTTCAATTTCTCGATTTATAAATTTTTCAATTTTTCGGTTTACCGATTTTTTTCATTTAAAATGTTTCAATTTTTCAATTATTAAGTTTTCGATTTTTCAATTTTGGTGTAATTTGAAAACGGTATTAATAATACATTTAGGCGAAGAAACTAATAGACGGGCTTGATAAGCCTTGTTTGCTCTACAGTGTCTAAATTGTGTTTGAATAATATAATAATTATCTCGAATATTAAAATTAATATGTCAAAAGAATACGAGAAATGATTATTCTGTGCTGAAGGTATGTTGTGGGTCGCCTGTCATAAATTATCATTATTCTGCATTATCGGCTTACGATACTTTTATGACCCACGTCCGGTAGTCGTCTATCCCAGCGCGCCATTATGTAAAACCAACTAATAAAAATAAAAATTATCAAGTGTATTATTTTGACGGTTTGTTTACGCGAGCTGCCACGAGGTGGCACGACCCACGCGCTTTCAGCGCATCGCCGCTAGATGTCACCCTACCAACCGCCTACTTTATTACTCAGCTATTAATATTCCGACTTCGCTCTTTTCACGATCCATAAACCACGATTAACAGACTCTTGTGTATTTTTTGAGCTTCCGCTAAAAAAATACACACGTAAAACACATTCCATATGTCTTGAGTTTTACATCAGTTGTGATGAAAATACCGACCGCGTCGGCACGAAAATGAATCTGTTTTTGCCGCTGCTACTCCTACTCACCGCCAACTACGGTATTACGTTTCATTTCGACTTTCCGGTTTTTTATTGTTGTTCTTGTAGCTTGCTCTTTCGACTGCTACTTCACCAATTTCGACGACCTGAAGACGTTCGATAAAAATGCCGAAACGGTTATAAAAGACTGCGAGGATCACATAGTGAACGATATAGGGTTTATTCGACGGCCGAAAAAACCTAGCTTCTTGTGGAAAGCTCTGGAGGATGACCCCGAAATAAAAAATAGCATGCTGTCCTGGAACATGAATCACCGCTGCTACACGCTTAGTTTCAAAGCGCAAGCAAGTAGCCAATCGTGGTAGTAAAATTCGATAATTTTGATTTTTGGCAGTTTGAAAACACGACTGAGGATGTGAGGATTCAGCTGTGCGACTACAAAGACAACTGCGAGCATTTTTTCGACCGGGTGAAAGGCTTGGATTTGTTGGTCGTCACCAACATAACGTGCGTCGAGTGTTTCGGGAATCTTTGTAACACTAAGGATGCTGAAGAGAAAGAGGAAGTTTTTTACGAAGAAACTAGTTCGTATAGACGGAATTTATCTATAGGTGCCGGTGGATGTGGAGTGGTCGGTGGCATAGGTACCTTAATACGTTTGCTGTGCTATCGGAAATCTAAAAATAGCAAGTCAGTTAATGTATAGTTTAGTAATGTTTATGGACGCTTCAATATATGTTTTGAGGAATCGCTGATCTTTTAAATAAACACTTCTGAAGGGTGAACTAAAACCAGGTTTTTGAGAGTTTCCCGGATGGATTATTATAGCGGGTGTCTGGAAAATACGTTATGTACGGGGTTTCGGGAGTCCCAAAAAAACATTTAATAAGACATTTATAAATTATAAACAAAAATAAAACCAACAAAAGAAAAATCCATCATCACTACGTGCTAAAATAAAACTGATTTTGGCAAATAACATAGCCTGTAAGAAAAGAGAGGGTGGGTGGGCGGGGCTAGTATCTGCTAAAATAAGACCGATTTTGGCAAATTGTTAAACGTAGCAAAAGAACCAATTTTAAAATCACTACAACTCCACTAAAATGTGAGAAGGAATTTTTTTACTATTTTTCCTAAACTCACCAGTTGATTGTTAAGAGCGTAGCGAAGAGTTAATCCGGCATTCTCCAGACAGCATAATAACAGCAACGCAGTTCCAATCATTAGAGAACTTAAAAGTTAAAATAATAAGAATGCGAGCGCAGCGAGCACGCGTAGGCGTTATGAAAAATCACTCGTCAGTGGTCCAGAGAAGCTCCTTTTTTCTAAGTCGTCATCTTTTTTTGCATCTTTTGGCCCTTTTTGTTGTTTTTTTTTGTCGGTTGAGTCTCCTTTTTTTATCGCCCTTTTCTGTCATTTTTTGGCGCCTTTTAGCTGCGTTTTTGGCCATTTTTTCCCCTTTTTTTTGGACATACTTTTTGTTCCTTTTTTTTGTTCATTTTTATAATTTCTTGGCGCCTTTTTGTGTCGCTTTTTGTTTTCCTCATATTTTAAGTTGTTTTTTGTCACTTTTTGGCCCCTTTTTTCAACCGAATCTTCTTGTCACCTTTTTCGGTTTTTTGTCTTTTTTGCGGTTTTTGTTGTTTTTTAAGGCCTTTTTTGTTACTGTTTGTTGTATTTTTTGTTTTTTTTTGTTGATTTTTGACTCCTTTTTGTGGCACTTTTTTGTTTTTTTTTTCTTTATTGCCCCTTTCTTTGTCGCGTTCTCTAATCTGCTTTTTATTTTTTAGCCCTTTTTTACTCTTTTGCTGTTGCCATTTTTTAGCTTTTTTGTTACATATTTGACATTTTTGTCATTTTTTGACTCCCTTTACTTTTCGCTGCATTTTTTTGTCGCCTTTTTTTGTTATATTTTTTATTTGCCGCCTTTTTTTATTTTTGCCTTTTTTGCCACATCTTTGTGGCCTTTTTTAATTGCATTTTCCTGTTGTCTTTTTGTTGTTCTTTTGTCGTTTTTTACTTTTCTTCTCTCTTTGTGTTTTTAATAGTTTTTTTTTTTTGTTGTTTTTTGTCACTTTTTGATTCCCCTTTTTCAGTCACATTTTTTCGTCTTTCCGTCGTCTTTTTGTAGTCTTTTTTTTAAGTGTAGAGATTTATTGTTACAGTAAAAGCCAAACACCTTCCTACAGTGTAATTAAAAAATATATATTTGTCTCCCTGAGAAGCTAAATTATTAAAAACAATTTTGTTGGTATTTAAAAACGCGAGTTTAAAAATTGTTTGTGATCACGAATGTCTGTGGACTGAAATATCCTGAACGTGCTCACTACGCTCGCATTTTAGATGATTTTTACTTCCCGAGCGTAAGCTAAGGAACATCGGGGACGTTCAGCGAAGCCGTTCGAAATGCGGTAGTGGTTCGATGACGAATTTGGCCGTTTACTTTTTTTTGCATTGGTATAGTTTTGGAAATTTCATTCTACCCGATAAAATTTTATTGACAATAACGAGACGGACAGTAGTACAATGGTAAGAAATATTTGTGGCTCACCAGTTCAGCCGAATTTGTCGGAGAACATTTAGCGAGTACTCATAAAATAATGGATTATTATGCTTTCTAACATCTGGGGATTACCGGCACGCGACAACTTGAAGTTGTAAATTTCTCTTGCTGTTCTACTACTGTCCGTCTCGTTATTGCTAATAGATTTTTATAGGGTAGAATGAAATGTCCAAAACTGTAATACGCTGCGACTACTTTTCTTTTGTGCTGTGACTAGTGTTATCCATGTTGATGACTTCATTACAAATTTTGTATTGGACAAATTAAGAACGATTTACCTCACTTCTTCGAAAATATGAAAAACACGTATTTACAATAATAATGATAAGTAAGAATTATAATATTCAGAACATTTTGTTCGATTGTGGTTTAATTCAAATCAAACTAGTTTCTACGTGACATTCTTTCGATGTATAAACATAATAAACACTCGAGAATGCTGCATATGTTTCAAGTACTTCAGGAGCGAGGGAAGTTCTGTCGCAACAACTTCCCAAACTGTTTTTTTTTTAATGCAAAACCTTCGCGGGGGTTTCAACTGTCTTATGTATATTTTTGTATATGTATTTATTTGAACCAATTATATTATACATTTTGTACATAATCTGGCGAGTCAATTTTACATATATGTCAAATATAATAACATAGAAATGAAAAATTACAACAATAAAACATTGGGGGGGACACAATTAAGAAAACAATAAAATAATAACAATGTAATAACAACGCTATATATGTAATAAGGAAGAAATATCTACAATATTAGTAGTGTCTTTTAAAAATGTAAATTCCTCGGGGGCACCAAATGTCTTCTAAAAATGTGAAACCTTCTCGGGGGTTCCAATTGTCTTTTTTTGAAAATGTAAAAACCGTCTCGGAAGCTCCAAATGTCCCTGTTTTTTAATGTGAAACCTTCTCGGGAGTCCCAAATGTATTTTTTTAAGAATCTGAAACATTCTCGGGGCTCCCAACTGTCCTTTTAAAAATGTAAAACCTTGTCGGGGGCTCCAAATGTCCTTATTTTTTAATGTGAAACCTTCTCGGGGCTCCCAACTGTCTTTTTTAAAAATGTAAAATCTCGGGGTCCCCAAATGTCTTTTTTTTAATTGTAAAACCTTCTCGGGGCCCCAACTGTCTCTTTTAAAAATGCAAAACCTCGGTGGCTCTAATGTATTTTTTTGAGAATTTAAAAACTTCTCAGGGGCCCCAACTGTCTTTTTTTGAAAATGTAAAAACCTTCTCGGGGGCTCCAAATGTCATTTTTTTAATGTTAAACCTTTTTGGGGGTCCCAAATGTATTTTTTTTTTATAAATGTAAAACCTCGAGGGCGCCAAATGTTTTTTTGTAAGAATGTGAAACCTTCTCAGGGGCCCCAACTGTCTTATTTTGAAAATGTAAAAACCTTCTCGGAGGCTCCAAATGTCCTTGTTTTTTAATGTTAAACCTTCTCGAGGGTCCCAAATGTATTTTTTTTTTAATGTAAATCCTTCTCGAGGGCGCCAAATGTCTTTTTGTAAGAATGTGAAACCTTCTCGGGGCTCCCAACTGTCTTTTTTAAAAATGTAAAATCTCGGGGTCCCCAAATGTCTTTTTTTTAATTGTAAAACCTTCTCGGGGCCCCAACTGTCTTTTTTAAAAATGCAAAACCTCGGTGGCTCTAATGTATTTTTTTGAGAATTTAAAAACTTCTCAGGGGCCCCAACTGTCTTTTTTTGAAAATGTAAAAACCTTCTCGGGGGCTCCAAATGTCATTTTTTTAATGTTAAACCTTTTTGGGGGTCCCAAATGTATTTTTTTTTTATAAATGTAAAACCTCGAGGGCGCCAAATGTTTTTTTGTAAGAATGTGAAACCTTCTCAGGGGCCCCAACTGTCTTATTTTGAAAATGTAAAAACCTTCTCGGGGGCTCCAAATGTCCTTTTTTAATGTTAAAGCTTCTCGGGGGTCCCAAATGTATTTATTTTAATGTAAAACCTTCTCGAGGGCGCCAAATGTCTTTTTGTAAGAATGTGAAACCTTCTCAGGAGCCCCAACTGTCTTATTTTGAAAATGTAAAAACCTTCTCGGGGGCTCCAAATGCCCTTGTTTTTTAATGTGAAACCTTCTCAGATGCCCCAACTGTCTTTTTTTGAAAATGTAAAAACCTTCTCGAGGACGCTAAATGTCTCTTTGTAAGAATGTGAAACCTTCTCGGGGCCCCCAACTGTCATTTTTTGAAAATCTAAAAACCTTCTCGGGGGCTCCAAATGTCCTTTTTTTTTAATGTTAAACCTTCTCGGGGGTCCCAAATGTATTTTTTTTTTAATGTACAACCTTCTCGAGGGCGCCAAATGTCTTTTTGTAACAATGTGAAACCTTCTCAGGAGCCCCAACTGTCTTATTTTGAAAATGTAAAAACCTTCCCGGGGGCTCCAAATGTCCTTGTTTTTTAATGTGAAACCTTCTCAGTTGCCCCAACTGTCTTTTTTTGAAAATGTAAAAACCTTCTCGAGGACGCCAAATGTCTCTTTGTAAGAATGTGAAACCTTCTCGGGGCCCCCAACTGTCATTTTTAAAAATGTAAAACCTTCCCGGTGGCTCAAATGTATTTTTTTAAGAATTTAAAACATTCTCATGGGCCCTAACTGTCTTTTTTTAAGAAAGTGAAACCTTCTTTTTTCCTTAGATTGTGATATTGTTTTAACATAGAGGTTATCACGAAAAAGTAAAATTCCACAAAATCAAATTTTATAATTTTTCGACTGTACTTTAGAAGCGAGGGAAGTTCTGTCGAAACAACTTTCAACCAATTTTTTTTATGGCAACCATTATAAACTAAAATAAAAATATGTATCTAATGTTTGAGTAAAAGTAAAGAAACGTGCCAACAGTTTGTTACAAGTGAGTTTTTCTATTACAAAATTTTGTGTTAATGTCATCCACATTTTTGCAAGGACGCGTATATCAGTTGGACAGATACATTGTAACACTAATAATAAAAGTTTTGTATAATTGTTATTCTTGAATAGTGATTTATAATCAATAAAATAACGAAACAATTTAATCACTGAAGATTTGCGATAACACTTATCAACTTGTAGACGTGAAAGTGAAGCAGAAACTAAACTAAAAAATGGTTTCTACGAATTGCAATAACCGGATCACAATGCCAACGGTCGAGACATTTTTATAACTTGTCTAGATCTAGGTGAGGCTCAGCATCCCCTAGCCTCCCTCTAAGTACGGCCTTGTTTAGAGGTTATGAAATATCGAGAAAATATGAAAGTGTCAAATTCCCCGATGGACTCCATTATTGTACGTCCTCGCTAACAAAAACAACTTGAAAGTGTTTATGTTTAAACATCAGAAGAATGTCACGTAGAAATTAGTTTCATTTGAATGAGTTCGTCCCCTCAAAACAGAGAATCAAAACTATTAAGTTAAGCTACAATCGAGAAAATATTATGAATATCATTATTATAATTCTTATTAAATAAAGACGTTTGTCGTTCTTAATCTGATCAATAAAAAATATGAATGCAATGATGAATGACAAGTAAAAACTCATCATATTTTGCACATTTTGGGTAGAATCTATTCGGCAAAATTTTGTACATCCAACAAAATAAATTGACTGATTTATTAATTTTTTTGAGTCACCTGTATAAGCAATCCAAAAATTTAAATGAAATGATAAAAACAGACTCATCAGGATCAGGAAAGTAATGAATCTATATAATTGTATCACACAATTTAATCGTTTCCACTACTACTTCAAGGTCAACAAGTGCAACACGCTTCACTTTTTGCCGCAACAAAAATGCAAAACACTTCATTAAAAATAACGTTTCTGAAGTGTGATAACTTCAAAACTGCCAAAAATGCGCTCCGTGCTGTTAATCGCCGCTATAAACTTAACTCTCCCTGTATTAATCCACAGTTTAGAGTGCTACGTTAGTGTCAATTTAAACACTGTGCAACCCCAAGATGAACGGGCCCAACCGACAAAAAAGCAATGTGAAGCACTTGATTTTGAACCATCCGAAAAGGGATTCCGATGTGTTACAGTAACCGCGGAATCAGGTACTGAAAGTCGCTTGTTTTTACATTAATTATAAGTTTTTTTTTTAGATGACATCCGCATGAACGTCCAAGGCTGTCTACCACCTAATGCAACCTGCGACGATTTTATGCTAAGTCGAATCGAAGAAACGGAATCAAAAATGGGGCTTCACTTTAAGAGTTACAATTGTTACGAGTGCGGAACGGATTTGTGCAATTCCGGGATTACGTATAGCGTGATTCGAGAAAATACGGGCAAAAGTGGGACTTTGCGGATTTTTCTAGTTGGTGTTACGTTTGTCGTGTTGGCAGTGGCGGTGATTGCGATGGTGAGCAGATGCAGAATCCCGATACCGGAATTTTGACCAGAGAACTTGATGATCATAATTACCGTTATTAATAAAATATAAAAATTGTTATTTAGAATGGCTAGTGAAAAAAATTGGTCCAAAGAGTTTAGACAGTACTTCCCTCGCTGTCGGAAACTTGACGACTGCATGCCTATTGTGTTTTTTTTCTCATTACATTTTTGTAGTGGGAATTTAAAAAAAAAATGCGATGACGTCATCAACATTTTTGCAAGGACACGTATATCAGTTGGGATAGATGTAGTGTAATACTAAGAATAAAATTATTATATTCTCAAATTTTCGAGAAAATGAATTGGGTCGTTTTGAATATTGATTTGTAATAATCAATAAAATAACGAAACAATTTACTCACGTATACGTATTAGAGGCAACTGAAAATCGTGTATGTATAAACATTCTTAATTTAGGATGACAGGCGTGACAGCATACGTGAGAGTCAAACAGAGAAACTGTAAACAAAACGACCATCGGTTTTATTGCTTCGACTTCCGCTTATTATATAAAACATTGGGTTTTATTTTAATTCTTGACGGTGAAATTCACAATTGGTTGATTATAAACATGTCTATTTCACATTCGCGGAACCAAGTGAGCGCATAAAAGAAATGCAGGTCTGTAATGTTAAAGTCGATGTAAATAAGCGTGCTACCCTTATGTTTCAACCGAGTTTTTCCTTTAACAAATTTTGTGTCTACCAAATTGGGTTGGTTGGGGTGTAATACTAATAATAAGTGTTGCCTTTAATTTAATCAATAAAATAAATTGACTTCATTAATTTTTTTGAACCACCTCTTAAGAAAATCTAAAAAATATGAATGGAATGATAAATCACAAGTACAAACTCATCATATTTTTTGCATTTTAGATAGGATTTATTCAGCAAAATTTAAGGGTGACGTCATCAATTTTTTTAGGAGGGATGAACAAATACATTTTGAACAAAAGTTTACCATGCTTATAATAACTTTAAAATATCCCCAAGATTTCAAAGCATTCGGTTTTGTAATTCCTGATTAAATCGATAAAATAAAATAAATTCACGCCTTCATTAATTTTTTTGAGTCACCCTGCATATGCAAATCCAAAAATATGAATGGAATGATAAATCACAAGTACAGACTCATCATATTTTGTACATTTTAGATACGATTTATTCGGCAAACTTTTGAGCTGACGTCATCAGTTTTTTGTAGAAGATAACCAAATATATTTTGACTAAAAATTTATTATGCTCTTTATAACCTTAAAACATCTGCAAGATTTCAAAGCATTCGGTTTTGTAGTTCCTGATTAAATCAATAAAATAAATTTACGCATTCATTAATTTTTTTGAGTCACCCTGGATATGCAAATCGAAAACATTTGAATGGAATGATAAATCACAAGAAGAGACTCACCATATTTTGTACATTTTAAATAGGATTTATTCAGCAAAATTTTGTGGTGACGTCATAAATTTTTTAGGGGGGACGACCAAATACATTTTGATCAAAAATTTACCATGCTTATGATAATTTTAAAATATCTTCAAGATTTCGAAGCATTCGGTTTTGTAGTTCCTGAGTAAATCAGTAAAATAAATTTACGCTTTCATTTATTTTCTTGAATCACCCTGTATATGCAAATCCAAAAAATATGAATGGAGTGATAGATCACAAGTACAGACTGATCATATTTTGTACATTTTAGATATGATTTATTCGGCAAATTTTCGAGCTGACGTCATCAAGTATTTGGAGGGGACAAGCAAATATATTTTGACTAAACATTTATTATGCTCTTTATGACCTTAAAACATCTGCAAGATTTCAGAGCATTCGGTTTTGTAGTTCCTGATTAAATCAATAAAATATATTTACGCATTCATTAATTTTTTTGAGTCACCCTGTATATGCAAATCCAAAAAATATGAATGGAGTGATAGATCACAAGTACAGACTCATCATATTTTGTACATTTTAGATATGATTTATTCCACAAACTTTTGAGCTGACGTCATCAAGTTTTTGGAGGGGATAAGCAAATATTTTTTGACTAAAGATTTATGATGCTCTTTATAGCCTTAAAACATCTGCAACATTTCAAAGCATTCTGGTTAGCAGATTAAAAATTAAATTTCAAAATGTTGTTTTATAATTTTGATTTTTTTTCCAAAAATCTGGACGTTTCGGGTGAAAAGTCGATTCAGAGTTGTAAACTACATGTGTAGGACTATGTTATTTTATACAATTGAAAACCCATTTACTATGTACAATTTTGAAGTGACGTCATCGCATTAGTGGTGGGGATGATTAGACAAATTTTGGTTAGCGTTTTACCATCTACATGATATTCTTAATATAAGTACAAAATTTCACAACAATCGGTCGAGTACTTTCGGAGATTATCTGTCTAATAAAAATCCGGGACGGCAGACGGACAGACGGACGGACGGACGGACAGACGGACAGACAGACGGAAATGGGAGACCTATTTCTTCGTCTTCTAGGGGTCATGAAAGATCGAGAAAACGTAAAAGTAGAGAGTCGGCCGACGGACTCGATTACAATACTTCCTTTGCTTACGCTCGGGAAGTAAAAAAATTTCCAAAGTAACCGTCCACTGACAATTCGGGTCAAAAAAGTTCATTAAGTTGTTTTAAAGTTTTAAGGTTACAAAATCTGGCAAAAACTGTAACACTGTTGCCAGTAATTAATATTCAAATTTAAACTGCACATTTGAATAAGTAATAATTCGGTTTTAACTTTAAAAAACCGTATCAACATTTTTGATTATATTATCAAATGACGAATTCTGTATATTTTGATGAATATAAAATCAGCTTCAAGTGGACGTTATCGACAGTCTCACGACAGATAAACCGTTTTGTCAATGAATCAGTTCATCCAACGTGAAGAAAAAAATTCGTGGCTCACTTTTGTCTAAAACATTATTTAAATGTCTCAATAGAGTCATGTGTGCAAATATTAAAAAACATTTCAAAATCTGTGCTGAATTTATTTCAGGTTAGCTTTTTTATCTATTATCAGGCGCTTTTCCACACCTCCCCGTCCCCGTTTTATCTCAAAACAAATATTTGTACAAATCATCAGCCTTCTACAACCGAATTCCCCATATCAAGCCACGCCAGAACTGTAATGTAGTGAAACAACACGATAACCATTTTTTGTGTTTTTTTCGTCGGAAAAAAACAACAAAAATGACAATATTCCTGGTTACAACAACCCTCTGTTTGCTCTTGGTAGCACCCGGTAAGACCCACTTCCTCCTATTCCATTTCTAACCCACGTCCTCAGCTCGCAGCTTACGGTGCTACTCCACGAACTTCGACGCCTTGGAAGCTCAACAGATCGACAGCGAGCCCGTCGACAAAGAATGCATCGACTTCATCGCCGAGGTCTCCTCCAGACAAGGAATTTCTACCGAACTGTTCCCGTTCGAAGAAACCGACCTTCGTTGCTTCACCGTCAAAATTGACACAGGTAAATGAGTAACACTCACCTTGTTTATCCTAACCATTTTATTGCCACGATAGATAGAGCAAATATCGCCATACAAGGCTGCACCACTCGGGATAGCTGCGGCTCGATGGTGAACAACATCAAAGCGAACACCTCGAAACTGTTGTACGAAAAGGACTTCTATTTGAACAACATCGCCTGCAGCGAGTGCGAGGGAGCCCTATGCAACGGAGGCATCGCACGATCTGTCGTCGTCAAGAATTGGATTTCAGCCGAGAGAAAAAAATATCTCGTTATCACCGTTGTGATAATTATTGTTTTCATGACCGTCATATCGGTAATGCTGAGGGTTTTTTCGCGGAAGCCCGGAGCGAACGGCGGTGACAAAAAATATGCTTTGTTGAAAGTGTGACTTATTTTGTCTTTAATGAATAAAGTTTGGGTTATTAATTATCTAATTACGCAAAATTAGTGCGGGGAGCGTCACCGAACTACTTAAAAATAAATCGGATACCGTTTACCAGCAATCGCAGTTTTACTTTTATGTGGCAAAAATTTTCTGGGAAAATGGAGTGAGCCGTTGGTGATTTAATCAATAAAATAAACTGACTCATTCATTTTCCATTTTTAAAATTTTTGGATTTCTCGATTTATCGATTTTTTTTTTATTTTTCAATTTTTATCTTTACTATTTTTGATTTTGACCTAATACAATTTGAAATTTTTATATTTTTCGACTACTTTTCTATTTCTCCATTTCCCGATTTTTTTGTGTTCCGATTCCACCATCTTTTGATATATGTATGTATATTTAGATTTTTCGATGTTTCAGTCTTCGTATTTTTCGATGTTACGATTTCCCAATTTTTCAGTATGTATTTCAATTTGGCTTTTATCGATTTTTTGATTTTTCAGTTTTTCATTTCCTCAATTTTTCAATTTTTTTTCTTTTTTTTCATGTTTCGATATTTCAGTTTTATGATTTTCCAAAATTTCGATTCTTCAGTTCTTCGATTTTTCGACTTTTCGATTTCCCAATTTTTTAGTTTTTCGATTTTTCAAATTTTCCATTTTTAGATTTCAGATTTTTCAGTTTTTTGATGTTCCGATTTTTCAAGTTTTAAAATGATGCATTTTTTGGTGTTTCGATTTTTCTACTTCTCGGTTTTTAGATTTTTCAATTTTTTGATGTTTCGATTTCTGGATTTTTCAGTTTTTCGATATTTTAATTTTAGATTTTTTAGTTTTTTGTTTCGACTTCTCCATCTTCCGATTTTCCGACTTCTCAGTGTTCGATTTTTCAGTCTGTTAATTTTTCCACTTTTAAAACGTTTCGAGGTTTCCATGTTTCGATTTACCGATTTTTTTTAATTTTTCAATTTTTAACTTTACCAGTCACGATTTTGACCTATTTGTATTTTTCGACTACTTTTCTATTTCTCCATTTCCCAATTTTTTTTCTGTTCCGATTTCACCATCTTTTGATATATATTTAGATTTTCGATGTTTCGGTCTTTGGATTTTTCGATGTTACAATTTCCCAATTTTTCAGTTTTTCATTTTCTCAATTTTTCAATCTTTCAGTTTTGGAATTTTTCAATTTTTCAATTTTTTTTCTTTTTTCAATGTTGCGATATTTCAGTTTTATGAATTTCCAAAATTTCGATTCTTCAGTTCTTCGATTTTTCGATTTCCCGATTTTTTAGTCTTTCGATTTGTCAAATTTTCCATTTTTAGATTTCAGATTTTTCAGTTTTTTAATGTTCCGATTTTTCAATTTTTAAAATTATGCATTTTTTGGTGTTTCGATTTTTCTACTTCTCGGTTTTTCAGTTTTTCCGTTTTTAAAATTTTTGATTATTCGAATTTTCAGTTTTTCGGTTTTTAGATTTTTCAACTTTTTGATGTTTCGATTTCTGGATTTTTCAGTTTTTCGATATTTTAATTTTTCAATTTTTCGAATTTTTAAATTTTAGATTTTTTGTTTCGACTTCTCCATCTTCCGATTTTTCGACTTCTCGGTGTTCGATTTTTCAGTCTTTCAATTTTTCCACTTTTAAAATGTTTAAATTTCTGGATTTACCGATTTTTTTTTTAAATTTTTATATTTTTCGACTACTCCACTTTTCTATTTCTCCATTTCCCGATTTTTTAATGTTGCGATTTCTCGATCTTTAGCTGTTTCGGTTTCTCGATGTTTCAGTCTTTGAATTTTTCAATCTCTCAGTTTTGGAATTTTTCAATTTTTTTTCCTTTTTTCAATGTTTCGATGTTTCAATTTTATGATTTTCCAATTTTTCGATTCTTCAGTTCTTCGATTTTTCGATTTCCCCATTTTTTAGTTTTTCGATTTTTCAAATTTTCCATTTTTAAATTTTAGATTTTCAAATTTTTCAAATTTGCCATTTTTAAATTTTAAATTTTCAGATTTTTGAAGGTCCAATTTTTAAATTTTTCCATAGTTTAATTTTTCAATTTAAAATTATACATTTTTTGGTGTTTCGATTTTTCTACTTCTTGGTTTACGTTTTTCGGTTTTTCAGTTTTTTCATTTTTTAATTCTTACTTATCATTCGAATTTTCAGTTTTTCGGTTATTAAATTTTTTTTCTCATTTTTTTTTAGTTCCAAATATTGGATTTTTCAATTTTTAACTTTTAGATTTTTCGATTTTGGCCCATTTTGATTTCTCGATGTTTCAGTTTTTCAATGTTTTTCGATGTTTCGGTTTTTCGATTTTACAATTTTTCAATGTTTTAATTCACCAATTTTTCCATTTTCCCAATTTTTGGCCAGTTCAATTTTGGAAGTTTTCAGTTTCCCGATTTTTCCGATTTTGAATTCTTCGATTTTCCAATTTTTGAACTTTTCGGTTTTAAAACTTTACGTTCTCGATGTCTCGGTTTTTGGATTTTTTAATTTTTCAATTTTTAATTTTACCAGTTACGATTTTGACCTATTTATATTTTTAAATTTTTATATTTTTCGACTACTCCACTTTTCTATTTCTCCATTTCCCGATTTTTTAATGTTCCGATTTCTCGGTCTTTGAATTTTTCAATCTTTCAGTTTTGGAATTTTTCAATTTTTTTTCCTTTTTTCAATGTCTCGATGTTTCAGTTTTATGACTTTCCAATATTTCGATTCTTCAATTCTTCGATTTTTCAAATTTTCCATTTTTAAATTTTAGATTTTCAGATTTTTCAAATTTGCCATTTTTAAATTTAAATTTTCAGATTTTTGAAGGTCCGATTTTTAAATTTTTCGATAGTTTAATTTTTCAATTTAAAATTACAAATTTTTTGGCGTTGCGATTTTTCTACTTCTTGGTTTTACGTTTATCGGTTTTTCAGTTTTTTCATTTTTTAAATCTTATTAATCATTCGAATTTTCAGTTTTTCGGTTTTTAGATTTTTTTTCTCATTTTTTTTTTTTAGTTCCAAATATTGAAAATTTTCAATTTTTAACTTTTAGATTTTTCGATTTTGGCCCATTTTGATTTCTTAATTTTTCAATGTTTTAATTCACTCATTTTTCCATTTTCCCAATTTTTGGTCATTTCAGTTTTGGAAGTTTTCAGTTTCTCGATTTTTCCGATTCTGAATTCTTCGATTTTATAATTTTTGAACTTTTCGGTTTTAAAATTTTACGTTCTCGATGTCTCGGTTTTTGGATTTTTTGATTTTTCAATTTTTAGATTTCCCGATTTTTCGATTTCCCAATTTTTCGACTTTTTTGAATTTGGAAATATTTCAATTTCTGGATCATATTTTACACATTTTTGATAGAATTTATTCAGCAAAATTTTGAGATGGCGTCATCAATTTTTGGGGAGAATAAACACATATATTTTGATTCACAATTTACCATTCTTACAATAACTTCAAACGTCTGATTCATTCATTATTTTGAGTCAGCCTGTATAAGCAAATCTAAAAAATCGGTCGAAAGTTGTTTCAACAGAACTTCCCTCGCTCCTGAAGTAGAATGAAACACAAAAAATAACATACCAAATCAGATTTAGGACTTTAACTTTTATGGAAATGTGCAATTTAACACCTTTTAAATTTAACAAGTTTTCACAAGATTAATAGAGGCAAAATCAGTCTTATCTTAGCAAGTACTAGCCCCGCCCACCCGCCCCCTATTTTCTCAGAGGATATGTCATTTGCCAAAATAAGTCTTAACGTAGCAAGTACTAGCCCCGCCCACCCGCCCCCTATTTTCTCAGAGGGTATATTATTTGCCAAATCAAGTCTTATCTTATCAAGTAGTAGCCCCGTTGATCCGCCCTCTATTTTCTTAAAAGATATGACATTTGCCAAAATGTTAGTATTTGCTAAGATAAGACAAATAAAAAAAAATAAAGAAAATAATTCAAACCAATCCAAAAAAAATATATAAGTTCAAAAAAAATCCAAAAAACAAGAAATTAAACAGAACTCAAAAATTAAAAAAATCCAAAAAATCGAAAATATCTCAAAAATCCAAAAAATCAGAAAGTAAAAGAGCAAAAAAATATCCAAATAATCCAAAAATGGAATAAGTCCAAAAAAAAACAAAAAATTGGAGAAATCCAAAAGAACCCAAGAAATTCAATAATTCCAAAATTGCATGAAAATGAAAAAAAAAAATAGAAAATCGAAGAGACCAAAAACTCAAAAGAACTCGAGAACTTTACAAAGTACGAAAATTCAAAAAATCGAAAAAATCCCAAACTTCAAAAAAATCAGAAATAAAAAAAAACAAAAATTCCAAAACCCAAAGAACTCGTGAAATCCAATAATTCCAAGGATCAAAAAAATCGAATCTATCCAAAAAACCCCTCAAAAAAAGGAAGAAATCCAAAAAACCTAGAATCTCCAGAAATCCAATAATTCCAAAAATCCAAAAAATCGAAGACATATTTCCAAAAAATCGAAACAAATAAAAAATCCAATAATTAAAAGAATTTAAAAATTTTAAAAATGCAAGAAATCCAAGAAACTCAAAAACCCAATAACTCCAAAAAATCCAAAAAATCGAAAATATGCACAAATCTAAGAAATTCGAAAAGCAAAAATTTCTAAAAAATTCTACAAAATCTAAAAAACCTAAGAAATGCAAAGACCCAAAACTCAAGAAATCCGATAAACGAAAAAATCAAAAATATCGAAAAAAAAGGAATTTATAAATTCAAAGAAATAAAAAAAAGAATTTATAAATAAAAAAAAATCCAAGAAATCCTAGAAAGTAAGCAGAATTCAAGAACTCCAAAAATCTAAAAATTGGAAAAAAAAATCAAAAAAAAAAAGCAAAATAATCCTAAAATGGAATAAAAGTTCATAGAAACAAACCTAAGAAATCTGATTTTGGCAAATGACAATCTTATGAGAAAATAGGGGGTGGGTGGGCGGGATTAGTACTTAATACTTAATACTTAATAAGACTTATTTTGGCAGATGCCATATCCTCTGAGAAAAAAGGGGGCGGGTGGGCGGGGCTAGTACTTGCTAAGATAAGATAAGTTGGACACTGTAATCAATAATCAATCAATAAGACTTATTTTAGCAGATGAATGCAGTGGTAAATTACAAGTAAAAACTCATATTTTGCACATTTTATGAAAAATTTGTCCGGTAAAATGAGATGACGTCATCAATTTCTTGGGGGGAATAAACAGATATATTTTGGTTACATGCTTACAATAACATTAAAACATCCGCAAGATTTCAAAGTATTCATTTTTGCATATCTTGATTTATTCAATAAAATAAATTGATTGACAAATCTAAAAAATATGAATGCATTGATAAATTACAAGTATAGACTGATCATGTTTTGCACATTTTAGTTAGGATTTATTGGGCAAAATTTTGAGCTGACGTCATCAATTTTTTGGAAGGGATAAGCAAATATATATTTATCATGTTTATCATAACTTTAAAACATCTGCAAGATTTCAAAGCATTCGGATTTGCAAATTCAAAATTATTTTGCAAAATGTTGTTTTATAAATTTTGATTTTTTTCCCAAAAATCTGGACGTTTCGGTTAAATTTGATTGTCTTTCTCTCTGTCTCACACAAGATTCCAAAATTTGTGTTGAATTTATTCCAAGACAGCTTTTTTATCTACAATCAGGCGATTTTCTACATCCGTTCGCGTCCCTGCTTTAATCCAAGACAAATATTTGGGCAAAATCAGCCTTCTGTTATTGCCTGCGACTTCCGCACATCAAGAAGCCACGCCAGAACTGTAGTGTAGTGAGAGATAACAGGATAACCGTTTTTTGTGTCTTTTTCGTACGGAGAAAACAACAAAAATGAGAATATTCCTGGTTGCAATAACGCTCTATTTGCTTTTGATAGCGCCCGGTAAGACCCATTTCTTCCTATTTCATTTCTAACCCACTTCCTCCTCAGTTTACAGCTTGCAATGCTACTCCACGGCCGCCGGCATCACCGTTTTGGAAGCCCAACGGATCGACAGCAAGGCCGTCGCCAAAGACTGCATCGAGTCCATCGCCGAGTCCTCCAACACCATACAGACGTTTAACATATCCGACCTTCGTTGCTTCACCGTCAAAATTAACACAGGTAATTTGAGTAACACTCACGTTGTTTATCCTCACCATTTTATTGCCACGATAGACAAAGCAAATATCGCCGTACAAGGCTGCAACCGTCGGGAAAGCTGCCGCGACATGGTGAAGAACGTCCAAACGAACTACTCGTGGATAGTCGGACACAACTTCTATTTCAACCATGTCTCCTGCATCATGTGCGAGGGAGACCTATGCAACGGAAACATCACACGAACTGTCGTCGTCAAATCTTGGCTCTTCTTCGTGAGAAAAACCAATTTCATTGTCACCGTCGTTATAATTATACTCTTAGTGATGGTCATATCGATAATGCTGACAGTTTTCTGGCGGAAGCGCCGAGCGAGCGAGCGTCGATGATAAAAAATATGTTTTTGTGAAAGTGTGACTTATTTTTTTTAATGAATAAAGTTTTGGTTTTTACCGATCTAATTACGAAAAATTAGTGCTGGGAGCGTCACCGAATTACAATATAACCGGTGCATTCACATGTTCGGGGTAAAAATAAATGGGTTGCCGTTTACCAGCAATCGCAGTTTTATTTTCTATGTGCCAAACATTTGTTCGACGGCACACTGAATTTTTCATTCGTATAATTCATTAGGCATTTAAGTTTTACGCTTTTTGTATTTAAGTATCAATAAAGTTGAAGTTTGATAAGTAATCTGTCAAATTGGTAACTCCATAACCATACTGACTTCCTGTCTCATCATATTTTGTACATTTTAGATTGGATTTATTCAGCAAAATTTTGAGATGGCGTCATCAATTTTTTGGGCGGAATAAACACATATTTTGATTCACAATTTACCATTCTTACAATAACTTTAAAACGTCTGATTCATTAATTATTTTGAGTCAGCCTGTATAAGCAAATCTAAAAAATTGGTCGAAAGTTGTTCAAACAGAACTTCCCTCGCTCCTGTAGAATGAAGCAAAAAATAAAATACCCAATCAGATTTAGGAATTTAACTCGTTACTATGGAAATTTGCAATTTAATTGCTTTTAAATTTAACAAGTTTTTACAAGATTAGTAATAGAGGCAAAATCAGTCTTATCTTAGCAAGTACTAACCCTCTCAGAGGATATGTCATTTGCCAAAATAGGTCTTAACGTAGCAAGTACTAGCCCCGCCCACCCGCCCCCTATTTTCTCAGAGGGTATATTATTTGCCAAAGTAAGTCTTATCTTAGCAAGCCCGTTCACCGCCCTCTATTTTCTTAAAAGATATGACATTTGCCAAAATGTTAGTATTTGCTAAAATAAGACTGATTTTGGTAAATGACATAATCTTATGAGAAAATAGGGGGTGGGTGGGCGGGGCTAGTACTTGCTAACATAAGACTTATTTTGGCAGATGCCATATCCTCTGAAAAAACAGGGGGCGGGTGGGTGGGGCTAGTACTTGCTAACATAAGACTTATTTTGGCAGATGATATATCCTCTGAGAAAATAGGCGGCAAATCTAAAAAATATGAATGCAGTTATAAATCACAAGTAAAAACTCATATTTTGCACATTTTACGAAAAATTTATCCGGCAAAATTTTGAGATGACGTCATCAATTTCTTGGGGGGAATAAACAGATATATTTTGTAACCAAAATATTCCTCCATCTTCCGATTTTTCGACTTCTCGGTGCCCGATTTTTCAGTCTTTCAATTTTTCCACTTTTAAAATGTTTAGATTTCTGGATTTATCGAGGTTTCCATGTTTCCATTTACCGATTTTTTTTAATTTTTCAATTTTTAACTTGACCAGTTACGATTTTGACCTATTTGTATTTTTAGATTTTTAATTTTTCGACTACTCCACTTTTCTATTTCGCCATTTCCCGATTTTTTGATGTTCCGATTTCTCGATCTTTTGCTGTTTCGGTTTCTCGATGTTTCAGTCTTTAAATTTTTCAATCTTTCAGTTTTGGAATTTTTCATTTTTTTTTCAATGTTTCAATGTTTCAGTTTTATGATTTTACAATATTTTGATTCTTCAGTTATTCGATTTTTCGACTTTTCGATTTCCCCATTTTTTGGTTTTTCGATTTTTCAAATTTTCCAATTTTAAATTTTAAACTTTTGAAGGCCCGATTTTTTAATTTTTCGATAGTTTCATTTTTCAATTTACAATTATAAATTTTTTGGTGTTTCGATTTTTCCACTTCTTGGTTTTACGTTTTTCGGTTTTTCAGTTTTTTCATTTTTAAATCTTTTTTATCATTCGAATTTTCTGTTTTTCGGGTTTTAGATTTTTCAGTTTTTCTAATTTTTTTTTCGATTTCCTGATTTATCGAGATTTCATATTTCGATTTATCCATTTTTTTAATTCCAAATTTTGAAAATTTTCACTTTTAGATTTTTCGATTTTGGCCCATTTTGATTTTTCGATGTTTCGGTTTTTCAACTTTTCAATTTTACAATTTTTCAACGTTTTAATCCACCAATTTTTCCATTTTCCCAATTTTTGGTAACTTCAGTTTTGGAGGTTTTCAGTTTCGCGATTTTTCCGATTTTGAATTCTTCGATTTTCCAAATTTTGAACATTTCGGTTTTAAAATTTTACGTTCTGGATGTCTCAGTTTTTGGATTTTTTAAATTTTTAACTTTACCACTTACGATTGTGACCTATTTGTATTTTAAAATTTTTATATTTTTCGACTACTCCACTTTTCTATTTTTCCATTTCCCGATTTTTTAATGTTTCGATTTCTCGATCTTTTGCTGTTTCGGTTTCTCGATGTTTCAGTCTTTGAATATTTCAATCTCTGTTTTGGAATTTTTCAATTTTTTTTTCCTTTTTTCAATGTTTCGATCTTTTAGTTTTATGATTTTCCAATATTCCGATTCTTCAGTTCTTCGATTTTTCGATTTCCCCATTTCTTAGTTTTTCGATTTTTCAAATTTTCCATTTTCAAATTTTCAGATTTTTAAAGGTCCAATTTTTAAATTTTTCGGTAGTTTAATTTTTCAATTTAAAATTATACATTTTTTGGTGTTTCGATTTTTCTACTTCTTGGTTTACGTTTATCGGTTTTTTCATTTTTTAAATCTTATTAATCATTCGAATTTTCAGTTTTTCGGTTTTTAGACTTTTTTTCTCATTTTTTTTTTAGTTCCAAATATTGAAATTTTTCAATTTTTAACTTTTAGATTTTTCGATTTTGGCCCATTTTGATTTATCAATTTTTCAATATTTTAATTCACCCATTTTTCTATTTTTCCAATTTTTGGTTATTTCAGTTTTGGAAGTTTTCATTTTCTCGATTTTTCCGATTCTGAATTCTTCGATTTTACAATTTTTGAACTTTTCGGTTTTCAAATTTTACGTTCTCGATGTCTCGGTTTTTGGATTTTTTGATTTTTCAATTTTTAGATTTCCCGATTTTGCGATTTCCCAATTTTTCGACTTTTTTGAATTTGGAAATATTTCAATTTCTGGATCATATTTTACACATTTTTGATAGAATTTATTCAGCAAAATTTTGAGATGGCGTCATCAATTTTTGGGGGGAATAAACACATATATTTTACAATAACGTCTGATTCATTCATTATTTTGAGTTAGCCTGTATAAGCAAATCTAAAAAATCGGTCGAAAGTTGTTTCAACAGAACTTCCCTCGCTCCTGAAGTAGAATGAAACATCAAAAAATAACATACCCAATCAGATTTAGGACTTTAACTCGTTACTATGGAAATTTGCAATTTAACACGTTTTAAATTTAACATAATTTTTTATTTAAGTTTTCACAAGATTAATAGAGGCAAAATCAGTCTTATCTTAGCAAGTACTAGCCCCGCCCACCCGCCCCCTATTTTCTCAGAGGATATATTATTTGCCAAAATAAGTCTTATCTTAGCAAGTACTAGCCCCGTTGATCCGCCCTCTATTTTCTTAAAAGATATGACATTTACTAAAATGTTAGTACATATTTGCTAAGGTAAGACTGATTTTGGCAAATGACATAATCTTCTGAGAAAATACGGGGTGGGTGGGCGGGGCTAATACTTGCTAAGATAAAACTGATTTTGGCAGATGTTATACCCTGCAAGAAAATAGAGGGCGGGTGGGCGGGGCTAGTCCTTGCTAAGATAAGACTAATTTTGGCAAATGATATATCATTTGAGAAAATAGGGGGAAATCTAAAAAATATGAATGCAATGATAAATCACACGTAAAAACTCATCATATTTTGAACATTTTAGATTGGATTTATTCAGAAAAATTTTGGGTGACGTCATCAATTTTTTAGGGGGGATGAGCAAATACATTCTGACTAAACATTAAATCGATAAAATAAACACTACGATATTTAGGGGAAGTCTTTCTAAAAGCATGGCTACTATAGGTATTGGAAATTCTTTCATGTAAATCCCACTGCTGGATGGAATTTCCGGAATAACCGTCTACAGATAATCGAGGTCAAAAAAAGTTATTACAATCCGGTTAAATTTCATTGTCTCTCTGTGTGCTGAATTTATTCCAAGTCAGCTTATTTATTTATTATCAGAGGTTTTTCCACACCCCTCCCCGTCCCTGGTTTATCTCAGAAACAAACATTTGTATAAATCATCAGTCTTCTTCCACTGCCCGCGAATTCCCCACACCAAGCTACGCCAGAACTGTAGTGTAATGAGTGTCTTTTTCGTACGGAGAAAACAACAACAATGAAAATACTCCTGGTTACAACAACCCTCTGTTTGATCTTGGTAGCACCCGGTAAGACCCACTTCCTCCAAGTCCATTTCTAACCCACGTCCTCCTCAGTCCGCAGCTTGCAGTGCTACTCCACGAACTTAGCCGCCTTGGAAGCCCAACGGATCGACAGCAAGCCGGTCACCAAAGACTGCTCCGACTACCTCGCCGAGCTCGCCTACAGACAAGGCGAATTCCTGCTGCCGTTCGACCATGCCGAACTTCGTTGCTTCACCGTCAAAATCGACACAGGTATATAACACGAGTAACATCCCCCTTGTTTATCCTAACCACTTTATTGCCACGATAGATAGCGCCAATATCGCCATACAAGGCTGCACCACTCGGAACAGCTGCGGCGCGATGGTGAACCAAATCAAAGCGAACACCTCGAAGCTGATCGGAGAGGACTTCCGTTTGAACAACATCGCCTGCAACGAGTGCGAGGAAGCCCTATGCAACGGGGGCATCGCACGAACTGTCGTCATCAAATCTTGGTTCTTCTACGTGAGAAAAAAATACATCGTTATCACCGCCGCGACATTTATCGTTTTCATGACCTTCTGGATACTGCTGAAGGTTTTCTTGCGGAAGTACCGAGCGAGCGGCGCTGACAAAACATACTCTTTGATGAAAGTGTGATTTTTTTTAATGAATAAAAGGAACAATGATCTAATTACGCAAAATTAGTGCTGGGAGCGTCACCGAACTACTTATAACCGGTGCATTCACATGTTCCGGGTAAAAATAAATCGGTTGCCGTTTACCAGCAATCGCAGTTTTACTTTCTATGTGCCAAATATTTGTTCGGCGACTCGCTGAATTGTCCACTGTTATAATTCATTGTGCATTTAAATTCGAAGATTTTTGTACTTAAGTATAAATAAAATTGACGTTTGTATGTAATTTTTATAATTTTGAAATAATAAAATTCGATTAAAACCTGCAAATGCATTGTTGCATACCGGGTGGGTCGTGCTTAATCTTTGTTTTTTTTTCCTCAATATTGGTATATAGTTTTTTGTAAACAACACAATAGTTCAGCATGTTTGCAGTTTCTTGTTGGGAAAACAAGACTTTGTATGTTAAGAAAAAGTGTAAAAACTATATGCCCCGCCCACCCACCCCGTCTCAATTGTAATGATTTTTTTTATTCATCGTGAGCCGAGAGCGGAGTTTACCTGCAAAACTATATTTCTCCACAAAAAATTACCATGTGAAATATGTTCTTGAAAGAGTAAAATAATAGAGAATAAAAAATCACTACAATTGAAATAGGGTGGGTGGGTGGGGCTTATATTTTGTCCTTTCCTTTTACTATACGTAGTCTTCTTTTCACAACAAGAAACTTAAAACATGTTCAAAACGGTATATATTTCTAGGGAAATATATATTTTGCAATTACGCTCCGCCCCTCGGTCTAACGACGAATGAAAATTTCATCACGATTGAGATCGGGTCGGGTGGGTAGTACTTAATCGTTGTTTTTTTTTTCTCAATATTGGTATATAGTTTTTTGTGAACAACACAATAGTTCAGCATGTTTTCAGTTTCTTGTTGGGAAAAGAAGACTTTGTATATTAAGAAAAAATGTACAAAATATATGCCCCGCCCACCCACCCCTTCTCAATTGTAATGATTTTTTTTATTCATCGTGAGCCGAGAGCGGAGTTTAGTTATCAAAACCTCATTTCTCTACAAAAAATTACCATGTGAAATATGTTCGTGAAAGAGTAAAATAATATAGAATAAAAAAATCATCACAACTGAGACAGGGTGGGTGGGTGGGGCTTATATTTTGCCCTTTCTCCTTAATATATGTAGTCTTCCTTTCACAACAAGAAACTTAATACATGTTCAAAACGGTACATTTTTCTAGGGAAATATATATTTTGCAATTACGCTCCGCCCCTCCGTCTAACGACGAATGAAAATTTCATCACGATTGAGATCGGGTCGGGTGGGTCGTGCTTAATCGTTGTTTTTTTTTTTCCTCAATATTGGTATATAGATTTTTGTGAACAACACAATAATTCAGCATGTTTTCAGTTTCTTGTTGGGAAAAGAAGACTTTGTATATTAAGAAAAAGTGTACAAAATATATGCCCCGCCCACCCACCCCCTCTCAATTGTAATGATTTTTTTTATTGATCGTGAGCCGAGAGCGGAGTTTAGCTGCAAAAACTTCATTTCTCCACAAAAAATTACGATTTGAAATATGTTCTTAAAATGCTAAAATAATAGAGAATAAAAAAAATCATTACAACTGAGATAGGGTGGTGGGTGGGTGGGGTTTATATTTATACCTTTCTTCTTAATATACGCAGTCTTCCTTTTACAACAAGTAACTTAAAACATGTTCAAAGCGATACATTTTTCTAGGGAAATATATATTTTGCAATTATGCTCCGCCCCTTGGTCTAACGACGAATAAAAAGTTCATCACAATTGAGATCGGGTCGGGTGGGTCGTGCTTAATCGTTGTTTTTTTTTTTCTCAATATTGGTATATAGTTTTTTGTAAACAACACAATAGTTCAGCATGTTTTCAGTTTCTTGTTGGGAAAAGAAGACTTTGTATATTAAGAAAAAGTGTACAAAATATATGCCCCGCCCACCCACCCTGTCTCAATTGTAATGATTTTTTTTATTCATCGTGAGCCGAGAGCGGAGTTTAGCTGCAAAAACCTCATTTCTTCACAAGAAATTACAATATGAAAATGTTCTTGAAAGAGTAAAATAATAGAGAATAAAAAATCATTACAATCGAGACAGGGTGGGTGGGTGGGGCTTATATTTTGCCCTTTCTTCTTAATATACGAAGTCTTCCTTTCACAACAAGAAACTTAAAACATGTTCAAAACGGTACATTTTTCTAGGGAAATATATATTTTGCAATTAAGCTCCGTCCCTCGGTCTGACAACGGGAATGAAAAATTAACAAATCGGAAAATTGAAAAACAGAACATGTAAAACCAGGAAGTCGAAAAATCGAAAAATTAAGAAATATTGAAAATTAAAATATCAAAAGATTGGAAAATCTAAAATTTAGAAATCCAAAAATTGGAAAATCGAAAAAGTAATAAGGTAGACATATCGAAAAGTCAAAAATAGAAAAACCGAAGAATTGAAATATTGAAAAATCCTAAAACTGAAATATCTAAAAACTGAAAAATTGAAAAATCAAAAAAGTCAAGTCGAAAAATAGAAATCGTAAAAAATCGAAAAATTGAAAAATCAAAAACCTGAAAAATCAAAAAATTAAACAATTGAAGAACAGGAAAATCGAAACATTCGAACGTCAAGAAATGGGAAAATCAAAACATCGATTAATTGAGAGTTTATAAAAGTCAAATTTGAAAAATTAAAACATCGAAAATTTGACAAAATGACAATTGAAAAACAGAAAATCTAAAATCGGGAAGTCGAAAAATCAAAAGATTAAGAAATCGAAACATTTGAAAAATTGAAATATCGAAGAACTGAAATGAAAAATCGAAAAATCCAACATTTTCAAAATTAAAAAATCTACAATTTAAAAATCGAAAAAGTAAAAAACGGAAAGGTCGAAGAATCGAAATATTGAAAAATCCCAAAACTGAAACATCGAAAAACTGAAAAATGAAAGAAAAACTAAAAATGGGAAACTAAATCGGGAAATCAAAACATTGCAAAATCGAAAAAATTAAAACGACACTAATTGAAAACACAAAATCTAAAACCGGGAAGTCGAAAAATCGAAAGACTAAGCAATCCAAAAATTGAAAAATCGAAAAAATAAAAAAATCGACACATCGAAAACTCCAGAAGCCAAAAATCGAAAAGTCGAAGAATCGAAATATTGAAAAATCCCAAAACTGAAATATCGAAAAACTGAGAAATGAAAAAAAAACTGAAAAATGGAAAACCTGAAAAGTCCAAAAACTGAGAACCTAAAAAGTCGAAAAATTGAGCAATCGAAAAATCGAAAAATTAAAGAATTGAAGAACAGGAATATCGAAAACCTCGAAAGTCAAGAAATGGGAAAACCAAAACATCGATTAATTGAAAAATCGAAAAATTAATACAGAGTCATCAAAATTGATTGAGAGAGTTGGTAAACCTGAACTTGAATAATTTGGTTTATTAAGTTGTATAAAAATATTAGCTGTCAGATTTGAAGTTTCTAGTTTCAAATTTCAAAACTCAGTGGCGTCTTTTTTCGATTTTTTTTTTGGTAAAAATATTAGTTGTCAGATTTGAAGTTTCGAATTTTTGTCACGCCACTGAATTCATTGCCATATAACCTTAAACAAATCTGTCACAAGGTTGACAAACTTCACGACAAAAACAGGGGGTACCAACTCTCTCAATCAATTTTGATGACCCTGTAGTTTACAAATGTCAAATTTGAAAAATTGAAAAATCGAAAATTTGAAAAAACGACAATTGAAAAACAGAAAATCTAAAACCGGGAAGTCGAAAAATCAAAAGATTAAGAAATCAAAACATTTGAAAAATACGAAAACTTGAAAAATTGAAATATCGAAGAACTGAAATGAAAAATCGAGAAATCGAAAAATCTAACATTTTAAAAATTAAAAAATCTACAATTTAAAAATCGAAAAAGTAAAAAAATCGACACATCGAAAAATCCAGGAGTCAAAAATCGAATGGTCGAAGAATCGAAATATTGAAAAATCCCAAAACTGAAATATCGAAAAACTGAGAAATGAAAAAAAAAACTGAAAAATGGAAAACCTGAAAAATCCAAAAACTGAGAACCTAAAAAGTCGAAAAATTGAGCAATCGAAAAATCCAAAAAGTGAAGTCGAAAAATCGAAAAATTAAAGAATTGAAGAACAGGAATATCGAAAACCTCGAAAGTCAAGAAATGGGAAAATCAAAACATCGATTAATTGAAAAATCGAAAAATTAACACTTTACAAATGTCAAATTTGAAAAATTGAAAAATCGAAAATTTGAAAAAACGACAATTGAAAAACAGAAAATCTAAAACCGGGAAGTCGAAAAATCAAAAGATTAATAAATCGAAACATTTGAAAAATTCGAAAACTTGAAAAATTGAAATATCGAAGAACTGAAATGAAAAATCGAGAAATCGAAAAATCTAACATTTTCAAAATTAAAAAATCTACAATTTAAAAATCGAAAAAGTAAAAAAATCGACACATCGAAAAATCCAGGAGTCAAAAAACGAAAAGTCGAAGAATCAAACTATTGAAAAATCCCAAAACTGAAACATCGAAAAACTGAAAAATGAAAGAAAAACTAAAAATGGGAAACTAAATCGGGAAATCAAAACATTGAAAAATTGAAAAATTTAAAACGACAATTGAAAAGAGAAAGTCTAAAACCGGGAAGTCGAAAAATCGAAAGATTAAGCAATCGAAAAATTGAAAAATCGAAAAAGTAAAAAAATCGACACATCGAAAACTCCAGAAGCCAAAAATCGAAAAGTCGAAGAATCGAAATATTGAAAAATATCAAAACTGAAAAATCGAAAAACTGAGAAATGAAAAAAAAACTGAAAAATGGAAAACCTGAAAAATCCACAAACTGAGAATCTAAGAAGTCGAAAAATTGAGCAATCGAAAAATCCAAAAAGTGAAGTCGAAAAATCGAAAAATTAAAGAATTGAAGAACAGGAATATCGAAAACCTCGAAAGTCAAGAAATGGGAAAATCAAAACATCGATTAATTGAAAAATCGAAAAATTTAACACTTTACAAATGTCAAATTTGAAAAATCGAAAATTTGAAAAAACGACAATTGAAAAACAGAAAATCTAAAACCGGAAAGTCGAAAAATTAAAAGATTAAGAAATCGAAACATTTGAAAAATTCGAAAACTTGAAAAATTAAAGTATCGAAGAACTGAAATGAAAATCGAGAAATCGAAAAATCTAATATTTTAAAAATTAAAAAATCTACAATTTAAAAATCGAAAAAGTAAAAAAATCGACACATCGAAAAATCCAGGAGTCAAAAATCGAAAGGTCGAAGAATCGAAATATTGAAAAATCCCAAAACTGAAACATCGAAAAACTGAAAAATGAAAGAAAAACTAAAAATGGGAAACCTGAAAAATCCGAAAACTGAAAGATCCCAAAACTGAGAACCTAAAAAGTCGAAAAATTGATCAATCGAAAAATCCAAAAAGTGAAGTCGAAAAATTTAAAAATTAAAGAATTGAAGAACAGGAATATCGAAAACCTGGAAAGTCAAGAAATGAGAAAATCAAAACATCGATTAATAATAATAATAATAAATAAAAAATCGAAAAATTGAGAAAACGACAATTGAAAAACAGAAAATCTAAAACCGGGAAGTCGAAAAATCGATAGATTAAGAAATCAAAACATTTGAAAAACTTGAAAATCTGAAATATCGAAGAAGTAAAATCAAAAAATCGGGAAATCGAAAAATCTAAAATTTTAAATGTTAAAAAATTAAACAACCAAAAAATTGAGAAATCTAAAATTTAAAAATCGAAAAAGTAAAAAATCGACACATCGAAAAATCCAGAACTCAAAAATGGAAAAGTCGAAGACCAGAAATATTGAAAAATCCCAAAACTGAAATATCGAAAAACTGAAAAATGAAAGAAAAACTGAAAAATCCCAAAACTGAGAATCTGAAGAATCGAAAAATTAAGAAATCGAAAAATCAAAAAAGTGAAGTCGAAATATCAAAACCTTAAAAAAATCGAAAAATTGAAAAAGCAAAAACCTGCAAAACCGTAAGATCGAAAAATTGAATAATAATAAGTAAACTGAAAAATCCTAAAACTGAAATATCCAAAAACTGAGAAATTAAAAAATTGAAAAATTGAAAAATCGAAAAATCAAAAAAGTGAAGTTGAAAAATCGAAACCTGAAAAAATAGAAAAAATGAAAAACCAAAAAACCTGAAAAATCAATTAATTGAAAAATCGACAATTAAAGAGTTTATAAAAGTCAAAAATTGAAAAATCGAAATATTTAAAAATCGTAAAATTGAAGGGAAAAACTGAAAACCCGAGAAATTGAAAAATTTAGAAATTGTAAAATCCAAAAATTTGTCGAAAGTAAAACACGTCGTTAAAAATATCGTGACATTTTTTCTAGTTAATTTTATTCCTAGTTAGAAACAAACACTGTTGCCAACATAAGTCGAGGAGTCCTCAACCGTCATTTAATTTAAACTATGACGCTTCTCTATGTTCTCTGTGTCAATGCAGGATAACTAGCGCCCTCATCAAAATGTGTCAAAATTTTGCATATCGTCCAATTTCGCTATTCAGCAGGCTTTTCAAAAATTCGTTGGCTATCTATTGTAATTTTCTTTAATGAAACACAGTAAAAGGTAACAATTTTGTCAATTTTGATAATTTATAAAACATTTAAAAGTTTGTGGGAAGATGGCGCTCGTTCCCCAACGAATTTCAGAGGTTAGCGGACTCAATTCCACCAATAAAATTCGCCATAAACGCAAGCTCAGTGTCACTCGTGACGTCACGCCGTTACTCTAACCTCCCCTCCCCGTTAGTCGCCGTTAATGCAGACAAGGGCCACACACAAGCTCGTTAGCTTTTTAGCAAACTCAAACTAAAAAAAACTGAACAAGCAATCACACGCCCTTGCCTGCATGTCCCCTCGTGTCCTCATAAATCCCTCTAACGACCTCTCCCGGAATTTTCGCCTTCAGCCACCAATGGGCGTACAGGCCCGACTTGTACATCGGCACCTCCTCCTCCTCCTCCTCCTCCTCCTCCTCGACGAACAGGCAGCCCGTCGACCTGGACTTGACCACGCCCCCGTCGTCCGCCGTCCTGGAATGCATTTGTGGGCACAGTTCGAGGCTCGACGTCACCGAGGTGCGGAGGCTGTTGCCGGAGACCGACGGCTGCGACGTCCGCGGCGTCGAGCCGAACGGGGAGGTGCACGGGCACTGGGACTCGAAGTCGCGGGCCTCGATCTCGGACAGGGTGATGCCCCGGTTGGGGATGTCCTGGACCGAGTTGGGCGAGTTCAGGGTGCAGCTGCCCGCCATGCCCGAGTCGGACGAACGCGGGCTGTGGCACTCCACGCAGCCGCGGCAGTACGACGGCGACATCCTGAGGTACTTCGAGCTGACGCACCTGAGGCCGAAACGATAAGCGAAAGATCGCGAGGCTCGGGCTTCGCCCCAACTTCGGCAAAAGTCAAATTTTCCGAAATTGGGGCGAAATCTGAGGCAAGGAATTTTTCTTTTGCCGCTTTGGGGTGGACTGACCCACCTGCGCACGGCGTTGGCTCGCTGGACGTGCTTGAGGTCCTGCGGGTTGATCTGGATGCTGGAACGTCGGCGAGTAATACTGCTTTTCTGGAATTCGGGGGTGGCGAACATGCTCGGGGGTTTGATCACGGTTTTAGCCGAAGTGGTTTCGCTCGCATCGTCACTATCGTAGTTGTACAAAAGCTCGGCCACCATTTTATCCGGAAGAGGTAGAGTGTTTAGAGGCAGTTCCAAGCTGCTGGAGTGTGTAGTGGTACTACTGTCTTCGTCGCGTTCGTCGATCCTCGGCCGCCGAGTCAAGTTGGTATCACTGTTCGACCAAGCCGGGATATAAATCGTGGTCAGGCTACTAGCACTAAACTTGTTCCCGACTAACTTAGTCGGGCACGACTGCCTCTCCAACGGGACGTACTTCTTCAAGTCCTCCCTCACCAAACTTCCATCCAAATTCACCAGATCCTCACACGCTCCGAACGGCCTCTTCGTAATACAAGAACTCGCATCCGAGTTCTCCGACGCCTGCTTCTGCAACAACTCCAACTTCGCCGTGGACGTCATCACCACACTCTTCTTCTTCGGCTCCTCTTCGGCCACCTTCGTCCTACCCACCTCACCGTAATCAATGAAACTCTCATACTTCGTCTGGACTTCCTCCGCCGTCTGCGGGTTGTAGTACCGGATGTACCCGAACGGATTACTCGAGCTGCTTCCGCTGCTATCCGAAGAACCCGACTCCACGATCGCGTTTTGTCTTTTGATTCGGCCGTGATCACTATCCGAGTCCGAATCACTATCACAGTTGATCACACTGATCCTACATTGGCTACTCCTCGGAATTATAACGCATTCGGTCTTGTGGTGGCGGATTCTGACTATGGCCAAGTTCATCCGGTTCAAGTACTCGGGGTAGAGCAGCTGCTTGAGGAGCTTGCGATTGATCGATCTGTCCTTGATGCACTTGGAGAAGTACCTCGTCAAGGACGCGAAGGGGGCGCACGGGGGGTACGTCTCAGGCGGGTAAGTCGCCACGTACTCGAGCGACTTTTGGTAAGTGAGGACCGAGGTTCGGTTAGAGTAACCGCGGGGGTTGAGCTGGGTGAAAACACAACAAAATGAGTTTTTGACACAAATGACCTCGACGTGGCACAAAATGGCCGCTGTACCTAGTCATCACACAAAATTGACAAGTTGCTACTTTTGACAGATGGCGCTGCAGCAACTATTAAATCAAGGTTTATTAAGGGGACTCGCTAGACGAGGTATAACATTTTTACTTCCCGAGCGTAAGCAAAGGAAGTATTGTAATCGAGTCCGTCGGCCGACTCTCTGCTTTTACGTTTTCTCGATCTTTCATGACCCCTAGAAGACGAAGAAATAGGTCTCCCATTTCCGTCTGTCTGTCCGTCTGTCTGTCCGTCCGTCTGTCCGTCCGTCTGTCCGTCTGTCCGTCCGTCTGTCCGTCTGCCGTCCCGGATTTTTATTAGACAGATAATCTCCGAAAGTACTGGACCGATTGTTGTGAAATTTTGTACTTATATTAGGAATATCATGTAGATGGTAAAACGCTAACCAAAATTTGTCTAATCATCCCCACCACTAATGCGATGACGTCACTTCAAAATTGTACATAGTAAATAGGTCTTAAATTGTATAAAATAACATAGTCCTACACATGTAGTTTACGACTCCGAATTCAGTTTTTACCCGAAACGTCCAGATTTTTGGAAAAAAAATCAAAATTATAAAACAACATTTTGCAATTTAATTTTGAATCTGCTAACCCGAATGTTTTGAAATGTTGCAGATGTTTTAAGGCTCTAAAGAGCATCATAAATCTTTAGTCAAAATATATTTGGTTATCCCCTCCAAAAACTTGATGACGTCAGCTCAAAAGTTTGCCAAATAAATCCTATCTAAAATGTACAAAATATGATGCGTCTGTGCTTGTGATATATCACTCCATTCATATTTTTTGGATTTGCATATACAGGGTGACTCAAAAAAAATTAATGAATGCGTAAATATATTTTATTGATTTAATCAGGAACTACAAAACCGAATGCTCTGAAATCTTGCAGATGTTTTAAGGTCATAAAGAGCATAATAAATGTTTAGTCAAAATATATTTGCTTATCCCCTCCAAAAACTTGATGACGTCAGCTCGAAAGTTTGCCGAATAAATCATATCTAAAATGTACAAAATATGATGAGTCTGTACTTGTCATTTATCACGCCATTCATATTTTTTGGATTTGCATATACAGAGTGCCTCAAAAAAATTAATGAATGCGTAAATATATTTTATTGATTTAATCAGGAACTACAAAACGGAATGCTCTGACATCTTGCAGATGTGTTAAGGTTATAAAGAGCATAATAAATGTTTAGTCAAAATATATTTGCTTATCCCCTCCAAAAACTTGATGACGTCAGCTCGAAAATTTGCCGAATAAATCGTATCTAAAATGTACAAAATATGATGAGTTTGTACTTGTGATTTATCATTCCATTCATATTTTTGGATTTGCATATGCAGGGTGACTCAAAAAAATTAATGAAGGCGTGAATTTATTTTATCGATTTAATCAGGAATTACAAAACCGAATGCTTTGAAATCTTGGGAATATTTTAAAGTTATTATAAGCATGGTAAACTTTTGTTCAAAATGTATTTGTTCATCCCTCCTAAAAAAATTGATGACGTCACCCTTAAATTTTGCTGAATAAATCCTATCTAAAATGCAAAAGATATGATGAGTTTGTACTTGTGATTTATCATTCCATTCATATTTTTTAGATTTTCTTAAGAGGTGGTTCAAAAAAATTAATGAAGTCAATTTATTTTATTGATTAAATTAAAGGCAACACTTATTATTAGTATTACACCCCAACCAACCCAATTTGGTAGACACAAAATTTGTTAAAGGAAAAACTCGGTTGAAACATAAGGGTAGCATCGCTTATTTACATCGACTTTAACATTACAGACCTGCATTTGTTTTATGCGATCACTTGGTTCCGCGAATGTGAAATAGACATGTTTATAATCAACCAATTGTGAATTTCACCGTCAAGAATTAAAATAAAACCCAATGTTTTGTATAATAAGCGGAAGTCGAAGCAATAAAACCGATGGTCGTGTTGTTTACAGTTTTTCTGTTCGACTCTCACGTATGCTGTTACGCTTGTCATCTTAAATTAAGAATGTTTATACATAAACGATTTTCAGTTGCCGTATACGCGAGTAAATTGTTTCGTTATTTTATTGATTATAAAAAATCAATATTCAAAACGACCCAATTCATTTTCCCGAAAATTTGGGTATACAATAATTTTATTCTTAGTATTACACTACATCTATCCCAACTGATATACGTGTCCTTGCAAAAATGTTGATGACGTCATCGCAATTTTTTTTAAATTCCCACTACAAAAATGTAATGAGAAAAAAACACAATAGCCATGCAGTCGTCAAGTTTCCGACAGCGAGGGAAGTACTGTCTAAACTCTTTAGACCAATTTTTTTGGTTTTTTCTATGAAAAAATGATATTAATACTCTAGAGCGCAGAGACCAGTTCAATCAACTAAAAAAATATGGCTGAGAAATATCGTAAAAAAAGCACCATTGTATGTTTTCTTTTCAAGTTTTTTAAGTCATAACCATCATAGAATCGCTTGAAAATTCGCACATGGATAAAACATCACTTTTTACAGGGCGCAGAGTCATTAAATGTTTGTTAGTGGTACGATTTGTTTAAATAATAATGTGTTTATTAAAATCAAAATATACCACAAATTAATGCAAAATACGTCGAATAATTTTAACAAAAATATCAGAGGAAAATTAATGATCTATTGGTTAGCAGAGTTTTAACAAAAACTAACAATTATTGAAAAAAATGGGTATCAATTCGACAGAATTTGAGCAGTTAGTTCAGTACTTTGCCGATAGGAGCGCCATTAAAATTTACGGAAGCGGCTTTCCAGGTAAAACCCTTATTGCCTGCTCTACCATAAGCTGATTGTTAGAGTTCTCGGCTGATTTTTCTAATTTATGGCAAGGAACTCAGTTTTATAACAAGCCGCCAGGACCGGCCGTAGTAATCTATCGTTAAGGAAATTAACTTTTACGCAATGAGGTACTATTATAAAACCGAATTAAAACTGGGGAACTATAATATTTTTACTCCACTCAGGATCCTGAATTCAATACACATGATTACTAAAAAATCATTGTAATATTATTGTTAATATATATTTTGCTTTGTTCATTAATAAAACTAATAAACATATTTATAATAATAATAAAAAATATATAAAATACAGCTTTTGTTTAACACGTATAAGTAGCTAAGTGTATCTACTACTTATCCCAGAAAGGAGGTGTTTTAAAAAAGCCCTACGCCCAGTAACTTCTCCCTTCATTGTTTACTCGAAAAAAGTGCTCGTATATGTTTTCATTTGCCGAGAGATCATGTTCAAAACATATTTATAGTAAAAATATGCAAGTCTTGGTGATGAAAAATGTACTTCTAATAAATTATTAAACTACATAAAAAAATAGAAACAAATTTTATTTATTTTAAAAAAATCTCTCACAAAGGCAGGTTCCTCTTTCTTCTTGAATCAATTATTTCGGGCAATAATGCGCCAAAGTAAAATCTGCCAAGTTTATCTGCCATCTTTTTACATATATTTCTTCGTCTTTATAAATTTTTTCTATATTTATTCCTTTGGGTGTCCATACAACAAAATAAACTTGTGAAATACCCGTAACAAGCATTTGTCCCTGGACTTGAAAGTAGTAATCATGATTTTTTTTTAGTTTCAATTCTCTGTCTGTCAATGTACAAAATTTGATTATTTTTTTTCTAACCGCTTCTTAGGGAGACAAATCTTGCGATTTTGAAGGGCATTTAATTTCGACTAATGCACTCCTGTCCTCTAGAACCCTGTCTGGACTAGCAGCCAAGTAAGGAAATTGTTTTGAAATAAACAAGCCACATCGTTCAGTTTTTATATTTTTATTTATTTCAAAACACTTGACAGCTTTTTCCTCACTTTGCTGTCCATAGTATGTATGAGTATTACCTCTAAATGTACTGTAAAACAGAGACTCCACAGTTTTAGCTATTGCTGTAGTCGGTCTAAGTTTGTAAATAGGGGAAAGGTGCCTAAAATGATCCCCCTAAGGGAAAAATTCTTTAAAAAATACAAATTATTATTATTCATGTAAAACTGTAGCATTATTTGTAAGAACATTGATTTATCTAGGTAGATAGATAGATAGATAGATAGATAGATAGATAGATAGATAGATAGAGAGATAGATAGATAGATAGATAGATAGATAGATAGAAGCTTTATTGTTATTACTTAAAAAAAAGTTTACAAACGTCCAGAATAATTTTACATACAATTAGTGTAATAAACAAAATAACATTATAAAGCAATAAATAAAATATGTATGTTAACTAAAAGTTTCATTACGTATTTTAAGCCTAAATTCATCAATAGAATAGAATGCACTTTTAAGAAGAATTTCTTTGATAATATTTTTAAAAGATGAATACTCTAATATTTTAATGCATTCTGGCAATTCATTATAACAGTATAAGCCAATTGGTGATTCGATAATCATAAAAAAAAGTTATTAACATTTTTCCAGGACCTTACAAAAGGATCATTTTAGGCATCCCCATTGGTGAAATGATCCCTCGGCATGGGCATAATGATCCCTTTGAATTTTGACCATAAGGGGACAGCATCAACAAGAAAAATCAAATCTTGACATAACTGGTAAATATTTTATTTCAAAACTTAACAAAAAAATAAATTCTTAAAAAAAAAATAAACAAAAAAAGTTTGAAAAGCACCGAAAATACGGGGTGTATAATTTCTGGAAGAGTTTGAGACAATATTTTAGTCATCAGTACGTGCTAAGATAAGACTAATTTTGCCAAATGGGATACCCTCCAAGAAAAGAGAGGGCGGGTGGGCGGGCCTACTACCTGCTAAGATAAAACTGAATTTGGCAAATGATATACCCTCTAAGAAAAGAGAGGGTGGGTGGGTGGGGCTAGTAACTGCTAGGATAAGACTGAATTTGGGAAATGATATACCCTCTAAGCAAAGAGAGGGTGGGTGGGACTAGTGACTGCTAAGATAAAACTGAATTTGGCAAATGACATACACTCTAAGAAAAAAGAGGGTGGGTGGGTGGGGTTAGTAAGTGCTAAGATAAGACTGAATTTGGCAAATGATATAGCCTTTAAGAAAAGAGAGGGCGGGTGGGCGGGTCTACTAACTGCTAAGATAAAACTGAATTTGGCAAATGATATACCTTCTAAGAAAAGAGAGGGTGGGTGGGTGGGGCTAATACTTGCTAATATAAAACTGATTTTGGCAAATGAGATACCCTTTAAGAAAAGTGACGGCGGGTGACTGGGATTAGTACCTCTTAAGACTGAGAATTTCCCAAAAATAGAACACGAAAATCCCTAAAATTCTTTTAAATTATTTAAATTTCCCCGTCTTAAGAGGTACTAGCTCCACCCACCCTCCCTCTCCTCTCTTAGAGGGTATTTCATTTGCGAAAATCAGTTTTATTTTAGCAGGTAGTAGGTGGGTGGGGCTAGTAACTGCTAAGATAAAACTGGTATTGGCAAATGGTATTCCCTCGAAGAAACTAAAGTGTGGGTGGGCGGGGTTAGAGGATATGTCATCTGCAAAAATCAGTCTTATCTTAGCAGGTAGTAGCCCCGCCCACCCACCCTCTCTTTTCTTGGAGGATATGTCATTTGCGAAAATCAGTCTTATCTTATTAGGTACTAGCCCTCTAACAAGATAAAGGGCGGATGGGCCGAGCTAGTGCTTGGCAAGATAAGGCTGATATTGGCAAATAACATACATTCTAAGAAAATAACGGGCGGGTGGGTGGGGTTAGTACTTGCTAAGATAAAACTGATATTGGCAAATGGTATTCCCTCAAAGAAAATAAAGAGTAGGTGGGCGGGGTTAGAGGATATGTTATCTGCAAAAATCAGTCTTATCTTAGCAGGTACTAGCCCCGCCCACCCACCCTCTCTTGTCTTAGACGGTATATGATTTGCAAAAATCAGTCTTATCTTGGCAGGTACTAGCCCTACCCAATGATCCGGGATCATTTTGCCTCAAGAAAAAGGAATCATTTCGCCTTAGGTAGCATATCCGCATTCAAAAATTGTAAACTAACCTTCAATTTTTACATGCGGTAAAAAGATCATAACTAACCTACGACTGAAATGTATCTAATTCTGTCAAAACAACTACCACCGCTATAAGACCTTTCAAATGGAAGTAATGGACTTTTAAAATATATCTTACCTTAGACCAGAGGTGCTTATTTTACATATTTTGGCACAAAACTGTGCAGAATACACAGAACGCCATCAAACTTTCAGAAGGTACTAATTACAGAGCGCTTAATCAAATGACAGTTATGTTTGGTAGATGGAGCCACAAATTTTCTTGCAATTGATGGGGATCATTTGACCTGAGGGGATCATTTTAGGCACTTTTCCCCTACGTCCAAAATTTGAAGCCGTAACCCTCATTTCTCTTTCTTTTGCCCAAATGTGCCTGTTGTCTAGTGTCTATTTCAATTTGGTCTAAATTCAGAAATAATTTTCTCAAAAAAAACCTCTTTGGCTGTCACAAATGTTTCTACAACCATGATAAGATTTTCTAAAAAATATTTAAACCATAATCGCAGTCGGGACCAGCATACGTAAATTTTTTTACGACATATTTTTTTACGAATACTTTGTTTAAGACGAGCTTGTTTTATAGACGAACAATATTTTTTTGTTATTAAACCAGGACCGTTTTAATCACAATATATTTACTTATCCCCTCTAAAAAATTGATGACGTCATCTCAAAATTTTGCTGAATAAATCCTATCTAAATTGTATAAAATATGATGAGTCTCTTCTTGTGATTTATCATTCCATTCATGTTTTTTGGATTTGCATATACAAGATGACCCCAAAAATTAATGAACGCGTAAATTTATTTTATTGATTTAATCAGGAACTACAGAACCCAATGCTTTGAAATTTTCCAAATGTTTTAAGGTTACAAAGCGCATAATAAATTTTTGGTCAAAATATATTTGCTTATCCCCTCCAAAAAATTGATGACGTCAGCTCAAAAGTTTGCCGTATAATCCTATTTAAAATTTACAAAATATGATGAGTCTCTTCTTGTAATTTATCATTCCATTCATATTTTTTGGGTATGCATATACAGGATGACTCAAAAAATTTAATGAATGCGAAAATTTCTTTTATTGATTTAATCAGGAACTACAAAACCGAATGGTTTGAAATCTAATGTGAAAAAAAAACATAATAGGCATGCAGTCGCCACGTTTCCGATAGCGAGGGAAGTACTGTCTAAACTCTTGAGACCAATTTTTTTGATTTTCCCATTTTTCCATTTCTCAAATTTTCAATGTTTCAGTATGGGTTTTTTTCACTGTTTCGATTCTTTAATTTTCCTTCCATTTTTAGGTCTTTCAATATTTAGCTTTGGAATTTTGCAATATTTCGTTTCTTCAATTTTTCAAATTTTTGACATTGTGTTTTCTCGGTTTTTAAATTTTTCGATATTCTAATTTTTCAGTTTTTAAAGTTTTAGGTTTTTAGATTTCTCACTATCTCGACTTTTCGATTTTTCAGTTCCATGATTTTTCAATTTGTCGAAATTTTAAATTTTAGATTTTTTGGTCTCGATCATTCAATTTTCTGAGTTTTCAGGCTTAGATTTTTTTTGTTGCTCAATTCTTGGATTTTTAAAATTTTTGTTTTCTAAATTTCCCTATTTATCAACTTACTGGGATTTCAATGTTTTGATTTTTTGATTGTTCAATTTCTCGATTTTTTGAATTTTAGTTTTTGACACGTTTTTTTTTTCAAAAATTTTCAGTTTTTTAATTTATTAACTTCACGATATTTCACTTTTACGATTTTTAATTTTTTTTATTTTTCAGTTTTCAATTTTTGACGTTTCTAAATTTTGTGATTAACTGATTTTTTGATTATCCCATTTCTCTATTTCTTGATTTTTCAATTCTTTCTTCAATTGTGATTTTTCAATGTTTCGATTTCTGGATTTTTCAATGTTTCAGTTTTGTATTTTTTCACTTTTCCGATTCTTCAATTTTCTTTCCATTTTTCAGTTTTTCAAGATTTCAGTTTTGAATTTTTTCACTTTTTCGATTTTCCAATTTTCCTTCCATTTTTCAGTTCTGCGATTTTGCAATGTTTCGGTTCTTCAATTTTTCCATTTTTTGATGTTTCGATTTCTCGGTTTTTCAATTTTTCGATAGGTATTTTAATTTTTCAAATTTTAAGTTCTAGATGTTCCGTTAATTTTTTGTTTCCTTGATGTTTCGATTTTTAAATTGTTTAATTTTTAGATTGTTCAATTTCTCGATTTACAGATTTTTCAATTGTTCGGTTTACCGATTTTTTTCATTTAAAATGTTTCAATTTTTCAATTATTAAGTTTTCGATTTTTCAATTTTGGTGTAATTTCAAAACGGTATTAATAATACATTTATTAGGCGAATAAACTAATAGACGGGCTTGATAAGCCTTGTTTGCTCTACAGTGTCTAAATTGTGTTTGAATAATATAATAATTACCTCGAATATTAAAATTAATATGTCAAAAGCGCGTCAGGTAAATTTAAAGAAGAATTGCTGGTTGCGTTTAAGGCAACAAATGGCGCCCAATTCAAACTTGTCTCTCGTCTAGCGTTCCCCCTTAATACAATTCCACTAGTACAATATAAATAAAACCAGCGGAACGCAGTTTTGACCTAATGGTGTTAATAAACATTTTCGTTGCCAAAAAATCACAATATTTTATTCGAAAAACAAATTAATTTGGCTTTGTTGGTACGCCTGACCACGTAGCCGAAATCAAGATACTGAAATAAACAACGAAAACTAGAAGGCTTTGACAACCCGTGATTGGTCACTTAAGGTGACCTAACCTCAAACACTTATTTTTGTAACACTTACATGAGGTGGCGGCTGCGGGACGAACTGCGCCTGCGACGGTGACACCTTCTGGTTGCTGCTGTTGCCCCCACTTTTCGGCATGTGTTTCCTCAATAAGTCAACCCAGTGGTTGGCCTCGTTTTTGCTTTGACACACCGCTACCTTCTTTTCGATCATGGGGGCGCTGATTTCGAACGCGTTCTTGTAGTGGTCGCTGTCGTCGAGTCTGGTGACCACGAGCCCCGACAGGGGTAGTTTGCCCTAAACTTTGGTTACTTGTTGTACTGGTAAGTCATAACTAACCTCGTAGATAAAAGCGCTGAGGCGGTGGCTCACTGACAAGATTAGGAGCGTCGTGGGGAAGAGAACGAAGTATCTGTCGTGGTGCTGCGGCCCCACGGCCACCGAACCCATATAGATAATGTCACCTAGAGAAATAAGCGGGGGGCCTTCCCAGCCCCTCACAGGTCCCGTTAGGACTTGCAATTCGAGTTCTTTTTGTCGGCGGGTGGCCAAACAAGTGGTTGCTATTTCTTTGTACACGGCGACGGAGCGCTGAGTGTCGCCCCTGTCGGGGTGGCACTCTTCCACATGCCGCTCTAGTTCTTGAAGCATCCCGGAATATTTTTCCAGGCGACGGAACGGTTTACCTAGCAGGACCGTCAAGACGAGGATTCCGGGACTGGCAGCCCCCCTAGACTCCATATACTTGGCAAGTTCTTCTCTACAACGACGTTTTGTTTTTAAAATCAAACAACAATTATAGTCATACTTGTATTGATCCAAAATGCAGACAGCTTTCGGATGTAAGGCACAATAGGCTTGATTCACGCTTTTAATTCTGGGGGCCCACGATAAAAACAGGCGCCCCATTCTCTGCTCGAGACTCGGCTTCACCTGCTCTGTTTCCATCAACTTGAGTAGCTGCTGATGTGTGTCAAGAACTTCGGTGATATTCCCCGTTAATTGTTTGTATTCATCGATGGTCAATCTGCAAGCACCTGTCGTTATTCGAGTTATAAATAGTTGGATTGATTACATCGAACTCTTCTCTAGCGGCTGTAAAAAATTCGTGACTAAGCTCTCCAGTTCCGTAACGTGCGCTTTTTCCGAGTCAATCAGGTCTTTTAGAACGACGCTCTTGTACTGGTTTTGCTGCAAAATCACCGGTTTCGGGGCGTCTGGAAACAATCATGAATGAGCGCGAACTCGAGTCGGTACACGCACCTTTGCACTCCTTGACGTAGTTGCTGGGGAACCACCCCGTTTTCCCGTTCAGGGTGCCCTCCCACCACCCGTCGTCCTTCTGCGTCACCGTGATCACATCCCCCTTCTTGAAACACAACTAAAAGCACAAATCAGCGTCGTGTGACGACGATTCTTTATAATCTCACCTCGTCGTTATTGGAGCCCTTGAAGGCGAAAACGGCCTGGACTACCAGAGGTTCAGTGGCCATTTCGGTCGCATATGTACCTAAAGCGGTAATGAATCGGTAATAAAATTATTTATGGATTTTAAGCAGCGCGATAAAAGTGAGCGAGACTGGCCATGGCGCGGATGAAAAATATTTTTTGAGTACTGTCGCATTCTTGGCATACGCTCCGCTTTGAAGATAATTCTGGAACGCGGCCAAAAATATAAAAGCGCAACAAGTTTAGCTCAACCACAAGCCCCTCAATGAAGATTTTTTTATAGGTTTGAACAGGAAATGCCCACGTTCAGTTTTATGGGTCATTGGGGGGTCGTGGGGGCGCTGAAGCCCGACTAGGGTGACAATGCACACTTGACTAATACGTAATTGGGGCGATCATTACTCACGCTATTCGAGGTTCTGAGTTTATTATTCTAATTTACAATTATAAATAAACAGCCACACATTTCACTCGAGTGACAGATCACTGTCATCTGTCATTTTGTAATAATACGAATACGTCAACAGCAGCGCCATCTGCGTTTGACATAAGTCGGCTGGATATGTTACGACATTTTTTGTTATCAAACAGGTAAGAACAAGTTAGGGGTACCAAGGGGCTGCACCACCTTGAATTACCAATTTCGCGGAAGCTTCACCCATTTAGTACCATATTTTCCAGAGTCGCGTGAATGGCACTCTAGAGCTTTCTAGAAACATGGCAAAATCTGGTATGTCTGAGTCTGATGTGGATAGCGATAGCGAAGGGGCCAAGTCGATGGAAACGCAACAAACAACTGAAAACAAAACCCCGGAAACCAACACGTCCGTAAATGTAATCTCCAAACGGGTCAAAGTATCAACCCCCATAAGCATCCTCATCGAAAGCCTGGTCAAAAACCTGTGTAGCGTGTACGAATCAGACACCGGAAAAGTAACCAAAATGTATAACCTGATCTGCGACAAACTCTTCCAAATGAACATGATTGACGAAAGCTACCTGATGACGGAGTTTGAGGGCATGCGCTCCGCCTACCAACAAGCTTTCCACCACTTGTTGAAGACGTCCATGGGGGGCGACAGCGCGGTCTGCGGGCGCCCCGAGTGGCCCAAGAACGACGTCATCAACTCCCACTACTACCAAGAGTTCGACGAAATTGAGTACATCGCCGGCGGCGGATTTGGACAAGTCTTCAAAGTCAAGCATAAACTGGACGGGACTGAGTATGCAGTCAAGAAGATTCCGATTCGCGCTGAAGGGATTGAAGCCGTTAGAAACTATCTGTCGGAAGTGAAGACTTTCGCCAGTGTGAATCACTCGAATATTGTGCAGTATAAGGCCGCCTGGCTGGAACTGGGGGGCTCCACGTCGAACATCATTCACGACGAAACTGAGTCATTTAGTGAGGACAGCGAAACGCACTCGCATCTTGACGATGAGTACATTTATCAGGATCAGCCTCATTCTTTTTCGGATGAATGCAAGGTGGATGACACTTCAGATTTTGAGGTTAATTTCGAGCATAGTGCCACTAGTGTGACGAATCACGGGGTGGTGCGCAAGAGGATTAAGAGGAGTAGTATTTCAGAAGGGGGCAAAGCCATTTGTAAGTTGGATATGAAGGAAATAAGGGAGTTGAAGATGCAACAAAAAGCGAATGTTAAGTGGGCGACTTTGTACATACAGATGGCGCTGTGTCAGTCCACTTTGAGACAGTGGTTGGAGAGTAGGAATGACGCAGAGGTGGAAAGTGGAGATAAGGCGTTAGTTCCGGTCACTGGGCACGTTCGAAGTGAAACTATTTATGAGGTGCTTAGACAACTACTGAAAGGTATATAGGGACTTTTGATTTTTTTTTAAATTGTTAGTAAATTTTATTTATGTTCTATGTAGGTGTGGAATACATCCATTCCAAAGGAATCGTCCACCACGACATCAAACCAAGCAACATCTTCATCCAAATCGAAAACGGGAGTTTGTTGGTCCAACTAGGTGATTTTGGGTTAGCTTGTCCTTTACAAAATGTCCGCCACAGTTTAGCGTTTGGTACTAAGCTATATGCCGCTCCTGAACAACTGGACGGTCAATGTGATCCAAAGGTACCAACTTAAACATAGTTATATTAGTCAAAAATTAACAACAATATTTTTCTGGTTTAGAGTGATATTTATTCCTTGGGGATAGTACTATTTGAACTAGTTGAACGCTTTCGCACTGACATGGAACGAGTACAATACATCGACGATCTCAGAAAAGGAAAACTACCACCACACGTCCACGTCCAACACCCTCAGCTGGCCCAGATCATCACCCAGTTGATGCTGAAGTACCCGCAAGATCGCCCAGACGCCACTTCGTTACTTAAAACCCTAACGCACGGCTCAGATGCAGATTATGTAAGAGAATTAGAATGTAAATTAGCTGAGAGAGATGAGGAGATTTTAAGACTCAAAGAGTTACTTAAGACAGCAGGTGTTAAAAGTATCTAATTATGATATTAATAAAACTTTTAAATATGTCATTTTTAAGTTTATAGTTTGCACATTTTACTTTACTATTTTTTCGTGTGCAGATGTAGTCGTTGGGAGTTTTATCTTTATGTAAAAGACTCTGATTTATTTATTGAGTTGAGAACAGTATTTTTTTAGTTTTTATTATCTCATGTGAGTTAGGCTTAGTTTTGTCAAGCCGATTTTGATTGCTTGGTGAAATGCACAATACTGCCTTTTGGGTGCATTTAAGTCCTAAGTAGTTGTAGGAGTAAGTTTGTGGCGAGAAAGTAGCGTGATTGAGGCGTGTTTTGTACAATTTTTAGATTACTTGTTGTACATTTCCATGACTGAACATGAATTGTTTTTATTCATGTAACATGAAATTGTGATAATAAACAAAAGATGAAATAAAATATTTTTTAAACGAATTTGTTTTACTACGTGTGATATTCGACGCACATTATCAACGGGAATACATTACATCGGAAGAATGTCACGTAGATATTTGTTTGATTTGAATGGGTTTATCGCCCCAAAACAGATGACTAAAATTATTCATAAGCCTCCATTGAACAAAATATTCCGAATGTTATTATTATAATTCTTACCTTATCATTATTTTATTGTTATAAAGACGAGCGTATTCTCACATTTTCCAGAAAATGGGGTGACTCGTTCTTAATTTGATCAATAATAAATTGACTGATTCATTAATTTTTTTGAGTCACCTGTTTAGGCAAATCTAAAAAATTAGAATGCAATGATTAAAAGTCTGTTCATATTTTGCACATTTGCGAAAAAATTTATTCGGCAAAATTCTGAGATGCCGTAATCAATTTTTTGAGGTTGATAAACAATTATAGACTCATCATACTTTGCACAACGCCCATTTAAGATGGAAAAATTTTGGGGTGGCATGATCAATTTTTTAGGGGGGATGAGCAAATATATTTTGATCAAAAATTTACCATGCCTATGATTACTTTAAAACATCTCCAAGATTTCAAAGCATTCGGTTTTGTAGTTCCTGATTAAATAAATAAAATATATTCACGCATTCATTAATTTTTTTGAGTCACTCTGTATATGAAAATCCAAAAAATACGAATGGAATGATATCATCATATTTTCTCCATTTTAGATAGGATTTATTCGGCAAACTTTTCAGGTGACGTCATCAATTTTTTGTAGCGGACAAGTAAATATATCTTGAATAAAAATTTCTCATGCTTGTCATAACTGTAAACCATCTGTAAGATTTGAAAGCATTCGGTTTTGCAGATTCCAAATTAAATGTCAAACTGTTGTTTCCTAATATGGTTTTTTTTTCCAAAAATCTGGACGTTTCGGGTAAAATCTCAACTCGGAGTCATAAACTACATGTGTAAGACTGTGTTATTTGATACAATTTAAAACCTATTTACTATGTACAATTTTGGAGTAACGTAAAAAGTCACTCTTGGGGAAAATTTAAAAGGTTTGCATTCTTTAACTATTAAATAATATTATATTTTGTATTTCCTTTTTAATATACGTAGTCTTCCTTTCACAACAAGAAGCTTAAAACATGTTCAGAACGGTCAATTTTTGTAGAAAAATATGTATTTTGCAATTACGCTCCGCCCCTCGGTATAACGACGAATGAAAATTTCATCACAGTTGAGATCGGGACGGGTGGGTTGTGCTTAATCTTTGTTTTTTGGGAAAAGACGACTTCGTATATTTAGAAACAATGTACAGAATATAAGCCCCGCCCACCCACCCCCTCTCAATTGTGATGATTTTTTTTATTCATCGTGAGCCGAGGGCGGAGCTTAGCTGCAAAAACCTCATTTTTCTATAAAAAATTACCATGTGAAATATGTTCTTGAAAGAGTAAAATTTTGCAAAGAAACATGGATTTTGTAATTAACCTCCGCCGCTGGGTCTGCATAAAAAAAATCATTATAACCGAGAGAGGATGGGTGGGGCTTATATTTTGTCCTTTCCTCTTACTATACGTAGTCTTCTTTCCACAACAAGAAATTTAAAACTTGTTCAAAGTTTTTGTAGGGAAATATGTATTTTGCAATTACGCTCCGCCTCTCGGTGTGACAACGAATACAAAATTCATTACAACCGAGATAGGGTGGGTGGGTGGGGCTTATATTTTGTCTCTTGCTCTTACTATACGTAGTCTTCTTTTCACAACAAGAAACTTAAAACATGTTCAAAATTTTTGTAGGGAAATACAGGGTCATCAAAATTGATTGAGAGAGTTGATGAACCTGAACTGAATAATTTGGTTTGTTAAGTTGTATAAAAATATTAGCTGCTATAGATTTGAAGTTTCAAGTTTCAAATTTCAAAACTCAGTGGCGTCTTTTTTCGATTTTTTTTTGGTAAAAAATATTAGTTGTCAGATTTGAAGTTTCGAATTTTACATTTGTTCCGCAGTGGTACTCAAGACGAATTTGCGGCGTGGAATTATTCTTCAGAATCCACTTATGCTTATGAGTTCGACAATCAACCCCCAGATCTCTTGTCACGGCACTGAATTCATTGCCACCTAACCTTAAACAAATCTGTCATAAGCTTGACAAACTTCACGATAAAAACAAGGAGTACCAACTCTCTCAATCAATTTTGATGACTCTGTATGTATTTTGCAATTACGCTTCGCCCCTTGGTGTGACAACGAATAAAAAATTCATTACAACCGAGATAGGGTGGATGGGTGGGGCTTATATTTTGTCTTTTCCTCTTACTATACGTAGTCTTCTTTCCACAACAAGAAACTTAAAACATGTTCAAAATTTTTGTAGGGAAATAGGTATTTTGCAATTAGGCTCCGCCTCTTGGTGTGACAACTAATAAAAAAATTCATCATAATTGAGATCGGGACTTGTTTTAGTTACATGTAGTTGTAGTTGAACAACACGATAGTTAAATATGTTTCTAGTTTCTTGTTGGGAAAAGAAGATTTCGTATTTTAAGAAGAAATGTACAAAATATAAGCCCCGCCCACCCACCCCCTCTCAATTGTGATGATTTTTTTATTCAAAGAGAGCCGAGGGCGGAGCTTAGCTGCAAAAACCTCTTTGCTTTACAAGAAATTCTTGAAAGAGTAAAATTTTACAAAGAAAGATGCATTTTGCAATTAAACTCGGCCGCTGGGTCTACCAACGAATAAAAAAATTATTACAACTGAGACAGGATGGGTGGGTGGGGCTTATATTTTGTCCTTTTCTCTTAAGTACTATACGTAGTCTTCTTTTCACAACAAGAAACTTAAAACTTGTTCAAAATTTTTGTAGGGAAATAGGTATTTTGCAATTACGCTCCGCCCCTCAGTCTGACAACGAATAAAAAAATCATTACAACCGAGATAGGGTGGGTGGGTGGGGCTTATATTTTGTTCTTTTTTTTTACTGTACGTAATCTTCTTTTCACAACAATAAACTTAACACATGTTCAAAATATTTGTAGGGAAATAGGTATTTTGCAATTACGCTCCGCCCCTCGCTGTGACAACGAATAAAAAACTCACTACAACCGAGATAGGGTGGGTGGGTGGGGCTTATATTTCGTCCTTTCCTTTTACTATACGTAGTCTTCTTTTCACAACAAGAAACTTAAAACTTGTTCAAAATTTTTGTAGGGAAATAGGTATTTTGCAGTTACGCTCCGCCCCTCGGTGTGATGACGAATAAAAAATTCATCATAATTGAGATCGGGACTTTTTATAGTTACATATAGTTTTAGTTGAACAACACGGTAGTTAAATATATTTTTCGTTTCTTGTCTGGAAAAGAAGATTTCGTATATTAAGAAGAAATGTACAAAATATAAGCCCCGCCCACCCACCCCATCGCAATTGTGATGATTTTTTTATTCATCGTGAGTCGAGGGCGGAGCTTAGCTGCAACTACCTCATTTCTCTACAAGAAATTACCATGTGAAATATGTTCTTGAAAGAGTAAAATTTGCAAGAAATATGGATTTTGCAATTACGCTCCGCCCCTTGGTGTGCTAACGAATAAAAAAATCATTACAACCGAGATAGGGTGGGTGGGTGGGGCTTATATTTCGATCTTTCCTCTTACTATACGTAGTCTTCTTTTCACAACAAGAAACTTAAATCATGTTCGAAATTTTTGTAAGGAAATAGGTATTTTGCAAATACGCTCCGCCCCTCGGTGTGACGACCAATAAAAAAAAATCATTACAACCGAGATAGGGTGGGTGGGTGGGGCTTATATTTTGTCCTTTCCTCTTACTATACGTAGTCTTCTTTTCACAACAAGAAACTCAAATCATGTTCGAAATTTTTGTAAGGAAATAGGTATTTTGCAATTACGCTCCGCCTCTCGGTGTGACGACGAATAAAAAATTCATCATAATTGAGGTCGGGACTTTTTATAGTTACATATAGTTTTAGTTGAACAACACGGTAGTTAAATGTATTTTTAGTTTCTTGTCTGGAAAAGAAGATTTCGTATATTAAGAAAAAATGTACAAAATATAAGCCCCGCCCACCCACGCCCTCGCAATTGTGATGATTTTTTTATTCATCGTGAGTCGAGGGCGGAGCTTAGCTGCAACTACCTCATTTCTCTACAAGAAATTACCATGTGAAATATGTTCTTGAAAGAGTAAAATTTGCAAGAAATATGGATTTTGCAATTACGCTCCGCCCCTTGGTGTGCTAACGAATAAAAAAATCATTACAACCGAGATAGGGTGGGTGGGTGGGGCTTATATTTCGATCTTTCCTCTTAATATACGTAGTCTTATTTTCCCTACGAGAAACTTAAAACATGTTCACAATTTTTGAAAGAAATATGTATTTTGCAATTACGCTCAGCCCCTCGGTCTGACAACGAATAAAAATTCATCATAATTGAGATCGGGACTTTTTTTACTTACTTATTATAGTTTTAGTTGAACAACACACGATAGTTAAATATGTTTTTAGTTTCTTGTTCGGAAAAGAAGACTTCGTATATTAAAAAAATATGTACAAAATATAAGCCCCGCCCACCCACCCTCTCTCAATTGTGATGATTTTTTTTATTCATCGTGAACCGAGGGCGGAGCTGAGCAGGCTACAAAAACCTCATTTCTCTACAAGAAATTACCATGTGAAATATGTTCTTGAAAGAGTAAAATTTTGCAAAGAAATATGCATTTTGTAATTAAACTCCGCCGCTGGGTCTGCCAGCGAATTAAAAAAATCATTACAACCGAGATAGGGTGGGTGGGTCGTGCTTGATCGTTGTTTTTTTTTTTTTCAATATTGGTATATAGTTTTTTGTGAACAATACAATAGTTCAGCATGTTTTCAGTTTCTTTTTGGGAAAAGAAGACTTTGTATATTAAGAAAAAATCTACAAAATATATGCCCCGCCCACCCACCCCCTCTCAATTGTAATGACTTTTTTTACTCATCGTGAGCCGAGAGCAGAGTTTAGCAGCAAAAACCTCATTTATCTACAAAAAATTGCAATGTGAAATATGTTCTTGAAAGAGTAAAATAATAGAGAATAAAAAAAACATTACAATTGAGATAGGGTGGGTGGGTGGGATTTATATTTTGCCCTTTCTTCTTAATATTCGTAGTCTTCCTTTCACAACAAGAAACTTAAAACATGTTCAAAAGGGTACATTTTTCTATTGTAGGGAAATATACATTTTGCAATTACGCTCCGCCCCTCGGTCTAACGACGAATGAAAATTTCATCACAATTGAGATCGGGTCGGGTAGGTCGTGCTAGATCGTTTTTTTTTTTTTTTCATTATTGGTATAAAGTTTTTTGTGTACAACACAATAGTTCACCATGTTCTCAGTTTCTTGTCGGGAAAAGAAGACTTCGTATGTTAAGAAAAAATGTACAAAATATATGCCCCGCCCACCCACCCCCTCTCAATTGTAATGATTTTTTTTATTCATCGTGAGCCGAGAGCAGAGTTTAGCTGCAAAAACCTCATTTCTCCACAAAAAATTACCATGTGAAATATGTTCTTGAAAGAGTAAAATAATAGAGAATAAAAAAATCATTACAATTGAGATAGGGTGGGTGGGTGGGGCTTATATTTTGCCCTTTCTTCTTAATATTCGTAGTCTTTCTTTCACAACAAGAAACTTAAAACATGTTCAAAACGGTACATTTTTCTAGGGAAATATATATTTTGCAATTACGCTCCGCCCCTCGGTCTAATGACGAATGAAAATTTAATCACAACTGAGATTGGGTCGGGTTGGTCGTGCTTAATCGTTGTTTTTTTTTTTTCAATATTGGTATATAGTTTTTTGTGAACAACACAATAGTTCAGCATGTTTTCAGTTTCTTGTCGGGAAAAGAAGACTTCGTATATTAAGAAAAAGTGTACAAAATATATGCCCCGCCCACCCACCCCCTCTCAAATGATTTTTTTTATTCATCGTGAGCCGAGAGCAGAGTTTAGCTGCAAAAACCTCATTTCTCCACAAAAAATTACCATGTGAAATATATTCTTGAAAGAGTAAAATAATAGAGAAGAAAAAAATCATTACAACTGAGATAGGGTGGGTGGGTGGGGCTTATATTTTGCCCTTTCTTTTTAATATTCGTAGACTTCCTTTCACAAGAAGAAACTTAAAACATGTTCAAAATTTTTGTAGAGAAATAGGTATTTTGCAATTACGCTCCGCCCCTCAGTCTAACAACGAATAAAAAATCCATTTTAATTGAGATCGGGACTTTGATTTTAGTTAGTTATAGTTTTAGTTGAACAACACGATAGTTAAATATGTTTTTAGTTCCTTGTTCGGAAAAAAAGATTAACAACTGCTAATTTGCAGCTAATCTATTTGGAATTTGCGTATCGATCATTTTAGAAAAATTGAACCAAAATACGCAGGTTAGCCCACTGTTAAACTTTCTGAGTAAAATTTTCATTTTTATTTCACGACAATTTTTGGTCATCAACAAATCAACACAGAACATCATAAACCAACAATTTCTTCTCCACAGTCAAATTGGTCAAATGTCAATCAAACATAACTAGCGCCCTCATCAAAATGCGTCAAAATTCGGCGATGTGCAGTAAATCGTCACCAGAGGGCGTCGCCGCCGATCCAGCTGTTTATCTGTCATAAAGCTCTGTCAAAATCCATCAAAACAAACTAATTTCTATTGATTTCTGCGTTAAGACTCGAAACATTTATGATGACTGCGCCAATGGAGCGAATCCAGGTCCTCGACTCCATCGAGAAGGACATAATCACGTGCCTTCACAGTGCAGGTATTTATTTTCACAAAAATCGTACCCCAGTAAACCTAACCTCAAAACCTTCCAGGTCAAGTATTCGTCGAGCTCAGTAAGGAAAAATCCAGCCTGAAGCAAGCCGAAAACCACACACAAACGTTCCTCAAGACACTATCGTCCGTCGAAAATAAACTAACGGAACAAATCAACTATCTAACTCAGGTTTCGACAGGGCAGCCCCACGAGGGTTCGGGTTATGCCTCACAGAAAGTTTTACAAATGGCGTGGCATAGGTTAGAGCATGCACGGTCGCGAGTCAATGAATTGGAGAGGTTAAAACTGAAGCATATACAAGGGGGGAGGAGGAATATCCCCCCGAATGGACAAGGATTCGGAGGGAGCGTACCACCAGGGTCAACAACATAGTTTTGTAAATTTATTAAAAATATAGCTTTTGTAAATGGCACACTTATTTCTGAACGCACTGTCCGTTCTGGCAGGTTTTGTCAGATTTAGTCCGTTTCCACTTTTCCACTTCGTGGCGTATTCGTGAGACGTCAGTGGCGTAGGTTCTGCAGCAGCCCCCCACCCAGGTGACCCCCAGGTCGAGCCACCTCTGGACGTAGGTGTCCACGGGCTCGCACTTGTCGCGGTCGATCCATCTACAAAATGGTGTTTTTGTTTAAAAATAAAGTCACTAAATATGGTTACTCACCCCAGTTCCACCTTATAGCTTTCCCCGCTGTTCGGATACACCACCAGCGGAATGGGGTTTCTCCTGTCTTTGTTAATCCCAGAAATGAACGATTCGACGAGCCGGGGCGCCACGCAGTTCACGCCCACTGCTACCAACTGCGACGGGTTCATCTCGTAGCAGTGGCGTGCGGTTTCTTGGAAATTTTCGCCGTAAGCCAGCGACTTTCCGTCTTGCTGCAACAACACCGTTAGTTATGACCTTTCAAAATAATTAAAATGTGTACCGCTACGCTAAATGCTAGCCATGCTTTGGTATTCGGGAATTCCTTCTTGAGCAGGTCTACCAACATTTCCGCTTCTATTCTACAAGGAATTGTTTCAAGGGCTAGAAGGTCGACGCCTGCTTCCACGAGGGCCTTTATTCGCGGTATGTGCCACTGTCTCATGGTGTCCACTGGCGTGGATTTTGCGTACGAGCCCGAGTATTCGGATCCGTCGTGCAAGGAGGCACCGTAGGGGCCTACGCTGCCCACGATCATGGGGGCAGCTGAAACTTCGCTATTAAGGCGGGTTCAGAATGTGGGGTGGGCAAGTCAGGCGAGGTTTTTTGGTTTTTGGAAATGCGATATAGTGATTTTTGATTTTTGGGGTTTGTGGAGGTTTATATGTTTTTTCTGTCTCAAGGGTTGAAAATGAACATATTTTTAAACAAAAGTTTTGGTGAGTTTGATTTATAATATAGTTTGTGGTGCCAACTGCTTCACTTTTGCCAATATAATAGAATTCATGTTTCTAAAGTCACAAAAAACGTGAAAAAAGTGTCAAAAAAGTCAAAAAAAAGGCCACACAAAAGTTCTAAACCAAGGTGATAAAAAAAGAGACAATAAAAAATGGTAGAAAGAGGGACAAAAAAGATGTTAAAAGCGTAAAAAAGATCAAAAAAGGTGATTAAATCTGCTACAAAAACGAGACACAAAGGATGACAAAAAAATCACAAAAATAAGAATAAAGGCGATAAAACAGCCGTCAGATGAGGTTAAGTTACGTCAGGTCAGGTCAGGTCAGGTTCGGATAGAAAACGACGAAAAAAAGCGGTAAAAGGACATAACAAAAAAGTGGTGACAAAAAGGTCAAAAAAAAATAGATATAATGACAAGAGGTGACAAAAAAAAACGCGGAGAAAAAGGTGAAAAAAATACGAAAAAAAGTGACGAACATAAAGACCACAAAAAAATGGGAAAAGGTGAAAGAGGCAACTAAAAAAGTGCGAAAAAAGCAACAAAGAAAAGCGACTAAAAAACTACAAAAAAAGGCAATAAGAAAGGTGACATAAAAACATTAAAAAAACGTAAAAAGCGATAAAAGAATTCATTAAAAAGAGGCCAAAAAATGCGAGAATAATGAAAAAAGGCGATAAAAACCGGAACAAAAAATAACAAAAAAGGTAATTAAAAAAGGCGACAAAAAAAGTACAACAAAAAAAGGAGAAAAAAGAATAGTGAGAACAAACACTTGTGATAAAGAGTGTCAAAAAACGACAAAAAAAGAAAAAAAGTGCATGAACAAAAGACTTAGAGAAGATAAAAACAGGCAAAAAACAATTGAAAAAGAAACGGTGAGAAGAAAAAAAGGTGAAACAATAACGGAAAAAGTGACTAAAATAAAACTGAAAAACAGAGGAAAAGGTGCCAAAAAAGGCCACAAAAAGGCGACAAAAAATTGGCTTAAAAAAAAGGAAAAAAAAAAGACGAAAAAATATAGCATGTTGATGGTCACGAACCAACAATTTCGAAAAAATTGCTGCGAAATGCGAATTTTTGAAAATTTCAAAAATTTCGAAATTTCAACGATCGATTCTGGAAAAACGGTTGCAGGTATCATAAAACCGAAGCCGGATTTGAATTCCAGAGCTCGAAATCTATAAGAAAATGTATTTAGTTGAGTTTCGAAAATGTCAAAAATTTTGCAAAATTTGAAGAAAAAAATTTCAATTTTAAATAAGTTGTCTAAAAATTATGAAAAAATTCAGGGACGTAGATCTCGACACGCTGATTCCAAAAATATAGCATGTTGATGGTCACGAATCAACATTTTCGAAAAAATCGCTGCGAAATGCGAATTTTTGAAAATTTCAAAAATTTCGAAATTTCAACGATCGATTCTGGAAAAACGGTTGCAGGTATTATAAAACCGAAGCCGGATTTGAATTCCAGAGCCGAAACCTATAAGAAAATGTATTTAGTTGAGATTCGAAAATGTCAAAAAAAAGACGAAAAAATGGTGAAAAATTTCGCCATAAAAAGGCGATAAAGGGAGACGAGAAAAAGGCGACTAAAAACGGACAAAAAACCAACAAAAAAGTGACAGAAACAAAGGTAAAGATAGTGATAACCAAAGGTGACAAAAAAAAAGACGAGAAAAGATGAAAAAACAAACGGTGAGAAGAAAGAAAAGTGATACAAAAAAATGGAAAATTGACGAAAATAAAACTGAAGAAAGAGGGTAGGGTGTCAAAAAAAGGCTACGAAAAACGAAAAAAGGTGATAAAAACCGAAATAAAAAAGTAACGAAAAAACAACAAAAAAGGTAACTAAAAAAGGCGGCAAAAAAGTGTAACAACAAAAAAAAGAGAAAAAAAATTGTTCCAACAGAAGGACAAAAAAAACGCTAGAAAAAAGATGCAAAAAAATAGTGAAAAGGTAATAAGAAAAGACGACCAAAAAGACGGTGCCAAAAAAAGATATTAAAAAAAAGACGAAAACTATGATAGTGTTAAAAAACGACAACAAAAATACAAAAAAAAATACTAAAAATGACGAAAAGAAGATAAAAGGAGACGAAAAAAATGCGGTAAAAAAAACAATTAAAACGAAAAAATTGTACAGATAGTGATAAAACTGCAGAAAAAAGTGGAGAAAACAAAAAAAGTGACGAAAACAAAACTGAAAAAAAGGAGGTAAAAATGCTACAAAATAAAAACGGGAAAAAAAGGTACAAAAATTGGATAAAAAAAGAACATAAATTTGACAAAAAGCAAACGAAAAAATGGAACAAAGAGATGGTAAAAAATTTTGACAAAAAAGACGATACAAGAAGACGAGAAAAAGGCGGCTAAAAACGGACAAAAAAAATCAACAAAAAAGTGACACGAACAAAGGTAAAGATAGTGATAACAAAAGGCTACAAAAAAGAAAAAAAAAACGCCAAAAAACGAAAAAAAAAAACGGTGAGAAAAAAGAAAGGTGATATAAAAAACGGAAAAGGTGAAAGAAGCGACCACAAAAAAGTGCGAAAAAAGCAACAAGTAAAGGCGACCGAAAAAAGAACAGTAAAAAACGATAGGAGTTGTTAAAAGAGAAAAAAAAAGCGAGAAAAAACACAAAAACCGAAAAAAGATAATAAAAACGCATCAAAAAAAGTAACAATAAAAAATAAAAAAGGCAAAAAGTCCAATTAATGAAAGATGACAAAAACACGACAAAAAATGCAACAAAAAAAATAAGGAAAAAATAGTGCCCACAAAAGGCTACAACATAAAAACGCTAGAAAAATGATGCAAAAAAAAAATACTAAAAAGGCGACTAAACGATATTCAAAAATAAAAACATCCAAAAAACACGAAAACTGTGATAAAAGTGTCAAAAATGTTAAAAAAGGTAGAAAAAAGAGAAAAAAGTGACGAAAATAAAGGTGAAAGAAAGGCCAAAAGAGGCTACAAAAACGCGAAAAAGGCAACAAAATTGCTAAAAAAGAGGGAAAAAAGGACGAAAAAAAAAACGAAAGAAGAAGATGACAAAGAGGCAACTAAAAACGAACAAAAAAACGACAAAAAAGTGAACAAAAAACATGGGTAAACCTAGTGATAACAAAAGGCTACAAAAAAAGCGATAAAGGAAGACGAGAAAAGGGGCCAAGGAAGCAAAAAAGCAACCAAAAAAGCACAAAAAACGCGACAAAGAGGTGTTAAAAACAAAGATAGTGAAAACAAAATGCTACAAAAAAGGTTACAAAAAGAAAAATGATGAGAAAATATGAAAAAAGAAACGGAGAGAAGAAAGAAAGGTGACATAAAAAACGGAAAAGGTGAAAGAGGCAACCACAAAAAAGTGCGAAAAAAGCAACAAGTAAAGGCCACCAAAAAAACGATAAAAAAAGGCAATAAGAAAGCCGAAATAAAAACGTCAAAAAGTGTGAAAAACGGTAGGAGAAGTTGTTAAAAGAGACAAAAAAAAGCGAGAAAAAACACAAAAACCGAAAAAAGGTGATGAAAAGACGCAGAAAAAAGCGAAAATAAGGGTGAAAAAAAAGGCCAAAAGATGCTACAAAAACGCGAAACAGGCGACAAAACTGGCTAAAAAAAAAAGAAAAAAAACATGGACGAAAAAAGACGAAAAAAATGGAATAAAAACATGAGGAAAAATTTTGACCAAAAAAAAGATAAACGATAAAAGAAGACGACAAAAAGGCATCTAAAAACGAATAAAAACGACAGAAAAAAAACAAGGGTAAACATAGTGATAACAAAAGGCTACAAAAAAGTGGAAAAAACTTTACCGAACTTCCCTTCCTTCTAAAGCATAACAAATACCAGTACTAATTTTAGGGAAATTCGGGTTACATATTTTTACTTTTTTTTGATATTTGATATTTGAAGCTTTTCGGAATTTAGATCATCGGCACTGTTCTATGTTACGTTCACTTTCTTACAAGCCTAAACCCCACTTTACATTTTTCAACCACTGTATCGTATTTTTCCAGACAAGAACGAATTCTGATGTTAATGAATTTTCCATAAAATTTCAGAGCTACGTTTTTAAAAAATTTCGTCCAACTTAGGCAATCTCAAAATCCAAGCTGTGGATTCTGGTAGCAACGACCATCAAAGGTCAGCTATAAATGTATCGGTCGTAATTATCACATGATTGGTGTTTGCTTATTTTAACCAAATAAATTTACAAACTCCTTGTAATTTACAAGGAGTTTGACCCCCGACGATAAGCATAACAAACGAATTAAGTACTTTGGAGCTACATACGAAATCCACTCTTATAATCCATGCCAAGACTACGAATGCGTTATTTATAATACACTGCCAGACTAAAACCCGGACACTTAATTTTTTGTGATTACTTGCAACTGGTCGCAAAGTTACTAATATTCAAGTATCCGGGGTTTTTGTCTGACAGTGTATTATTTAGTTATTAATTATTATTGTATAAAAAGAGCCTTGAAAACTCATTAACACCACAGTGTTACAGATTTATCAGAAGATTAGCTTACGCGAATTTGGAAATTCTTTCTGGTAGCGTTCACACGCCGTCCTCGCCAACGCCACCGACTCCTTAATCAAATCGTAGCTCTCTTCTTTGGTAAGGTGGAGGTGCTCAACGAACCCCCCTATACTCGCCTGATAGGAATTGGTCATGACTAGGTCGGCCCCGGCTAAAACAACATTTCCAAACATTTATTCCACCATTCTCTTATTCAAAAAGCTTCCGCAGTCCCGAAACGGCCTACGCCGGCAAAATCCCCCGTTTACCACCATACCTCTCAGAAAGTCGAGGTGGGCGTCAATGACGGCCTCCTTGTCCGTCGCCAGGAACCTGGCGCTCCACAAGACGTCTCCATCGATCTGCTGGCTGACGTGACAGCTCAGCTGGGTGGCGAAGCCCCCGTCCAGAACGACGATGTCGTTGTCGGCGGTGCTGGCGACGCTGGGTCTCTTCTGCGTCGAACTGCCGACTCCCGGTGGTGCCATCTGAAAGAAGCGAGTTTGTGATGCACGAAGACAGGTCGACGAATGCACGATGCAGCATGCTGCGCTTTTGCGATAATGCGCTGGGGATATGCCAAGGTCTTGCGGCGACCTTCATCTTGTAAATGGATGACCCACGTGTGTTGACTTTATGTTTGTAAACAGTCCTGATAGAGGGTTTTGCATTTGGATGATGAAACGATGACTAAGTGATTTTTAGCGAGGTTGAGGGGTTGGCGGTGGCGATTGGGTTTCGATGGGGAAGTCGGCGAAGTTCGACGTTTTGGGGACGGTGGCCGGGGGTGGGGTAATGAATGTTAATGGTGACGACTGTGAGGTTGGTGTACCGAGTGAGATTTATTGGGTCGCATTACATTGGAGATAACAAATTATGATGATGTGCTCGGAAATTTAAATATTACAGCAATTTTTTAACTCGCGTTATATTTTTCTTGGTGTTTCTTTCTCTTCTTTTTGGATAATAATTTATCCAAAACATGTTTCTTCCTTATTGAGTGTCTGGATAAACTTTTATTTTACACTCCAGTTCTTTGTTTCACAGGGTATTCCAAGAATCCCATTATTGCACAAATAACTTGGCACTATTGTAGCAAAAATATTGTCATTGTAATACTATTATTACACTATTTATTTTCAGCATCGTGTCCTTTTAGTTTAACAAAGTAAAAATAGCAGCATGGCGCACATTTCTCTTCCAGGAACTATGTTATTTTTTGTCTTCATTTTTTGAAACAAAGTCACCATAGACGTTGAAATATACACATGAATTATTTACAGAACCACGAGACGCCACCTTCACAACGTCACACCTGTTTTTCAATAAATTATCGCGCTTTGTTTTGAAATATTGATATATATATTTTTTTAAACACTCTGTATATTAAAAGCCAATTTTATCTATGCCGCAATAAAGGGCGTATCTTTATATAACTCTCCACAAAATATTGTAACCCAGATTTTCAAAATAACCCTATTGCGATTTTTTTTGTGAACCCTTCCACTGTTAAACAATTTAAGAAAATTGGAAAAGCTTGGCAACGTAGCAATGGATTTTGAAAATGAAGGATTATAAAGCCCAAGCACTTCCGGTTTTACCGGAAATAAAGTCCATTTTCCATTTTAAATGACATTTTTGATAAAAACTAAAGTTGGTTACACTGGCTTGCTTGGGTTTTTGGTAATCCTGAATTTTTTGTGGAAATTGGTATGACAATGTTGTCTATAATTTCCGGTTGTCAGCTGTCAAGATTGACAGATTGTTGACATTTGACGTCATACAATTACTTCTGTTATGCCAACATAACGCAAGAAAAGTTCACTTTTTTGTTTGAAAGTACTGCCAACAGACTCAGTTATTTCTGATCACGTGGTAGAATCAAACATGAATGCATCTAGTGCGAAAAGTGTTTAATAAGAGAAGTATTGTAAATAAATACAGAATCATTATTGAATCTCCCAAAATTTAAATCTATTTTATTCCATATCAAAAAGAGGGAGAAAAGAGTGCAGAGGGGAAAAAGAGAGTCTCGAGAAAAAAGGGAATGGAAGGAGGAAAGAGAATTACGAGAGAGAAGACATTTTAGAGAGAAAAGAGTGTGGAGAGATGAAGGAGAGGAGAAAGAGAAGAGAGATGAGAGCATAGACATAGGGAAAAAAGTGGGGGAAGAATCTTTTCTTGAGTGGAAGAGAAATAAGAGTCTATCGAGAAAAAAGAAAGAAGGGATAAAATTATGAGGAGGGATAAATGAAGGAAAAAAGAGACTGGAGGAATAAAAGTGACAGAAGAAAAAATAGAGAGAAGGGGGGGGCAAAGAGAGAAGAGAGCAAATAATTTTTGTATCGATTTTCTTCTACATCAAAAAATTTGACTTGGTTTTTTAGGTTCTTAAAAGAAGAAAAGAGGGAATAAGGAGAACGGAAAATGGAGGGTGAAATGACAGTGGAAAGAGATAAAAGAGAGATGAAAAACAAGAGAGAAGAGATAGAAAGAAGAGAGAATAGAGATAGAGAAAAGAACTTCGGGGGAAATAAGAGAGAGGTCGAAGAAAAAGGTTGGATGGCTAAATAAAAGAGGAGAGATAATAGAAAAGATATAACAGGGAAGAAAGACAGTAGAAGGAGAAAAGAGAATCAAGAAAAAAGAATGAAGGAAATGCGAGCGGAGACATGAAAGAGAGAGCAAAAAGAAGGAAGAGAATAGGGAGAGAGAGTGTGAGAGAAGAGAATAGAGATAGAGAAAAGTTAATTGGGAAAAAGAAGAAAGTGGAGGGAGAAAAAAAGTCAAAGGAGAGAATAAAGAGATGGGATAATAATAAATAAGAATTGAGAGAAAAAAAGGTAAAGGAGGGATATAAGAGAGTGGAGGGAGAAAAGAGAGTGGAGACAAAAATGGTAGAAGGAAAAAAGAGAAAAGGGAAAGAAAAGAAAATGTCGGTAGAAAAGAGAGTGAAGAGAAAAATTGAGAGAAGCGAGAAGAGAGACGAGGAATAAATAATTTTTCAAATGTAGTAACGATTATCTTCCACATCGAAAAATTTTATCTGTTTTTGGAGCTTCTTGAAAGAAGAAAAGAGGGAATGGGGAGAACAGAGAACGGAGGGAGAAATGAGAGTGGAAAGAGATGAAAGAGAGAGGAAAAAGAAGAGAGAACAGAGAATAGTTGAGGGGGAAAAAGAGAGTGTAGAGAAAAAAAGAGAGAAGGGATATAACAGGGAGGAGGAAAAAAAAGAGGTGGATGGTTAAATGAAAGAGAAGAGTTGAAAGAAACAAGAGAGAAGAGAGATGAATGACTTTTCAAATGTAACACAGAACTAAATTTTACCCGTTTTTGGAGCTTGTTGAAAGAGGAAAAGAGAAAATAGGGAAGGAAGATAATAGAGGCAGAGAGGAGAATCGAAGAAAAAAGAGAATCACGTAAATCGGAGTGAAAAGATGAAAGAGAGAAGAAAAAGAAGGAGACAAGAAAGAGAGAAGAGAGGAAAGGGAAAGACACAAGGGACAATAAAGAGAGAAAAGTTAGTTGAGGAAGAAAAAAGAGTGGAGAGAATAGAGAGAAGCGATAAAACTGGGAGGAGGAATAAATGAGAATTGAAGAAAAAAAAGAGAGGAAAAAGGGGAAAAAGGAAAGAAAAGATAATGGAGGGAGAAATGAGAATGGAGATATGAAAGAGAGGGGAAAGAGGAGAAGGAGAGAGATAGAGAGAGAGAGAGAGAGAATAGAGATTGAGTAAATAATGTGGGAGGAGAAAACAGAGTGGAGGAGAACTAAGAGTCTATCAAGAAAAGAGAAAGAAGGGATAATGCTGAGAGGAGGAATAAATGAAGGAAAAAAGAGAGTGGAGGGATAAAAGTGAGAGGAGGGATAAAAGAGAGAAGAAGGAGAAAAAAGAGTGTAGAGAAAAAAGAGAGAGAAAATATATAAGAGAGAAGACGGGAAAAAGAAGTTGACGGATAAATGAAAGAGAGGGGATAGAAGAGAGAAGAGGGATAAATAATTTTTCATATGTAACAGAACTTGGATCGATTTTCTTCCACATCAAAAAATGTTACCTGTTTTTGGAGCTTTTTGAAAGAATAAAAGAGGGAATAGGGAGAACAGAGATTGGAAGGAGAAATGAGAGTGCACAGAGATAAAAGAGAGAGGAAACAAGAGGGAAGATATAGAGAGAAGAAAGCATAGGGATAGAGAAAAGAACGTTGGGGGCGAAAGGAGAGTGTAGAGAAAAGAATAGAGGAGGAAAAAAGAGGTAGATGATTAAATGGAAGAGGAGAGTTAAAAGAGAGAAAAGAGAAGAATAATTTTTCAAACGTAAAATAGAACTTATATCTATTTTCTTCCACATCGAAAAATTTTACCCGTTTTTCGAGCTTGTTGAAAGAGGAAAAGAGAAAATAGGGAAGAAAGATAGTAGAGGGGAAAAGAGAATCGAAGAAAAAAGAGAATCACGGAAATGTGAGTGAAGAGATGAAGGAGAGAGGAAAAAGAAGGGAGAGAAGAGAGAGAGAGAGAGAGACGAGAGAATAGAGATAGGGAAAGACAGAAGGGAGAATAGAGATACAAAAGTTAGTTGGGGAAGAAAAGAGAGTGGTGGGAAAAAAGTTGTCAATTGAGATAATAGAGAGAAGGAATAAAACTAGGAGGAGGGATAAATGAGAATTGAGGAAAAAAAGAGAAGAAAAAAGGGAGTAAAAAAAAGTGAAAAGGAAAAAAAAGATAATGGGGGAAGAAATGATAATGGAGAGATGAAAGAGAGGGGAAAGAGAAGAGAGGGAGAGAGGAGAGAGAAGAGAGGAGAGAGGAGAGAGGAGAGAGAAGAGATAAGAGAGAATAGAAATATAGAGACGAGAGCAGAAAGAAGAGACAAGAGAGAATGGAGATAGAGAGAAGAGAGAATAGACAGAGAAAAGAATGTGGGGGGAGAAAAGAGAGGAGAGGAGAAATAAGAGTCTATTAAGAAAATAGAAAGACGGGATAAAGTTGAGGAGAGGGATAAATGAAGGAAAAAAGAGACTGGAGGGATAAAAGTGAGAGAGAAGAGATTAAAGAGAGAAGAAGAAAACAGAGTGGAGAGAAAAAAAAGAGTGGAAAGACATGAGAGAAGAAGGGAAAAAAAATGGATGGATAAATGGAGAGAGGGGGGGATATAAGGAAGAGGAAGCAGAAAAAGGTTGGATGGTTAAATTGAAGAGGAGAGATAACGGAAAAGATATAATAGGGAAGAAAAATAGTAGCAGAAGAAAAGAGAATCAAGGAAAAACAAGAATAAAGGAAATACGAACGGAGAGATGAAAGAGAGGAAAAAGAAGAAACAGAGGGAGAGAGGGAGTGTGGGAGAAGAGAAAAGACAGAATAGGGATAAAAAGAAGGGGGAATTGAGATAGAGAAAAAGGAGAAGGGAGAAGGGAAAGGGAGAAAGGCGAAGGGAGAACAGAGATAGAGAAAAGTTAGTTTGGAAAGACAAGAGAGTGGAGGGAGAAAATAG